CACAGCCACCACACACACGCGTGACACCACCCGACTTCACTGCATCTCGACCACACATGAATTTTTCATCAATCAATTGTTGATTGCTGCACGAAAACAACTCGTGGGGTCTCACCTCACGCATCGACTTGGCAGTGACGACGGCATCACTCCCTTCTAGAGACTGCCAGACGGATTTGTTGCCAGGAATAACGTGACTCATGGTCGTCGTGAAAAGCTCCTTCCTCGACGCAGGCCCGACTGATATAAATCGGCAGGCACAACTGATGTATTCGGCAGGCCCGACTACCTTAATGTATCGGTAGGCCCAACTATTGTATCGGCAGGCTCAACTATTGTATCGGCATGCCGACGCCTTCCTCCCGACACACCGATTACGTTCAGGGACAGGGCCTTCTTGCCGCAGATTCCATTCCACTTTGTTGACACAATCTACAAGAAGACATGGACACTGCATTCATCCATCCTGAGCCCACTTGTTCTGCCTGTTCTGCCTGCTCTGCCCATACATCACCCTTCAATTCTCCGTATCCCTACCGCACAACAGACCACCTGCAACCAGAGACCGGCTCCGTAGACATGACCACGCCGCAAGACCTGTGCTCTCGCCCGAACCTGACCCAGCCTCACCACCTCCTCCGCCATCAGAATGCTTTCCGACATCACGACCTCAATCGCCGCGGCTCCACTTGGGACATGGTCGAGGCTGGTCTTGATTCCTGCGCCGGCGGCCCCGATCTGAGCTTTCATCGCCCAGATTCTCACTCCAGTACCTCGCTTGTCCTTTGAAACAGACATCTCTCGCTGACCTTCATCTATGCAACCGCTTCGGTGTTCTGGCACCGCCATCGCCCACCATGACGCGAGACCGAGAGTATTCTTCTTCCCTTCCACGACGCCGCAATCGACACGGTCGCGTCACCAGAGAAGCAAAGCGGCGGCGTGATGCCAGACGGAATGGGAGGAAGCTGGCAGCCCACTTCCTTGACGCCAAGTTGACCAAGGAGTTTGACGACACATTGACCCGCGCCAACTTTCAGCCGCTACCACGAATCAATGTCCAGCCTCCGCCTCCCACGTTTGCTACACCGTCTGTTCTTGAGCCATCTACCGCGCTCGTCCGTTCGCCTTCCCCGCCACCTCAACTTCCCCCGCTCAACCTTGGTCAATTGGACCTTCGTAACTTTTCCAAGTTCTTCGCTCCGTCAGCCTACACACCCCCAACACCGGCGCCTGTATGCAAGGGAGTGCCAAGCTGGTGCCCGCCGATCCCGTCACGCACACACAACGGCGTGTGGGCTGGAGAGCTGCCCAAATTCTGGGACCTGTCGCGTCTTCCTGAGTCATCGATGCCGTCAAACTTCGAGAGCAGAAAGAAATCAAGGTTCTTTCCCCTGACAGAGCCCGAACAAGAGCACGAGCAGGATACCAGACAGGACATCAAACAACGCTTCGAACAGGAGCCCAAACACGCACCCGTGGAGGAAGTCTTCCACGATGCACAGCCTGAGGACCATGGTACGTCCTGGGCCTTGACTCCGACGGCGGAAGAAGACCACGACTGGACGCTGCTGGCCGATGGGGCGTTTCTGGTTGAAGACGAGGAGACCGAAGGCGCGTGGGCCGAGGACCGCGAAGATGGATGGTATGAGCTTCACCCCGGGAGATGATTCGTTCGTCGGTCTGTTGTTGTTTCCTTCTCTTGTATCTATGACCTACCAATTTGGGCAGACGCAATCCTAAGAATTCGCAGACTGCTCTGCCTTCTCACCAATCATTTAGTGCGAAGCATCAGTGATATGCAGACCCCCTACACGACACGCTCGTCGCTTGCGTGCTCCGAGCGCCTTGTTTTGCAGACCAAGACATCGCGGAGCTTCTGGTGAGCAACACTGGGCTTGGAAACCGAGCTCAATCCTATCAGGTCGGCCAACCTCAAGGCCAACAGACGAGCAAGAAACTCCTTTCATTTGGGTCACTTTCCTCATTTGGATGCGTGCTTTCAAAGCCCAAAACATTCCCCGGAATTCGTTGCCTCGTAAAACATTTGGACAACCTTATGTTGCGGCTATTGTGGCTATTTCGGGCGGGTATACGGGTTTCTTGCCTGGGTGTTGGAAAGCTAGTACGTTTGTGTCTAGTCATCGTATGGTTTTCTCAACGCTGATATTGTTTGTGGGACGGAAAGTTGTGCATCGGACTACGTTCCGACCTTTGAGGCCTGAGTTGGTGAATTTGAAGGGCGAGATCGGGGAGACTGATGAGGTGAGTGTAAAAGCAGGAGTGTTCGGGAAGAATTGTGCTCTGGCGATGGGATGATAGTACACAAGAGACGTGGCGCGGAAGTCCTCTAGAGATGGGGCTGATGAGTCGTTCACGAAGGTGTCTGAACGCGTTTGAAGGTCGAAGAATGGTGATGGCGTGATATTGTACGCTTTTTGAATTATACATGTCGACGAGGACGTGCTGTCGATTATGCTAACGATACATGGTATGCAGTTATACACGATCTCTGAAACCCAGCAACCAGTGCGTTCCGTTTCCTTGCAGCACTTAACAATCATCCGGCTTTGTCTGGAGGAGCGCGGCATCAGATACTGTCTATTCTTCGAGGGTGACGGTACGCACGAGGCTAGCAACGGAGGAAGTAACGTTCCTGCAGTTCCATGGCAGCACGATTTGCTGTCCGACCTGGAGGGCGGTGACGTTGACGCCCACGTTCAGGGCCTCGATCTGGCCGTACGTGGAGCCGTACTTCTGGGCGAGGTCGTAGAAGATGTCGCCGGACTTGATGTAGTAGGTCTGCACGGTGCACTGGCTGTGCGGGCAGATGGGGACGTTGATGATCTGGCCGATGGAGATGACGTCGAAGTTGGGGATCTGCTTGTTGGCGGCCTCGAGCGCGGCGAGGGTGAGGTTGAAGGAGGTGGCGATGGAGGAGAGGGTGTCGCCCTGGCGCACGTCGTACGTGGATCCGACACCCGGGACGCACCACTTGGTGCCCTCGGTCGCGGCGGGCACGCAGGTGGTGTTGTCGGGCGTGGTGCAGTTGGTCGGGATGATGAGCTTCTCGCCGACGGTGATGAGGTTGGGGTTGGACAGGCCGTTGAGCTTGGCGATGTCGCAGATGCCCGAGGTGAATTTCTTGGCGATGGTGGTGAGGGTGTCGCCGCTGACGACGGTGTAGTTGGTGGTGCCGTCGGCGCCGCAGACGGTGCTCTGGCCTAAAACAGTAACAAAGAGAAGATCCATCGTCAGCTCTACATTCATTCTGCGAGACTCGCGCTCTCAAGGGAGGGATGTTGCGTACGGATGGTGAGGGCGTTAGCCGCCGCGCCCAGGAGGGCTGCTGCAATAATGGAGGAACGCATGGTTATAAAAAGGAGGGACTTGGAAAAATCTTTCAAATGTAAAAGAATGGAGCTTCTGGAAGGCAAAGAAGAATGTGTTTTTTAATAGAGACTGAAGAAATCAAGAGAGCAGGCTGGACAGCAAGACGAACGGCGAGGCACATATATATACCGACCCCCAAGACCTCGCGATACATTGGGCGGGTTCATTAGGGAACCCCTCGTCTTTGCTTGTCCCAGCCCTACTACCTGCGCTACGTTTACGGTCCGCCGACCTTTTGACAGCGTCCTGTGTAAAACATACGGGAGCCTTCCCGTCCGTCTTCCCCTGTCCCATTTGCTGCAATCCCCGTCGCTGCCAGGTTGGCGCGGGCACTACGGGCGAGGGAATTAAACTCCGATGCGTGCGAGGACGCTGTTAGGTCTCACTCATGGCAAGAGCGATATCTCGGGCTAATGACGGTGGATGGGCACGAAAAAGGGGCGCGGATTACAACAAAGAGAGAATGAAGATTCCAGTGGGAGGTTCAGGTATGGACGAGAAAGGCTGATCATCGCTGGCTCCCGCACACATCTCTCTCGTTCGATTTCTTCGAGCGTCGTCTTCGAAGGCCCTGTGAACGATGTGGCTTGTGCGGAGAAGGAAAAGAGTGAAGTTGGGCTGATGATGGAACCAATCTCGGCCTCGAAGGTTGCCGGCAGCCCCGGGGTCCCATGCTGGCAGACGTGGGTATCCCCCGGCCAGTGCCGCTGGGGGATATTCTGCGCAGCGTCGTAGATCTTCTAAGAATACGTCCGCTTTTTGCACCAATGGACTTTTCTGCGTGCTGGCCATCGGGGAGGGAGGGAAGATGAAATGCCATGCCATGCCATGCCTCGACTTGAGGAAAGCAGAGGGGGCGGACGTCGTGAGCAGCAGGAAGGGAAAACAGCAACATGACGAGAGCATTCTCATCACAGGGCAGGAACCACCGGGTTCGTCTCCACCTCAACGACTTCGAACGCTCGCGTTGCAAACTTGATCGAGATGATTCACGGCAGAGACCGAGACGTTGTCCAGACCATGAAGCCCGGGCGGCACTAAGCAGGCCGCCGCAACCCGTAAGCCCTTCGTCCAAGAACGCGTGGTAACCGGGATCGCAGCGGAATCCATCATATTACAAACACGAAAGAAAGCGCTTCTTCGCGAGGCCCTGCGTTTCAGATTTTTAGCCCTGCGACGCAAAAATGCACTCCCGGATACGCATTGATGATGACAGGACCCGGGCCATGGGGCGGGCGGTGAGATACCCTGGAGTACGAATGCGGGCTCGTATGCCGTTGAGCAGTAGTAGGAAAGAGCTTCCCGGTCCGGTTTTTGGGTGATGTGGAAAGGATAGGAGGCTGGAAAGATCTATGCCATCCCATTGTGAAGTTGGGCAGACGTACGGGACGCGGATACCTTCCGGATCGGGAAATATTCGACTCGAAGTCATTCTGTCTGTGTCAGGAGGCTAGACGGGGTCCAGCTGGATCTGGAAAATTCGAAGGGAATAGTCAGTCCGCCCCTCTGGTTACAATTCATCAGATCGAGATCAGTGGACACGGCGTTTGCCTTGTTGGAAGCCTTCCTTCTTGCACCACCCGAGGAGTTGTTGGTGGCCCAGCTCGGATCCTGCAGGATCGAGACAATCTGCTGTCCCATGGGGCGAGCAAATCGGCTTCCCCGAAGAGCCAGCTGGACATGTCCTTCGTGTGTGAAGGCCATCAGCTGATTGGAGTGGATGTTTAGGATTGGCGTTAGTGAGCCAAAGACTGAGGAAACAGAGGTATAAAATCAAGAGCAAGTCTGCAGGACCATAACTGACCACCCTGGAAACTCCTCGACTGCACCCATCCACAATGAAGCTCACATGTCTCGGTCTAATCGCAACTGCTTTGGTCGGTATGACCCTTGCCGGTCCCATCGAACGCGACATCACTCGTCGTGTCATTCTTGGCAGCGGTGTGAGTAAATTTGTCCCTTTATAAGAGTCCAAGCCCATGGCTGACGGACCTAGACCTGCAACGCCAACAACCAAGTGTGCACATTCACTTCTGGGCAGCTTGCTGGTACCACATGCGAGTGTGCTGAGCCGGTAAGATACACAAATTCTTTGCGTTTTGACGCTTCTCATAAGATTTTTTTTCCTAGTGCAAAGCTATGGGCGATTCGTGTGTGATGAACAGTCTTGCTCCGGGCAATTGCGAATGCACTTAGCAAAGTGTGTACGACAGAACGATCTAGCAGAATCACCATTGTGTATCGCCTTGCAAGTCTCACGCTCGCTTGGCTCAATTCTCCGTCCATAGCTGGCATGCAACTGCACATCTGGCCGTTTATGTACAACAACTCTGCAAGTCTCATCCAGATCTCGGCTATTCGTACCCTGGATGAAGGCCGGATTGATGGTGCTCATAATCCGCGCCCGCGGTCCTGTCTCGCGGATCAGGAGCGCGCCTTCGGTGGGCACCATTACTCGCGCTCGCAGTGTTCTCCAAATCATCTTGGGAAGCAGACTCCGATCCAAGCTGTCCGGCAGCGCTGTCTTGACCGGGATTCGCTTCTTCGTAGTTGAAAAATTTCACGAAATGATAATAACCGCCGGCGATGAGGGCGCCCAGGAGCGGTCCAAGCCAGTAGATCCAGTGATAGCCGTGGAAAGATGCGGCAGCAACGCAGGGCCCGAAGGATCTCGCCGGGTTGAGCGACGCTCCGGTGTAGTAGACTCCCGCGATTTCGGCCACGAATAAGGCTATCCCAATGCCAATGGGAGCGATGAAAGTGCCTTTGTGTTTCTCCGCCGCGAGCATGAGGACTGTGAAAACGAGCTCTACAGTGAGGAACTACTCCAATAAGCTAACGTCATGGGTGCGGTGCTGGGGGTCTACTCACCATCTCGAGGAAGAGTCCTTGTGCAACACTAACCCCGGGTCCCAGTGCCGTTCGTACGTCCGCGATATCGCCCGGAATGATACAGCTCGCCACCGCTGCAGCACATACTGCACCCAACAGTTGGACAGGCAAGAATAGTAGTCCTCTCCACCAGTCCAAGCTTCCAGTAATGACCAAGCCGACCGTTACAGCCGGATTGAAGAGCCCTCCACTGACTCGATATAGCGTCCAGGCATTGATCAGCAGCGAAAACCCATAGCTCAAGGAGATGTAGATGGTCGTCGTGCTGCTCTGGCTGCCTCCGGGAGCGGAATCCGGTGCCGCGGCAATTGCCTTTTTTTAACTGCGTCAGTGGACTTCTTCGAACTGATGGCCTTATTATCAGCTCACACAAAAAAAGATTCTTTCTTACCATCGAGTGTCCCAGGAACGCGAACAGCAGGAACAGAAATGTCCCCACAAACTCTCCCGTGGCGGCGACAAAATCATTGCGGAATCGAGCCTCCTCTGCCGGGTCCTTGGGGGCGATCAAGCCGCCCATGGGCTTGTCGAATGCGAATTTGCTAGGCATTGTGATGTGATGTGAGCTGGGGTGCTAGCTACATACGAATAGTAGATAGGGTCGAGATCGAGGAGTTCGTAAATGTATGTTATCGAAGCAAAAAGAAATTGCATCCTCGCTCTTTCTCTCATCATATCGCGCTGTGTGGACTCTTTCTCTCTCGCCCTGCATATAGGCTCGTGATGGCATCATGACAACGGCAAATAGGGGACTCATATGCACAGTTAAATTGGTGGCGTACAGGGCTTCGGTCTCGGATTCAGATGGTCTTGGCTTCTACTGCACCCTTCCGATCCATTGATATACTTGCTATTTACATCTACTAATCAAGTTCTGACGCTGGAATCAGAGGAGAGGCATTACCGTAGAACGTCAGACCGATTACTAGTTGTTATCATAGGGGCAGAATCAGCAGGTGAGAAGCCAAAAATCCAGATCATTGTACCATAATAACTAAATCGCCGCTGCCTCGGGCCTGGCATTTGCGCGACGGCCGCGGCGGCACTCTCAATACCTTTTCAAGTACACGAGAAGCCGCTCAAGGTCAGCCTCTCCCACAGCCATCATTTTAAGACCTCGAAAGATGCCCTGTTGGCCCTTAGAAGTGTCCTCCTCTTGCCCGAACTTCAAGTCATGTTCGACAAGTCTGCTCCCAACGCTTGTTTTGTATACACTACGATATGTTGATGCCCATGCCTTCGACTTTTCTCGGCCCCAACGGCTGGATACACACGACTCGGTGTTAATCGATAGGTCTTCGTTACGAATGGTCCCATCTCAAGGTATTGAAGCTTCGATCGAGTACGGCGAGTCGTGTGGCTCTTTCAGGAATTAAGAAAGACGGCGCGGTGGCTGTCGCTTTCACAGATGCTTCTTCTCTTCACGGTTGTCTTCTTGTTGGGGCGGACGAGATCAGCAGCCGTGTACGACGTCAACTTCAGCTAGAACGTAGGCTTGTGAATATACAAAGATGGGCTTTCTGGTAAAGGCAACCCTTGACAGAAGAACTTCAGCATCAAGTCACTGGCGATACATTTTCTTGTCATATAGTCCTTGGTGAATCTGAATCTCATGCTAGTGGTCCTTGAGCCAATAGTATGGACGAAGGCAGCCAGAGACGCACTGCCAGGAGATCGAAACCATTTCGAAGACTACACATTCTAATTCGACCTCTGGATGAATTGCCTACAAGCAACCGAGAGAAAGATCGATCAAGGCAGACCATGATTAGAGCCATCCATCTACTGCTTAAGCTGATAATAGCTTCACTACATATGGAGCTCTCTCAAGGCGTTCCAGGTCTGTCGAGCAAACCGGACATTGAGAGTGGCAACTCAGGTCTCACGGGACAAGTAAAGTTGATCTGCGACGCTTGCCACCCTATGTCACCCGCAGTTGGCATGGGACGGGGTACAGCGTTGATAAATGCGTCTGCTCTGGTTCACTTGATAGCAGGAAAACTTGTTTCCGAAGCCAGACCAAGGAAGTTCGAAGACGGAATGGAGTCTCTTATAGGGGCAAAGATCGAATACTCGCCAAAGAATGGAAAGAAATTCTGGCAAGGCAGTGGGTGGTACGAATACTCAGAGGCTTACATCTAGCCAAGTAGAGTTACTTTGGCTACAGCGTGACCAGAGTCCCAACAAACACTGTGCCGAGTATCATTGCACAGTAGGCTACGTCCAATAAGCCAGCGCCAGAGCTTGCCGTCGCAGCGGTAGCAGTGGCAGTAGCAGTAGCACTTGCCGTAGCCGTGGCCGTAGCCGTGGCCGTGGCAGCCATAGTTTCCCCAGCAGTCATCGTCATCCCATCGTGAACGTATGTCACATTATACTCCTCTGCTGCCTTCTCCACCTTTTGCGTATACTGCGGATCGTTCACTAATATCGTCGTCGAACAATTACCGTTAGGTCTCGTCACCAGCATGGCTTGGTCGAAGGTAGCGTGTCCTCCAACACAGCAATACGGACCCACATCGCTCGTGACGTTGTCTCCTCGCGTGCCAGGACAGCAGATTTCGGGACCGCTGGTGCCATTCGAAATTTGAAATTGAGGGATCGCGCAGATGCCAGTGGTATTTGTGGGTTCCACTGCCAACTATGAGAGGTGGTCAGTTTGTGCGATTCAAGTGGAGCTGTTGACGCACTGTAGAACGCGCTCCAGTCAAAGAGAACAAGTAGAAGATAATCGCGAGTGTGTATGTATGATTTGACGGGCTCATCTTGGCAAGAGCTTTTTGCTTGTCCTGTAGTCGTCGTTGCGCCAGACCAGAGCACAGTTTGTAGAATGTTGAATCTTTGAGGTGGAATGTTTGCTCAATGGATGTTGATCGAAGGACAAAACCGTTTGAGAGTCTTCGTGGCGATGAGGGGCGGATCCGGATGGCCGCGATGACAAGCACCACCCATGATATAGGTACAGGAAAGCCTGCAAAGCAAATGCTGGAATCTGAACGCCAACTCCCAGGAGGTACAAAGCTTAACGCCAAGACTTGGTCGCCCGGCTACTGACCCTTACAACTGGCATCAGAATAGTAGTAGTGCAGCGCCATGCAGATGACCAAGCCTGCAATAAGAAGCTGATGACGTGCGATGCGGTCAATGATGGATAGCATGACTCTAGTGGTCACGAAGAAGATGGCGTATTGAATCGCAGATGAGCAGAGGTCGACGTTACCCATGAGACCCGCCATCTGGCAGATGTACACGACGTAGTACATGGCCACATTACTGCCCGGAAAATGCTGCCACATCTACACGGAGCATCCGGCAAGTGTACGCTTCCATATGCTGGCTCCAAAGAGCTCGAAGGAACCGACGCCTTGAGCTTCAGCGGCGATGCGCTGTGCTTCACGCACTTCTTCGAACTCGGCAGGGACAACCGCCTTTTCTCTGTCACCCTTCCCGTGCAGAGATGCCAAGACATCCAGGCACTCTTTCCACCGTTGCTGTGTAGCGAGTCCGGAAAGAAGAACAGAGCGCCTGCGAGGACAATAGCTGGGACTGCCTACACGCTCCACGCGATACGAAAAGCGGCTGGTCCCTCCACCGTGGTTGCGCATCGTAGCAGATCAGATACATGATCAAGAGACTCCATTCGATCGACCATTGCTTGTTTCCGACAAGTCGTCCTCGAGGCTTTCCAGGTCCAAGTTTTGCAAGGTAGACGCAACCCTAAGGTGAGCAGATACCACATTGATGATTCAACCCGCGATAAGCTGTCCGACATCCTGTGAAGAGCACACAATCGCGCACCCGACGACAAAGATTGCACGGGCGATCTGGAGATTTCATTCTCGTCTAAGACGGTCGGCCAAAAATCTAGCAGTGATGGCTCCGGAAAAGAACCCAGACGCAGTGATACCTCCTTGAAGGTCGCTATTAGGGTTGCGGAAGTGGTCGGTATACTGCTTCGTGCTAAGCCACGCGCTCATGGCCAAGACATCGAGGCCGAGTAGGGCCCGTCGACGGTGCCAAAGGCCGCAAGACAGGTCTAGACCGTTTTGTATACTCCAAATCTCGAGAGAACGGCAAGCAAAGCCTTTGTGTTGAATCCCCGACTTCTGCATCAACCACTCGCGAGGGCAAGCTGAGGTCTTCACCAGATGCAGAATGGGAGAGCCAGGAAGATTCCGGTCGATGAAGGCCCTCATGTCCTGTACCATGGCGGGTAGACGTATCTGACGTGCTCTGGGTCATGCTGTTGGACACAATCATACGCGCTGGGTCTATCGACGTACGTATCAGGGCATCCGACGAAGGCTTCGGATTGGGTGAAGACAGTACCAGAATCATCTTCCGCGAACGCTTGTTACGGTACCGGGCATACAGGAGAGAACATGGCGCACGCGGATAGCCACTAACGTCAGCTAAAACATTCTCTCCGCTTCTTCATCAGTCTCGATGAGAGAAAGCTGGAATGTCCACCACAGCTCCCCGAGCTCGAGTGGAGGCTGTGGCAGCAACAGATTCTCGAACGCCAAATCATGGAGTCTAATGCTGATGGCTCGCCGAGTTCCGGGGTAGCGCCTGAGTTTGAAGAGGTTATTCCCAGCCCAACTGGTGGATGAGACGCAAACTGGATGGAAGCGGTATCCTTCGATCATGTACGAGACTCAGCCCTCACGTCAATCCAATCAGCCATTTCCCCCAGCCTGTCCAACTGCCTTCTCATTTCTTATGCGCGTCCCTATACTCTTCAAACTCTTTCCTCTTCTGCGCTATTTCCTGCAACAATGCTTCCTTCTTCTTGCCCATGTGCTCTGATCGGTGTTTGTACCAATATATCACGGCCGGAGGGGTCACAAGTACCAGCACCGCAGCGGTAATATAAAGTCCGATGTCTGATGGGGGCTTCTTCTGCGCTGAGGTGGGTAAAGCCGCTCGCTGCTGCTGTGAATGTACTGGCGCTGTCATTGGAATTTGCGACGCGCCCGAAGCTCTTCGTATCTGCGCATTCGACACGCGGATCGGCCTGAGTATAGGCGCAAATGCCCTCCCGGATCTGATGATCATGTTGTGTTGCGCTTCGGATGCCCGTTGATGACTACGAGTCCCGTCGAAAGGGTGAACTGAAGCTCGCGTCGGCGAAATCCTCTCTCTTTCTGCGGGAGCACGGATCAACGAGCTGACCTCACCTCTCACATTGCGTGTGCGTCATTGGATCCGACACCCATGTCCGCTATCAACACCCCCGAGTCCCCATCGCTCCGTATGTCCCCCCTTGGACCATACGACAGCGAGGTGGACTGCACCTGTATCATTGTGACGTGCTGAGCATACTTAAAACGACGATTACACGTGCGTTGCAGCCGGTAACAGCGGATGTGACACGGCAGGAGGTAAGTGTTATCTCTTCTCCGTTCTTGTTCTTACCGTCATACTCTCTGCCCTCTTTGAAAGTATTGCTTGGCCAAGAGAAAGAGCATTGCAGGATGGCCGCTGCCCAAGTTCGACCCCAGCGCGCAGAGCCAGACACGCTCTCCGGCGCCCTAGCGGATTTCCCATCGAAAGGCCAAGCGCCTTACTTCGCAGAGGAGAAGAAAGGATGGAAAGGCTACGTCGAATGGGAGAAATACCCCGAAAAGAAGGCTCAGGCCGAACGAGTGCTCTCTCAATATCGATTCCCTGATTCCCCGGAATTCCAGCTCGTACCTCTCCCCAAAACGAACCCGATTCTGGAAGGCGCGAGATGGAAGCAGTACCACTACGCTCTGGGCGAGACTCTCAAACACATACCTGACATCAGCTGGAAATACGTGAAGCAGGAAAAAGCTGCGGATATGATTCACGTCTTGCAGTTTCCGTACAACGGCGAGCCTCCGCGAGTGAGTTGTCCATCCTGATCCACGTCGTCAAAGTACAAGATCGGCTTATATGATGTTGATAGGAACGTCTTGTCCAAGACCAGATCACGTCTAACAAAGACTTCTTCGTACGTAATCATGGCGGTATCCCGGAAATTGAGGAATCGGACTACGAACTCGAGATCGACGGCCTGGTCAACACTCCCACCAAGCTCACTATGTCCGATCTCAAGAACCCCAAGATGCTCTCCTACCAGTCCAAGGTCGTAACACTTCAATGCTCTGGGACCCGTCGTATCGAACAGATAGCCCAATACCCTGGCGATGGCGATGAACTTATCAACGCCCCATGGGGCGAAGGCGCGATCGGGAATGCACGCTGGGGAGGCGTCAGTATCCGCGACGTGATTGAAAAGTATTGCGGCGGTGTGCAAGATGACGGAGAAGACATCCACCTCGAATTCTACGGCGCAGACACCTATTTCAAAAAGGGACATGTCTACAACTTTGTCGTCTCCATTCCCTGGCGCAAATGCAAATTCGACGAAGCGCTCTTGGCATGGGAGATGAATGGCGAACCGCTGCCTAGAATTCATGGATTCCCGTTGAGGACTGTGGTGTTTGGGTACATCGGCGCCAGAAGCTGCAAATGGCTTTACCGGATCAAAGCCATCAAGGGACCGAGCGCGGCACCGATACAGAAAAAGGAGTACCTGTATTATACGCCGCAGATTGGGAAGCAGAATGTCATGTACTCGAATGGGTTCTCCATCCAGGACATGCCAGTGAGCAGTGCGATCATGACGCCGATAGACATGGACCAGATCATTCATGATGGGAAGATCAAATTGACAGGATGGGCGTATAGTGGAGGCACCGGCGGTTCATGGCCAGAGAGAGTTGAAGTCAGCGCCGACGGCGGATCGGTATGGTATGAAGTGCCATGGGAAAACATGAGCAAGAAATATTACTATGGCTGGCGCGTCTGGAGCGTAGAAGTTCCCGTGGAGTATGAAGGGTGGCTGGAATTCTGCTGCAGGACTTGGAACAATGCGATGAACACGCAGCCAACGTTTGTCAGGAGTGCTTGGTAAGTGAGACTCTGCGATTACTGGAGACTGGACACGCGCTGATGGGATTGTCTAGGAATTTCGACATGCATGTGACTTCCTCTTGCCACCGTGTCAAGATCTACTCTATCAACAAGTCCAGGCAAGCTACGAGAGAGCGACTGCAGGCTTTGGAGGCCGCGGGAGCTCCCATTGTGCCGATCACTCAGCCCGTGCCCTTTGATCTGGAGTCGGATGAACACTACAATGCCGTGATGGAAGCTTGTGGTGGTCGCGAGCCAAGCGAATGAACAGCTCGCAGCTCCCTCTCAATGTGTGGCGGGTAGTACCTACGAGTAACGAGGGCGATGTCATAAGGTACATTCCATAGACGCGCGGTCATTAGCAAGGACGCAATAGGAGGCCCCAGTATCAAAGATCAAGATGACAGTATCAACGCGCAGTGAAGCTTCTGATGATACACTCGAGCGCTACTTCTGCGCATGTGACTCTTCTCACATGTACCATGTTGCGCTTCCATTGTACCAACCGATTATTAGTATACTGCGAACGTGGCGATGTGTGTGGCGAGCCTACTCCAGAGTATAACATTCGCCTCCAGTCTGTCTCAACGAGCATGGTCGTCAGATGCCAGCTGGGTGATGGTGATTGGTTTACTCTCGAGGACAGCAAGCTCAATGATGTGGCCTTGAAGCTCCATGCATTAACGTCTTTGCATGTCATACGCAACTTACAGACGCCTTGAAGTGGCTTGCTGGCCCGGCCTCGCGCGCTTTGATAGCCGCCATGGTATGGAATGCCAGCAGATATGTTGAAGCTTGGTGGGTGTTCGGCGTTGTCGATGTTGAATTATTCATTGTTCGTGTCTGAGTGGGAGTTGAAGTTGTTTCGAAAAACGGAAGGCGCGGGAAGAGTGTTTGCCAAGGATCACATGTTCGAGCTTAACACGCCAGAGCGTCTTGGAACCGGTGCTCCGATGCCTTGAGTTGCCTACTCACTCGGCAGACCACGATTTGTGCGTGCTGCACATGGAAAGACTTAATGCATTGGTCTTCATGTTGTTTCGAAAGCATTCGCGACAGGCGCCAGCTCAGTAGTTTGCATAGTACAAAAGCTGTTCCAAGATATGCTGTACTGTTCGCTCCATCATTACGCCTTCCATTCGAGTTACATGTCCCGCTTGTGTTGGCAACAAATTACAATCGTCCAAGTGCGGTCCCCTCTCAACGCCGTCGCTGATTGTCATACAACACAAATCCTTCCGTGGAATTATCAACAACACCTGTTCTGCCGCATGCCTTTGTTCACTTCGTCCTCTATCGTACCGTCGTCTCCGTAGTTTGTTAGCCCACCGGGCGTGGCGAGGGAACTCAGCCAACTCCGCCTCTTGTCGCCGTGCCCAAGTCTGAAACTGCCAGTACCGCCTCCAGGGAGATCGAAATAGCCGGGCGTTCCTGGTGCGCCTTCTGTGCCGGGTGTTCTCCCCATCGACATTGCATCCTCCATCAACTTCTGCCGTTCCTGTCGTCTCGCATGCTGATCCACCAGTTTCCTTGTGATGACCCTGAAGACCTCCTCGATGCCCTCTCCATCCATGGCTGAGATCTCGTGACAGCAGGCCCAGATGTGCTCGTGTGCCCAGTAGCCAGATGAGCGATTGCTATTGGGGCTGTTGATTGGCGCAACAGAGGTAGGTTGTAGTCCTTGCCTGCTGGGCGGACTGCCGACTCTTGCTCCCGGGGTCATCGCTGCAGGATACAGCTGCTCCGTCACATACCCAATGCATCTCTCAAATGGCACTTCTCTCCTCTTGGGATCTTGCGCAACCACATCGCTCTTGGTGCCCACCACATGCAGTATCATGTCATCTTCGGCTTCCAACCCGCAATTATCTCTCAGCTCCTTCAGCCATGTGCCCATCTCCTCGAAGCTCTTCTTGCTGGTGACATCGTAGCACAAGATCGCCGCGTTCGCACCGCGGTAGTAGAGTCTCGAGATGGAACGAAAGCGCTCCTGGCCTGCGGTGTCCCAGATCTGGAGGCGGATGGTTGCCCCGGATTCCGGGTCGTTCACGCGCGTTGTCAGGAAGGACGCGCCGATGGTCGACTGGGCTTTCGCGGGTGGAATGAAGGTGTTCTTGACATATCTGTGGACGAGAGAGGTCTTGCCGACGCCTTGCGATCCGAGCACAACTAGTTTCGCTTCTAGCGACGTGGGCGGAGAAGCGGAGCCCATATCTTGACTGCGAAAGAGCGGTGTGCGGTTCGGAAGAGGGTCTGTTGGGGAGTGCAGCACGGGGTAGCTTTTTTCGCGTCGCTACCCGATGTTGTCGTTGTTACGCCGGAGTTTTGCGCCTCTGTACCTGTTGATCAATTCTTTACCGTTGCAGGCTGAGATCTTGTCATGGTATCGTATGAGCGTGCAAATTCCATGTTTGCGCCCTTGTACTGTCTTGTGTGTTCTTCCAACAAACAAGATCTTCAAGTTCAAGCACCTAAGAAAAGTAGCATAGGAGCTCTATGAACAATTGAAAGATATGGAAAAAAGGTGGCCAAGCCTTCCTATTAAGATGCAGGAGGTAGTGCGACGGTCATGCGTGCGGATGCGAATGCGGCATAGCGTCGGTACAGTACACAAAGGCCATGTGATCATTGTGATGCATTCCATCTTGATCTCCGATAGCTATTCGCTATCTCTGCGTGGGAATGTGAAGATGACCAGGTTCGGAGGCTGACTGAGAGCGTGATCAAAGAATTGAGGCCCAGCTGCCTGGTTGGAGACAAACGCTGCAGCCAGCACACTCCAAGTTGGAAAACCTTGGGCATGATTGGAGAGAACCCCTTTCGACTCTCAAGAGACTGTCCTACAGGACCGTACGTGCAGGGTATCACAAACATCTGTTCCAAGGCTTAAGCACAGTATCGATTCCAATCGGCGGCCATGCAAAGTGGTCATTCCTTCATCACACCTGCGTCCCGTTCTCACAAGCTGCACCTCTTCTATGCTGTTTCATCGTCTCCCTCTCTGTGAGAACGACTGGGACTATTCAGCCCCGAGCGAGCCTCTTCTACAGCCGGGTCTTGCTCGATTTCTCCCTTGCTGTCAAATACTGTAACTTCCATGAGTTCTTCTTCGGCCGCAATCTCGCGTTCCCTCTGCCTCTGGTTCAACAGCTTAACGTAATACGTTCCTGCCACTGGATGCTTGACTGGTCGAACAGCGGCTGTGTCCCAGCTAACGTGAAAGCCTCGCAAGCGTCGCTCTTTGCCGTAGATCTTCTGCATCATCTCGCCCATCGTGTCGACTTCTTCACAAAGCTCGTCGTTATCGCGAGCATCCTCAAACCAGAACATGACATCTCCATTGCCAGTACTCGGAGGCGGTTGTGTCAAGAGCATCCGTTTCCAGGATGGAGTGACGTCGCTTGGAGGAGAATGAGGGCTGGCAAAAGCGACCGACCTGAGCTTCCATTCGCGTGTCGTGTCAAAGAGAAGATCGTTCATGATGACAACTTGCTCGAGCCACTTGGACCGGTTGGAGGTCGAGTCAAGGATGTTGTACTTTTCCGAGTCCGCCACATCGAGGAAACCCAGATCCAGAATGTCGTCAAAAGTGTTTGTTGGCAGAAAGAAGAGCTTCTTTAGCAATGATTTGCTGTTGTTGATCACTTGCTGCCATCGCTTCTCTACTCGCTGTGCAAGTAGCAGCGTCTTGGTATCCACTCTACTGAGTATGGCCTCCAGGAGCTCTGTAGTATCGAAGACGGCTGTAACGGCGGACATGATGTCTAAATATTGGCGAAACCAGCTCTCACTTGCGGTATATCTTCGCGAGGCCGATGGTGTAATTCAGTGGTGCATGCACAGCAGCTCGCCCACGTCAAGTCATGCAATGCGAACAGGCGAGAGCTATATCACTCGACAGCAACCACATTGTTGTCCCGTGTCACCATGTACTCGGGACAAGCGTGGCAGCCAGTCACAGACCCGTGGACGCTGTATGGTGTCTTTGTTTCTGCCATGAAAAAGCTTTCCCCAATAGCGGGTCCTCGATAGCTGGAGGTGCTTACTAGAATGGCGCTACTATGCAGCTCAGCCTGTCCTCCTCTGCTCCCGCCTCATACAAACCCCCACGACCCGCGGCTGTCTCGCTGCCTTAGTCGTTGAGAGTCCTAAAGTGCCACATGGACACGATGACTGCGCTCATCAGCAGGATGGCCGTCTTGCGCATCCTCTTCCGATGGCACCTACGTCGACCGATGCTCTTGCGCACAGAAGAGCAGGCCGGAGTTGTGCCGAGGTTGCTTACCATTCGTCGATCCTGAAATTCGTGCCAACTTCCAACATTCGTTATTAAATCGATAACTGATTGAATCGATAAGTGACTGTCGATGCGAGATGTGTGGCTTTCAAGTCGTAGCGTGTACGTGCAATATGCATCGGAAACTAGGCCGGGAAAGAGTGAGGTTTCGAAGATGGTCACGTGTCCAGCGCGTCCGGGAACATCATTCCGCCGGGACCGATGAAACGCGCACGCACAGGCCATGTCGGCGTCAGGATCGAAAGCTTACTACTCTCTCCTCTCCTCTCTCCTCCTCATCTCTCCCCTGCCAACTCCGTCTATATATATCCGCCAGTTATCAGGTACTGTCGCATCATCGCGAACCCGAAACGACCCGTGCCGCCATGTCCCGGATCGTTGCCCCGGCTTTCACTCGCCAGGATGACATTATTGAAGAAGGATAACATGCAATACGACGAATGCGAAGTCCGTTGATGAGGCTTGGGCAAGAACGAGACAGCACGAATGACTCGCGCTTCTCGTCACCGTGCGGTGGACCACTCGATTTCCAGGTACCCGCAGGCTTGGACGTACGCACTGCAACTCCTCTCTCCCCTGGTACATCTTTGCTTTGGCCCGGCCATCTTACTCCTCAGCTGAAGTCAGCAGCATGACCATCTCCATCCAACGCTCCGCGATATCATGTGTAGCATTTGGTCCATAAGTCTTGGCAGATGTTCCCCGCCTTACAGGAGCTAGTCGATTGCAGTAACTTCTCTCCTCCACACGCATCAACGATCAGTGAGGAGCGCCGTACTCACGCAGACAAGCGAGCTGCGTTTTGGTCTTGGCCATCGAGTGATATCGAGGGTAGTCAGCTATAGCAAGCCTGAGAAGAAGCAGGACGGCAGCGAAAAGGCGGTCCTGCCTAAGGCACCTGCGACTCATCGCCACAAACGATAGCCAATGGAAAGACTCGGTGTCCTGACAGAACGTCAGGACAGCCAGTCTCGTCACTCTTGCCCATCACCAGAGTCGCCTTTGGCTGTCCGGACATCATCAGCACCAACTGCCGCCACACAAGACTGGCGGCGGATTATTTGCTTTGAGCATATAGCAGCAGTATCACATTGCCGCAAGGACCGCAGCGTCAAACCTGGACAAGGTGCTGGGCAATGGTATGATCGTTTATTCTAGGCACGGGTGACCACGGCAGAGGCCATGAGTTTGGATTTCGGGCCCAATACAAGAGCTGCTACCGAGTATGATGAAGCTCGCCGATCACATTCCTAGATCCTGGGACGCTCGAGGGTATCCGGGGTATCCGAGGTTCTCAAGCCTTCCGTCTACCACTTCATTCCGATTCATAGAAGCACTGTCCGATCCGGCAGAGGCGACGGCGAATAAAAGAATCCAGCAGGTCCCCCAATCTCTTCTACTCCAGACAGCTTTCTCTCCGCCCGGTTGCCGGGACTCATTACCAAAACGCCATTTGCAATGGCCCGCCGCTTCGGACTCTTCACGCTTTGGGCGATCACTATTGCCGCTGCTCAGGCTGAAGATGGCCCTCCCGACTTCTCCAGCTTCCAGTACCCAGGCTCTCCACAGGTCAGGGGTTTCAAGCCCAAATACGATTTCTGTATCGTAGGAGGTAAGATTCATCATCTGCAACCCAAAAAGAAGTAACATTGTTGACGAATTGACAGGAGGGACGGCGGGACTGGTGCTAGCGAATCGTCTCTCCGAGAGCGGCAGGCATCAAGTAGTTGTATTCGAGACCGGAGGCCCACCGACCGACGTCAGCACTTATGCGTTTGCAGGAGGCAATGGGTACGCTTTGAATGGTGAGTTCTTCCGTGGTCAGCCCATTTGCGCAGCTTCATTGACATCGATTCACAGGCGGCGTCAGTCCGATCGACTACAATTTCCAGACTGTGCCTCAAGAGAATTTGCACAATCGTAGCCTTACCTACCATCGTAAGTGGAATGCTGCGCGTGGTATTGACTCATGCTCAACATATGCAGGTGGGCGTGCCCTCGGCGGGAGCAGCGTTACCAATGGTTTGTATTACGGCATGGGCAGCTCAACCGTTTACGACGCCTGGGAGCGTGATGGCAATCCGGGATGGGGCTGGAAAGCCATTCAAAACGCCGCAAAGAGGGTAACGCTTTCGGTCGGCTCTCTGATGGAGGTATTCCATGCTCACAACGTATAGGGTACCAAATTCGTCGGAAACCCAGAACACACCAACGATAACACGTATATGACTTGGGACCCTTCGAATTATGGCACGAAAGGACCATTGAAGATCGGCTTTCAAGGCAGAGTTGTCGCATCGAATCCCAGCTTCATGAATGCAACCAGCGCCATCGGTCTCCACCCAGTCAGGGATCAGAACGGCGGCAGTCCCTTGGGGATCAAGCAAGGGACGATGACTCTGGACGAGAACTTCCATCGCAGCAGCTCATTCGATGGCTACTACCAGGAAGCCAAATACCGGCCCAATCTGAACGTCCTCGACCGCGCACCCGTCATTCGAATCATCTATGACGAAGAGACGATTGGCACCGACAGTGTGCATGCAGTCGGAGTAACCTTTGTCGACCAGACTTCCGGAACCTTCCACAATGTCTCCTGCGGGCGCGAGGTCATCCTGTCGGCGGGTGCTTTCCACAGTCCTTTCATCTTGAAGCAGAACGGCATCGGGCCAGCCGAAGAGCTCCAGAAATATGGCATTGAGCCCGTTGTCGTCAATGAGAATGTTGGGCAACACATGCTGGACCACACGTCTTTCAGCGTCATTCACGCAGTCAAGCCCGAATTCGCAGACATAGCTTCCACGAGCGACATGGGCAACGACTTGAACATCTTGGAAAGTGAGCAACGAGCTTTCTTCGGCGGTGGACCCTCGGAATGGCACAGCAAATGGTCCGCTCCATCGGGATGCACGAACGGCTTTCTCGAGATTCCGAACGAAGAGCTGGAGAGCTTTGGCGCGGGAGACATCATCAAGCAGGGTCTGACGCACCAGGCCCACAACGAGATTCTGTACGAATCTACCTGGTACCCACGCTTCTCCAACGAATACGGCCAGCCGCAAGGAAACATGTCGTATATCTCCATCACCGTCTCGAACATGGCAGCGCTCTCTCGCGGGACTGTAACCATTGCGGACAACAACCCTCTCAGCGATCCGGTGATTGATCCAAACGTAAGCAAAACACTTTGGGGCATCGAAAGCTTCTGCTGACTTGGCAATGTGTAGTATCTCGCGGAGGACGCCGATCAAGCGATGGCGATTCAAGGAGTCAAGTACATACGCAAGATTTTCGATCATCCCGATATGAAGAGATGGTCCGCTGGAGAAGTCGTGCCGGGAGAAAGCGTGCAGAGCGATGCCGACATTCTCGAGTGAGTATCTGTTCCCGCTCTCAAGCAACCAGGCAGATCTAATCTCTATCCAGATACGCGAGGGCCACAATGATCCCCAACTGGCACGCCGCCAGCAGCTGCCGCATGCTACCCAAGGAGAAAGGTGGCGTGGTGGATTCGCATCTGCGCGTGTAAGTCTCGGTCTACCTCTTCCACATGGATCAACGCTAACGAACCGCTCCTCACAGCTACGGCACCAAAGGCCTTCGCGTCTGCGACGTCTCGACCCTGGGGCGACTTCCGGATGTCAACCTCGTCGGACCAGTCTTCGCCGTCGCCGAACTGGGCGCCGAGATTATCCGGAGGGAATACGATGATTTTTGATGAAGGGCCTGGCGCTCTCGACCGGATGGCATTTCCTTGACTAGCCCAGTTCTTTTTCTTTGATTTTTTTTTTCGGAGATCTTCTATCTATAGAGGCTTTGCAGTCAGTATCACACCTATACTCTTAACCATCACGAAGCGCCACTATCTCCCGCTTCATGGCGACATGTCGTCTGTATCTGAAAGAAGAGTCAGTCGGTCGGAAAGTCGCTCCAGACTCACCTCACGAGACCGTTTCCGCTGTGGCTCGCTTATTACGCGGACACGTTGCAGGTACTGGCGAAAGAATTCGTCGCTTCGCTTCCCGCATGTTGCACGTCGCACACTACTTCCCCGCACACCGTGGACATGGTATCGGTACAGATTGACTTCGTCCTGAACTTTCCAACGGCTTCATCAAAGTCTCCAGCTTTTGAAGAAAAGAAGGGACACGACTGCGACGGATGGGTCAGGCTTGGCGGCTATACCGATGGAAGCCTCGTCAAGCTTCTCCGCTCGGACTGGGGTCGAATCTGTTGTGCGACGCGTTGGACAGCTATACCGCGATGGCACAAGAGTTGGCAAAGAACTGGAAGACATCGAAGCAACAGTGAAGAACATGTGTGATCCCTGCCGCCACTTCTTCCCCGCCATTCATCCACCTCCAGAGAGCACGAGCCACCTGGGGATTTCCCCTCCACGACGTCGGACATTTCAATTTTCTGACCTTCTTAGCGTGGACTTGATCTACATCTACATGCCGTCAAGCCGCTGCCACCCACCAGTGAGGGACCCTCTCATTTCTATTCTTCTCTCCTGTGCTCCTCCAAACCCTTCCATGCTCTCCCTCACCTCTCTATACCGTTGCTCCAAGAGAGCTTTTCTCCACCATTGCTCTTGGAGATTCTGAGAGCGCGGCTCTTCCTCCCCCGAATGGCTCTCTCCTTGGATGAGAAGACCCAATCCGCCAATCGCAAAGAACACGTCGAAGCCCTTCACGCAGCCTCAGCAAACGCTCCCTTCGTCCCTCCGACACCGCAAGAAGAAAATGCCGTCATCCGCAAACTCGACCGTCGCCTCCTGCCCCTCGTCTTCGTCCTCTACTCCCTCGCCGTCCTCGACCGCAGCAATCTCGGAAATGCCAAACTCGCCGGCATGGCCCAGGACATCGACATCAGCGGGAATCGATACAACCTGCTCGGAACAATCTTCTACATTGCGTATATCCTGAGTCAGTGGATGTTGATCGGGTGGAAACAGTTCAAACCGCATCAATGGTGTGCGATGGTGACTCTGTTGTGGGGCTTCGTGGCGACGATTCAGGCCACGGCATTCAATTGGGGTGGCTTGATGGCTTGCAGGTTCTTTCTGGGCATTGCCGAGGCCATGTTCGGGCCCGGGGTGCCGTTGTATTTGACCGTGAGTGTCTTTCCGCGTGGAAGGAGGGAAGGGCTGATTTGGGGGACATAGTTTTTCTATCCGCGCGAAAAAGTCGGATTCAGGCAAGGCGTGTTCATCTCGGGAGCGGCCATGGCGAATGCATACGGTGGAGCGTTGGCGTATGGCATCAGTCAGATTCGGGGATCTCTGGCGCCCTGGAAAATCCTGTTCCTTATTGAAGGTCTACCCACGTGTGCTTTTGCGATTATCGTCTGGTTCTTCTTACCGGACAGTATCAGCACCTCCACCTTCCTGAACGAGCGGGAGAAGGAGATTGCCCTTCAGTTCGTCGCCCGGAACCAACGGATCGATGTGGGCCAAGAGCGAGGAGTTCGCTTCCAGGAGATGTTTTCCGCTTTCAAGGATCCGAAATCTTTCCTGCCCGGGCTGATGTATTTTGGCTGGTACGTTTCGTTTCCCTTGTCACTCAAAACTTGAACAGAGGACTAAGCTCTGTTGTTTGCAGCAACGTCTCCTTCGCCTCCCTCCCCCTCTTCGTCCCCACCATCATCTCCGAAATGGGCTCCTTCACCCAAATCCAATCCAACGGCCTCTCCGCTCCTCCCTACGTGCTCTGCTTCTTCGTGATCCTCCTCCTCTGCTGGCTCAGCGACAGGACCCGAATGCGAGGCCCCTTCGTCGCATTGGCAGCCACCGTCGCCGCGATTGGATTCATCATCAACGCCACGACCGACACGACGGCGCCGAGATACACGAGTGTCTTCCTGAGTGTGTGGATCTTCGCGAGCGTGGCGTTGCTCTTGGCCTGGACGGCGAACATGAACGAGACGGAGAGCAAGAGGGGGGGTGGGTATACGATTCTGGCCACGGTTGGCCAGTGTGGGCCTTTATTGGGTGAGTTGACCTGACCTGAAAAACTCCGAGCTGAAAGCTTGTGAATGTTGTTGTTTCTCACACGACGACACACAGGCACGAACGTCTTCCCGGCGTCGGAAAAGCCGTTCTATCGCAAGGGAATGTGGATCTCCGCATCGATGTGTTTGATGGTGGCCGTGCTGGCCGTGATTTTGAGTTTATGGATCATCTGGGAGAATCGGAAGCTGGAGAAGGAAGGTGGTGGTGGTGGTGGTGCTGCTGCTCTTGAGGAGGAATTTGATACGGATGTCGGGGAGCAGCGGGAAGGGAGACATGTGAAGCATAAGCTTGTGTGGTGATGTGGTGATGTGGCGTGACGGGGTGTGATGAACGACGGATATGGGTAATGAGAAATGAGAAAAGTACTGCATAAGTAAAGGGCTTGTTCTGCAACACGTCAACGGCTACATGGCCTGCGAGGTATCTTTATGACTCAACATGGAAGCACGAAGGATGGCAAGCTTCGGGAAGCTCTGCAATGGAAGACCCGAAGTTGAACTTTTCAGCATGAATGAAAGAAGGCCTCGCGAAGAGAGAGAGAGAGAGGGCAAGAAGGCCAAGAGTGGATTTCCCTCAATTGATGGAAGCTAAGGTAGCTAGAATCGCAGGAAAGCTGGAAGTCCTATCCATCCTCCCCGATCATCCGTCCGTCCATCCATCCATCCTCATCGTGCCGATAGGAATCCTCCCCTCCAACGAACGAAGAAGGCAGATCCGTTTTCGTTTTCTTCATCATGGCTCAAAGAACGAACGTCCGTCCGTCCCCCACAACTCCCTCCAAATCTATGCATCATCGTCATCGTCATCGTCTCGTCGGCATCTCGATGGTGTGTGGGTGGGTGGGTAGGTGATGCAAGACTGCAGTGCAGGTAACGTTAGCATTGATGGCTCGAGAAGCAAGCAGACCCAAAAGGCAAGGAAAGGAAAGGTAGGGTAAAAAGAGGACGGACGTACGCATTCTCTAGCACTTGCACGAGCCCGGGGCGCAGCTGCAGGAGCTGCAGGAGCAGGAAGAGTTGCCACAGCCGCCCATTTTGGATTTTTTTTTTGGATTGGTTGGTTGATTGATTGATTGAGTGGTTGAGTGGTGTAGTGTAGTCGTAGATCGATATTGTTTCGTTTGTTGGTTCGTTGGTTGCTTGCTTGCTGTGTAGTTAGAAGCTCCAAGGGAACTATGGCAGAGGGGGGTGGTGGGGTCGACTATATATCCTGGAGTGAGCTGTTTCTGCGGTGCCAAGCGAATCGAAAGGCACGGGGTACGGACGGGTCGACGTGGGCGTGGGCGTGGGCGTGGGTGGTGAGAACGTGAAGGGAAGGGAAGGGCGACCAATCACCTTCTGCCACTCAATACTTATCCAGCAATCGCGCTGCTTTTGCGTGCGCGCGACTCCGAGAGACCCTTTCTGCTGTCGGCCGCCGTGACCGCGACACACGACACGACACGACAATCCATCAGATGCCGCCTGTGCCGCCGTCGGTGAAGGCCGGGCGTGGGCGATACGATGCCCATCCATACCCATCCATACACATCCCCCCATCCCTATACACGTCTTACGTTACCAGCCCTCGTCATTACTATTCCCATCAGCACTTCCTTCCCTTCCCTTTGCTGCTGAGGCTGACGATGATGATGATGATGATGATGATGATGATGATGATGATGCTGATGGCGGCGGATCCGTCCTCCCAACGACAGGTGGAGGAGGACCTCGGCTCGCTGCAAGTCCCAGCATTAATAACACTCCATCGTGATGACGAGCGAGTTTTCCCTCGAATCACGCGCTCCACGTCGCGCGCAAGCTAGAATAATAATGGGACATGGCATGATAAGAAAATAATAGGTGCACGTGCAGGTAGGTTGCAGCTTGCAGGTTGCAGCTTGCAGGTTGCGGATGCAGGTGCTTCTTCGGGGAACGTGGGGCGCGCAAAAGTGCCGCCGCCGCCGTCGTCTCAGGGATCGGATCTATCCATCTATATACCACGCACGCACAAAGACCGCAACTTGGAACAGGAACAGGAACAGATATCATACCGGAGCTACAAGGAAATTTTTCGAGGCGGAAAGGGGACGAAAGAAAAGATGGAATACTTTTTGGTGTCTCGTGATGACCATCGACGAGGTCTTCGTGGCGTCGCTTCGGCCGCTAGATTTTTAACGGGTTGCGTTGACACTTGCTCTGCTCACTTCACTTCCATTGACGGCCATTTTCACCGTCATTGAGAGAAGCGTCGCCATCTTTCTTACTCACTCTGTCTGGCTCCACGGCATCCTTTTCAGCGCTTCTACCAATGCACTTCATCACGCACCCGGGAGGGATCGAAAAAGACACCGGCTCATTCGGCGACTCTGCCGCAGGCCCGGCGCAGCATGAGATTCGGAAAACAGACGTACAATAGCCATATGTTTCCAAAGGCTTACGACAGTGATATTCTAATATTCCATCGATTGACGCGCGCAGATGCTATCCGCTCCGCTCCGCTCCGCTCTGGGCCATCCATGGAAGGGGCTGCTTCCGGTCTGTGCAACATCAATTTTGGTGTTCTTCCTCCTACTTTGTTTGCCATCCGAACGTGCACCGGTCAATAATAATGGTCTTCTTCTTCTGCACATCATCATTTGCCCAGGTCAATGGTAACTTGGCCGCGACTTCAGGCTCGGTCGCCGCACAAGGAGAAGAGAGCAGCTAGCTGATCCCACGGTTGGAATGCCGGCGAGCATGTATTTGCCTGCGAGGGAGATGTTGTTGCGTGCTTGCTTGAAATCGCCAATTTGTCGGACACTTTGGCAGCTGTGCAAGAGCTGGAGGGAAATGTAATGCAATGGTCCGCCATGACATTTGCAGAGTTAGTTATCTTGAAAAGTGAAATCCCGCGATGGGCACGAACCCGCTTGGATATGGGGAAGAAAGTGGGCTGTGGTCTGTGGTGTGGTGTCGCAGGAGATAGACGGCGGCAATGGGTTCCTGGTTCATCAGCCACGGCCCACGACCACGGCCAAGCTGGCGAGCGCCTTCAAGCTGAGCGTGATTGGTTTTGTACATGCTGATTGATCTGCGTTCTTGGACGTGAACAGTCAGTCAGTCAGCAGTTGACTGCATGTATGGCGTTCGTTGAGGACTGTGGGCTGCAAGAGGGAGATTTGATCTTGATGCTGATTCTAATGCGAATGCTGATGGACAGCCAAGCCCGCTCAACGGTTCTCTCTCTCTCTTCTATTCTCTCACTTAATTCGCACCATCCAGCCACCGCAAGGCGATGCATCCATCGTACGTACCGCACGAACAGAACGAGGAAGTTTCGCTACCAAACCGACCGAGCAATGCAAATTTTTGCACCGCCGCGACTATCAAAACCCACGATGCCTTGACGAACGAGTCCGCAGCCATCCTGCCATCCTGCTTATTGCTGCTATCCGCTATCCTCCACATACCGACCTCGCGTAGAAGATACATACCATTCGGTCGGCAGCAACGTCCCTTTTCTTTCCTTTGAGATCGATCGGAAGAAGATCGGGAGATCCCGTCAATGATATTATAGTTGAGATAAACCATACCTACTTTCTCGCGACGATTCTTGCAAGGGAGCAAACAAATCCTACCTATCAATCAATCAATCAATCAATCAATCAATCAATCAATCAATCAAGCTGAATAGACCTACCTTAAACTCTTTCAATTCAATTCAAAAGTTCCTCCCACCCAACCCACCAAATGCATTCAGTCGTTCGTAAGAAAGTCCTGCTAATCCTCAGGGTAACACCCTCAAGAGAAAAAAAAAACCCCCCTCTGGCTCTACTACAGACTAAATGAATGGGCGACTGATGATAATGTGCACGGTGATTCCACACATCTGGCGATTTTGGGGATCATGCATCTAGAAAAAAAAATTGGAAAAGACGGTGATGCCGAAAAGAAGAGAGAGAGAGAGCCATCCATCATTCGCCGCTCCCGTCCCATCTTCCCGTCAATACGAATGACCGACCGACCGACCGTACCGGCACGGCAAACCTCATGCTAGCCTGCCCTAACGAACGCCTGGGAGATATGCAATTAACCGCGGTCCCTCTCCTCTGTCCTACGCCATCATCATCATCATCATCATCGAGCCGTCCAATCCGGATGCTCTTGTTGCCCGGGTCCATGTCCATGTCCATGACCATGATCAGAGACATCCACGTTGCCAATCGTCTTCGAATCGGGGTCATGCAACAGCTGGGGCTGAGGTGCCGGATGAATCTGATCGTCCGAGTGTCCCTCGACGTAGATTGGTGGTGGGGCAGAAGAGCTACTCGACTCGCCACTGTCACCTCTTGAGCGCCCGTCCACGACATTCAGAGAGGGGCTCAGGCGAGGCGATCCAGTAGGCGAAGGCTCTCTCACCTCCTCTTCGGCTTTTGTCTCGGGGGCATGTTCGATGTGCTCATTTCCATGCTGCTGCTTATCTTCTTCACCAATCATGGCAGCCAAAGATCTGAAGTTGAACATGGGCTCAACATTCGTTGCGGCCGGAGTTCCCAAAGCCGACGAGACGTTTGAGCCATCGTGTTGCTGCTGCTGTTGTTGGGCACCGGCAGCGACGTCTGCGCCGCTTGGGCTAGCAAGGAGAACACTCGAGGACGAATCCGCTCTCTGACTCCCTGGCGTCGGTGTCTCGGCAAACGAAGAATTTGCTGAAGACGCATTCGAGAGCTGCCGTAAATGTAGTCCGCGCGGGCTTGGTGTTGCTAACGGTGAAGGAGCATTGGGCTGCAGGTTGGCCCTGGACTCCTCCAAGTGCTTCTGCGCATTGCCCACACCCGACGAAGTGGCAGGCGGAGAAGGCGAGTCTCGGTTTAATGTCGATGTGGGCTCGTTCAGCGGATTGAAGCCCGCAAAATCCTGTGCAGGCTGCTTGCCCTTTCCTTGTCCTTCCCCCATAATCGATTGTTGTCGTACGCCCACAACACTCGTCGATCGCACCGTGCTCGTGCTCGCCCACGTACTGGTACTGTCGTTCGTCCCGGCCCTATACAGTGACGAGCTGACACCACTACTGCTACCCTGCCGCTTTGCGAGCTTCTCTGCCTTCTTCTCTTCTTTCTTATCAGCCTTGGCCTTCTTCTTGGCCTCTTTATTGGCCTCTTTCTCCTCTTTCCGCTTCCGTTCTTCCTCCGCAGCGAGAGACAACCTTATGGCCTCCATCATCATAAGATCTTCCAGATCCTCGACTCGATGTCTTCGCGAGCTCGTCCGTCCCGAAACCAAATCAGAGCTTCCCTCTCCTTGACGACGTCTGTTAGCAGAAGGCCGAAAGAAGGCATCATACTCTGCCGGAGACATACCTTCCCGAGGCGTGCCACTGCCACTAGCATTCGGACTGTCCAACAGGACGGTCCTCCTGCGTCTACCTAGTAACCCTGCGCTGCGTAGCTGACCATCACCTTGATTGCCCAGCACATAGGCAGCGTTGTGTAGAGCAGTGGCAGCAGCTGACCGCCTGAGCGCTTGAGCTCTTGCGTCTGCCAGTTTCTTGGCCCAATCAGGCCTCACGCGGTCTGTCGTGACGACGCGTGGATCGTTCGCTGACAGAGATCCAGCTCGTCTTCGTCCTCCACCATTCTGGAGCGAAGTAGAAGACGACATTGCAGAATTGCCATTCCGCAGAGAACCTTGTTGATATGCATATGATAGGCCTCTTCTGAATGGCGGTGGTTGATATGTCACGCCAAACTCAGGCGTCACACAAAAAGGACAAGCAGCAACTTCCGACACCAACACCTCAGCCTCTTCGTCAGGTGGCCTTTGTTGGCCCGAATGTTCGTGCTCCGGCGGGTGAGGGTCCGGTCGCTTTATCTGGACGAAGCACTCTGAGCATATCGACTGGTCGCAACACCGAGTCTTGTTCAAGAATGGCGGATAGAACATGAAGCAAATTGGGCACTCGGCCGCATCTTTGTAAAGCCATGCTAGAAGCAACTGGCCATTAACGTATGGCTCGTCTGGCAGCCGAATCTCTTGCGGGGAAAGATCTGGCGACTCGCTCTTTCCTGTCAAAGCAGAGGCCAGTGTCTTAGCTCGACCTCTGAATAGTGGGTTGTTAGAACTCGGCGGACTCGTCGGCGAAGCAGGTCCAGAACTAGATAAGAAAGCAGCACTCGACGGACTCAGAGAGGCGGATCTGTCCGACTGATACGACTGAGATCTACCCGTAATCGGCACAGTCAAGCCGTTCAGATTCGCATCATTAGACTGCGCATCGTTAGAAGGCTGTGAGGCGGTATGCAACACATCAGGCGGTACAGCATCGGCCTCGGGGATAGGCTGCTTCTTCGCGGCAGCAACTAGCTGTGCCTCTGTCCAGGATTCTTTGTGATCATCGAGTCCTTGCCAGAATGGAGCCAGTCTTCGCTCGATCTGCAGCTGCCGCACAACCTGCTTGTTGAAGTCCTCAGGGCCAGTATATACTCCCACGGTGACCAGGTATCCACCATCTACGTGCTCTTCTCGCATGCTCCGTTCTCGTTCTCTCAGTCTTGCCTGTCTCTCACGCTCAGCGCTTCGTGCCTCCCGTTCCTGTCTCGTTTCTCGCGGTCGTTCCGAAGCTGACGGCTCTTGTTCCCTCTCTCCTCTCCCGCCCAGATGTAAGAACGACAGATTCTGTCTGCTTTCCCGGGCACTGCCGTTCCGACCATACACACGATCCGCTAAGCGACTGCCGGACGTGTGATGTGAGGGTGAAGGCTCGCCCGAGTCAACTTGCTGACCATTCCCGTGTCGGAGGTTGCTGGGCCGCTTGCGCTCGTCTTTGGAAGAGCTGTTGCCCATCTTGGGTAGCTTGGTAGAGTGTTTCGGAAACCACGCTCGCTCAGGTCAAGTTGCGCGCAAAGTCGAGCTGATGTAGTTTGCGCTGGGTTTGGTGTAGCATTGAACGAGAGAGGTCCAGATCAGATGGCGTGCTACTGTATCACCAGTACGGGCATCGGAGTATCCCGCTGAAGAACCAAGAGAGGTGTGGCTGTTTGGCTTGCGTGCGAGCTATACAATCGAAATGATCAAGGCGCACGTGGGCAATAGATAGCCAGGGTGGACAGGTGGGTGGGTGTAGTGAAATGGTGTGGTGTGTCTTGTGAGGCCTCCGGGATATGGTGGATTCGACGGGCCCTTCAAGTGTTACACCTGAAGCTCATCTGGCCTCGCACATGCTTGCGGCACCTGGTAAGACGCAGATCCGGATATCGCTCTTCGCGGCGCTCGGCAGGGAATGCAGAACAAGGGCGGAGGTGATGATCGCGGGGGGCGTTCGCGTGGTGCTGTAGCAATGATGGGCGGGCCCTGAAGACGCTGCACGGCGGGCGAGGTGAATGGCGATATGATGCGGGCGGTAGGATAAGCCGGATGGGGACGGCCGAGTCGAAATCAAGGATTAGTAGAGGATGAGTGAGAACAGCAGCAGCAGCAGCAGCAGCAGCAGCGGTACACTAATGTGGTAGGAGAAGGAGCAGCTGCTGCGGCGTAGTCTATCTGCAGGTGTCGGTGTCTAGCACCGAGCCAGAGCAAGAATGCAGCTCGCTCTGACCTCACCGCGCCTGCCGGCTCTCAACCCAATCCCTCACACCCAATCACCACCAGGACACACCAGGCACTGCCCGAACTACCCTGTCGATACACGTGCATGCGAGTGCATGCGAGCTGGGGAAAAGACATCAAGAATCAGCAGGATCAATAAGGTAACCTCAAAATCGTCCTCCGCGATGCTTTCACGTGCTTGGTTGGCATAGCTTCTAGATCACACATATCTTGTCGCTGCCCGCGGAGCCAGACAATCCTCTCAGACGCCACTTTCGCCTCATCAACGCTCATCAAACACAGATGAGATCACTAGCGACAGGCATGTCCCATCTACTTCTTCACAGGCAGACGCTTTCCTGCAACTGTACGCGCATACAACCCCGTTCACATGACGGGAAACTACGCCATCTCTCTCCTTATCGGCGCTCTCGCCCTTGTCACTACCGTAGTGGCAGGCTAACATCATCTGATGGTAACTCATCGGGCAATGGACTCGCTGCAGGGGTCATCCAAGGCTCTACCTCGGGAGGCTGTGAGGGCTGCTGTTGCTGCTTCGCGCGCTTGTTGACAAAGCCCTCGGGCGGCGAGTCCCACGTGAAGTCCAGGTACTCGTCCAGATGCTCCTGGATCCCATCCGCCAAGATCTGGACTGCTCTCTGACGATTGAGACTCCACTCGTGGTCTCGTTCCCATCGTCCAGCAAGGCGAGCGGTCTCTGCGCCGTTCTCGAGCCCATCTAGAATCGACCTCCAGACTTGCATGGTCTTCTCCAGTTCGCTAAGCTTGCTCACACCCATCACGGTGACTCCTAGACGATTGCCGCCGACTTGAGAGTTGAGCTCTTGTTTCCATGGCACGCCCGAGGCAGGATCCCCGCGAGAGCCGACCGTCGCTCCCAATTTTAGCCAGCTCTCCAGCGCATATCGAATCGCAATGACCTCTAGCTTCTCGTCGTGTCGATCGCAGAAGTCGCTGGCCCGCTTGACCGCAGAACGCATTCCGTTGTCCGCAGGATGCCAATTGCCCATGCTGCCCAGAGGAACACCCTCTCGTCGCAGTAAGCCCATACCGAGAGGCGAGGCGTTGGGAACAACGTCGACTCCGGCTTCTTTCAACTGCTTGACTCCAGTAGATGCAAGCAATTGATTCTGCAGCGTGAAGTTCGCATAAGACATAACCGCGTCCAGTGGTTCGCCGGTCTCCCGCAGTACGCGCTTCGCGATCGAACACAGCACCGGCACGGGGTATCCAGAGATTCCAATGTACTTGATCGTCCCATCTTCGTCGCGTATTCTCCGTAGTTCGTGGATCGCTTCCATGACCTCGTCTTCAGACACAAACTCAACATCGTGACAGTAGATCAGATCCAGATACGCCGTCTTTAACCTCTCCAAGCTTCTCCGAACACTCTGTCGTACCCATTCTTTCGAATAATCGAATTCGTCTGATGCTATGCGCCCGCATTTTGTGATGAGGAAGTAATCGCTTCGTGCAAAGTTCTCACGCACAAAGTCGGTTTCGAGAGCGGCGCCGAGGATTTCTTCAGATGGGCCGTAGTAGGGCGATGTGTCGAACGCGCGCACGCCGAATTCTAGCGCTTTGCGCACAAGGCCTGTGGTGTCGAGCTCGTAGGGATCCGGGTTGTATTGGTAGTTGAAGGTCGCGGTGCCGAAGATGAGGGGAGGGAGGACGGCGGAGAGAGGGGTCTTGGTCGCATTGTCGGACATTGTGAGACTACGTGAGTAGGCGAGCGCCTGCGCTCGTTTCACGTTTCACGGGATCGCTGTCGCTGAAGTGGTCGGGCGCTGTGCTATCAACGGGAGAAAATCGTCGCGGCGCAATAGATGAGATATCCCGTAGCGATGAGATATCGCGTAGCGCACGACAATGTGGTATAGAGTGATGAGGAGGAGGAGGAGGAGGAGGAGCAGTTCACCGCGGCGAGGCAAAGAACAGTGGTGCTTTGTTCACCGCATGGTGGAGGAAGGGACAGGAACAAGGGAAGACGACAACAGTGTTGAAGTCATAGAAACCTGTACGGGCGTCCTAATCTCCGGCATTATTAGTAGTATGATCAGGGGAAGGGAAGGGGAATCGCCGAGGGGACGGCGGACGGCGAACAAGGCGAAGCGAAAAAGGTTGAAATGGGGTAAGCAGTCCGGGAAGTGGTGCGGTAGTAGAGCCGTGGGAAGCGTGGCTCGCGGTGCCAACGTTTCCCTGTGTTGCCTGTGATCCAAGCAAAAAGTCATGTTGATGGACGATGGGCGAGCTAGCGGATGACGAGCTCGCGCGCCTCGCATCTGGATCTGGACAGCTGCGCACGGGAGAAGATTGCCGTATCTGATCTGCACTGATTGGTCCGAGCGAGATCCGGAAGAATGGTCAGCTGTGCGGGAAGCGGATAATGGCAGAGGATCAGTGACTACATTCTGCAGGTGACCATGACTGTGCACAGCAGTAGGAAAACGACCAACTAAAACGCTGTGATCCTCTCCTTCTCAAGCACACTTCTGTCTTCTACCGCTGTCGAGCGACGGAGACATGAGGCCTAACAACTCATACGCTACTCAGTTGTGCGGCCACGGCCGTTCACGACCAATGAGGCACAACGTAGCCAACAGAGTGTTCCTCTCCTGTCTATGGAGATGATTGGTTCTTCCTTTGGATGCGGTAGCGTCTCGACTAATACCTGCTTACCACCAATTCAAATCCCGCTTTGCGATCGCGGCTTCCACCTTCGCGTCCACAAGACCCTCGACTTCACCTTCCATCAGCACCTTACTGATCTCGCTGACGACCTGTAAGATGTAAAAGAGAATATATTAGCCAGCAATTCAGAGAAGCCCGAGCATCCATAGACATGATAAGCCAAGCTGATGGTTTAGATTGACCGATGCAATGGGGATCGATCACTCCTGCCTCTGGAGACCCTTACCTCTCCAGCCCTGACGGCTGTTTCCGTGTAGGTATCAATTTGTCTCCTTTCCGCGTCAACTACACTCTTCAATTCCTCTAACGACAGCAGCCGTCGAGTCGGCCAGAAAGCTCGACAGCCCTTCGTCTCGGCTTCCAGTGCGAGAGTCCCGGTCCGCAATTCGTGGTATAAATCTTTATACCGCGCCTCGGCGATCTGAATGACATCCCAGCTCCACTCAACAGCCTTGCGCATCATGGTGACCTACGGTGGGGGCAAGGTCAGGAAATATTTCAGACACAGTCATGCGAAACAAAGGCACTGAATGCTGGCAATTGAGTCGAGAAAGGAGGATGAAAGGGAGTTGGCGTACCTGCTTCGAATGCTCAGAGCCCAAGCTCTCAGCTTTCATTTCCAGCTTTCCAAGTTCTCCGAGCCAGTCACTCAACACCAATATCGTCTCCGCCGTGAACTTGACCAACTCTTCGACTTTGAGCAACTGCTCTCCTAGGAAATGGAAATACACGTTGAGAAGCGTGTATGAGCGGGTCCAGCGTGCGCCGTATGGGATTCGATAGTAAGCCTGCTCCCATAACGCTAAAGTGGAATTATTCCACGTATTGAATTCTCTGGTGAATAGTTCGACAGTCTCGTTGAGGGACCGGATTCCAAATTGTCCCCAGAGAAGATTAGTGTGTCGATAATGGTAGTCATTCGAGCTGAGCTGTTCGATCATCTCCTGTGCAATGTTGGCTTTCGTCGCTAGCGATTCGAGGTCGTTCGCATCAAGGTGGATATTCTTCGTGGGATCTTCAAGTTTCGGGTACAGTTGGGTGAGGTTTGCCATGGTGAGATGCGTTGCGAAACCGACGAATTCGAGTTGGGTGGACATTTCATTGAGTTTTGTGATTTCCTCGAGGATTTTGGTGGTAGGCGACATCCCTGGTGAGAGCGTGTCAAGGATGGAGGTATGCGGTTTGATCCAAGAGCTCTCGCAGATGCTCACGCTCCATGGTATGCCAGAGCAGAGGCCACTGGCACTGCGTAGAAAGATCCCAATGGAGACGATGGTGATTGAGACCAATGCCAGCATCTGAAAGAGTATCCAAGCCTGTCCTACAACTTTGAACCCACGCTGTCCTGCTTGCTCTTTCCTTTCCCTATCTCTCCTCCTGTTCTCTTCAAAAACAGAATTGTATCCATAGTCAAACCAGACGTTGCTCTTCCCCCATCGCCGTCTTGGAGAAATCTGCTCTTGCTCGACGGCCATTTTTCCACATCGTCTCTTTCGTAAAGATGAATGAGAGGGAATACCAACTGCTGAGGCACCTACATGCCTGAGCTCGCAGATGTTCTTTGTGACTTAATGACCTGCCTTTTCGTTTTCTTGTCCGGCTTCGGTTCATTCAGCTGCCTCGTCGCAGGCTTCACTTGGTGTGCCTCCAATTTGCACGGAACAACGCCTGTGTTTTTCTTTTCAGTCCCTTATCGTCACGCTCTTGAACGTCAAGTGACATTGAACGCGATTCCGTCTTGGCGAGAAGATATTCGATCGGTCATGCGTGTCTTCGATTGCGATCGCGCGGAATGTGTTCCTTTGTCCTGCGGCTGTCCGACTTCATCTCATGAATTTTATAACCTTTGGAGTGCATCACTGCAGCGTATAATTGATCATACGAACGAGTGTCGTATATCATCGCGCGGAGATGTGAACAGCTTCGTGAAAACAAGAGGATGTGAGCACTGAGCAGGTTGTCCGTAGTGGCGGGAAGATCCGACTGCGGAAGTCCGTGGCGGGCCGAACTCGCGCAGTTTTTTAACCATTATAAATCATGTTGGTCCATGCCTCCTATCGGATTGGGCGGATGGTCTAGGGGTATGATTTTCGCTTCGCATGTTTCATACATTGCTTGTGAAAGGTCAGGGGTTCAATTCCCCTTTCGTCCAAACTTTTTGCTTTTTCTTGTATTCTTCCTTTGCGGGCTCTCCCTCCCAATTCTACAGGCGACCTCATTGCATCAATTGCTCTGAAAAACCATCGTCACCAGACGCTACATGGTCATGTCGCCACTTTTGTTATCTTGATCCCAAGATTGCCAGCAAAGCTCAGGCCCATAGCGAGTCGGATCGTTCAAAAATAGCAGTAGCAGCTGTCGAGATCACACGCTTTCCCACCTTTCGACCACTACTGAGAGGTCGTGAGGTACTTTAAACTCCCATCGTGCTAAGTTCGTATTCCGGGTGCTGACTAAGATATAACCACTTCCCAGTCCATCGTAGATATGTTCCGATTTCTTCGCTAGAAATCTTGGCATTTTTGGCTATCCAGGCAACTCACAAACCTTCGCCTTGCTCAAATCCAATGTTTGGTGCTGGCACGCCTTGCAATTGCATGTTTGAGGAGGTGGAGATAATCAAGCTTACATCGGAAGTTGCCGATCTCCGGAGCGTTCGGAATGAAGTTCTCGAACGCGAACGACATTCTCATCAGACCGATTGCTATGCCATTGTCATGCTACAACCTCACCGTCGCCTTGACCTAGCTTACTGTGAGACTGGTCTTGCCGGGTAGAAGCCCTGCGAGAATAGTGCTTGAGATCAGGCACCAACCAAGCGCAGTCAGCATGTGATAATCCGGGGTTGCTGGTTTGCATTGCTTATCCGCCTCAAAATGCTCTCCCCAAGCACTGTCCCCAAGCAAATAAGAAGAGGCAACAAGATTCGATAAGATCTCAAGGAAGTCTGGTCTGCCCTAGATAGTTGGCATCACCACGCTCTCCGAGAAAGGAACACATGGCTTGGACAATACGTGCCAAGCGAGGATCTACCTAGAAAGTTAAAATGAAGAGCATGGCTTCCAAACTCTGTACGAGAACCTATTTTGTGCGGTGATACAAGCGGAGAGCGGGAGGCCGTGGAAGGAGGATCACACCTCGAATTCCGTACCCATTCTGTGCTGGTGATACAAGCGGAGGCCGGCAGGCCGTGGAAGATGATCGGACCTCGAAATTCCTTTATATTTACCCTTCCACTTCGCCCTTCGTCTTGTCTTCTGGGCATCCTACATTGAAGGCTTTACTCGACCATAGTCGCTCGTTTGCAAAAAAAAAATACTATCATTCACCGTCATTCATTGAAAAACTCATCACGTTCATTATCTTGTTGTCGAAGAAATGCAGGGTCTCGTCTTCCTCGCCGGTCTTCTGACCGCTGTCAATGGAGGTGCTTTACTCCCTCGAACGGCCAACTATCCAGATCCGCAATACATGCCCTCGGGCAGTGGTGACAACTCAGCAATCCATCCAAGCGAAAGTCAAGACAAGCCTCTACCACCACACAGTGGAGGCGGAGCATACCCCCCTCCATCCTACTCCGGAGGAGGAAGCGGAGGCTCCCTGTCCAACCCCAGCGGAGGACCAAGTGGAAGTGGTGGTGGAGGCGCCGGATACTCGCCTTCATCCAACGGCGGATCGGACAACCCCAGCCAAGGCGGAAGTGGAAGTGCTGGAAGCGGAAGTGGTGGAAGCGCAAGTGGTCTCATCTGCGGCGCCTCAGACATAGTAGACCACATCGTCGTCAAAGGCGACACCCTCGGAAAACTAGCCCACCAATTCAACACCGGCATCTGCGATATCGCCAACCTAAACAACATCGCCAATCCCAACCTGATCATCACCGGCACTACCCTCCACATACCCGAGAACTGCGCCAATCCGGATAACACCACCTGCCACCCTGACCAGGATACTACCCCAACTGAAGTCTGCGTCCTCGGCTTGCCTGGCACGTACACCGTCAAGTCCGGCGATACTCTGAACCAAATCAGCAAGAACTTCAACATCACGCTCCAATCGCTCGAAGGGGCAAACACGCAGATTTCGAATTTCGATGTCATTACCCCCGGGGAACTGATCAATCTCCCCATTTGCCCGAATAGCCAATGTGAGAATGTAGGAACCTACACCATTCAGAATGGGGATCTGTTCGTGGATCTGGCGAAGAAATATGGCACAACCATTGGCCAGATAGAAGCTTTGAACGAGAATGCGGATCCGGAGCAGCTGCAGCCGGGAATGGTGATTGTTCTGCCGCAAGGGTGTAGGAATCTCACGGAGGCTGTTGCTTGATGGAGTAGAAGTGCAGTGGTCTTCCGAAGAAAACGCTGGGTGGTGTTCTGTATGGTTTATTTGCTTTGGGATACGACTGGTAGTGTTTGCATGGTTGGTTCAACGTTCTGATTGGATATTGCACTGTCCTGCGCGGTCGTAGAGTAAATGGCAATTTGTTCTACCGGTGTGACCCACTCACATGTAACGAATCGTTCTCCTCGTGAATGCGGCCACAACCCGAAGCCGAGATGATGCCTAGGTGATTGAGAATTCAAAGCTTGAACTCGAAATTGGAGCGCTCCCATCCGCCGCTCTGAGGATCTGGTGTCCTGGCCGCGATCCTTTCGATAAATGCGTTCTTCCGTTCGTTTGCGCGGTCCGTACACAACTCGTATACAGTACTCAAGTTGAAGAGCAGCGTTGGGAACACTGGGAGACGTGAAGACAGATCTTCTAGAGCGCTGCGTGCGGAGCTGATGTGTCCGGTGTAGAGCAATGCTACCGCGGCGTTCTGAGCGAAATCTTCGTGACTTGGAAATTCTGCAATCAGACTCTGATAGCTCTTTACTGCGGCCGAGTAGTCGCCATCGCCAACCCTCAAAAGAGATTGCAGGCCTTTCTTCCTCGCTTCATCGTGAATTCGATCGACAGAGTGGTGTGCTCCGGTGAAATCCCCCACTCGTAGGCGAAGTAAGGCTTTTCGATAGGTCACTTCATCAGCATCCACGTCGACGAGTGTATCCAGATGCCTCGCAGCGGTCTCAAGCTCTCCCATCTCCACCAAAGCATCGCAAACGCGCATTCCAAGATCTTGCAAATGTGCACTCCACATGGCGATGGAAGTGCCATCACCAGCATCCTGCGCGCGACGGAGATTGGAGCGGACTTCACCGGCAAGTGCATACAACGACATGATTCCGCGTCTACCACCGTCAGCAGCACCAATGGATTGCAAACGGACTAGTAAAAGTCGGAGCTCCCATGGAATAAGTGGAACAATATCCTGAGCGCCGGGTGGATTCCGTGCCAAGAGGTCGATGAGAGGAATGGCTTCTTGAGCTGCCATATCGGGTCGCGAGATCAAGATCAGACAGGCCAAGCGGGTGTACAGCAACTGTAGAATGTGTTCAGCCGCATCAGATGGACTTGCATACAGATCTCTCAAGGCCTTCTCCGCAGCTCGTCTGAAGTGACCGCCCTGGAGGAGGTCCGGCAGAGAGGCATTGGCAGGAGGCTGATGCTCTGACTCCAGGAAAGCTTTGGGTACATCCTGAACGAAAAGCTCGTGGTAGATGCCTGGGTCTTTGAGAAATTGGAGATTTGCTGTTTGCCGGAGCGGCTGTGGCAACAACGCCGGCTCTGGTATCGGAGGTGTAGATCGTTGCGATTCCGGACTTTGAACTGACTGGGTTATCTGAGATGGTGAAGAGGTGGAGTCAGCGGGCGAAGATTCAGCTAGAGGACTGTGTAATCAGCATCAGCCTAAAAGCAAACACATGAAGTTAGCAACACTCACTCGTCTGTGGCCTCTTCTAGGAGACCCTTGGTCGCCCGGGTGGGCGCCGGATGTGATATGTTCCTCGCATGGCGACGCACACTACCAGGCGGCGATTTAGGAGAGTCCATGGCGTTGAAATACAGCGATTTGTTGATAGGGGGTTTGTGGTCGGTGGAAAGCATTCACTTGAGGACGGGCTAAACGCGCTGACAGGTTCTGGCCGAAGTCGCAGGGAGCAGCCAATCAGAGACGTATCTACGGTAGATCCCGTGTGGGGCTTCCTCGGCAGTGCGGAGCGATTTTGAGTCAATGGTCGACTCACGCCTCTTCGTACTCAAGAACAATTGTAGCGCTTTCTTTCACACTCACACACTCCAATCTCTGCTCTCCAAACCGTCTATACGCGCCTGCGATCCAGCATCTGTTGAAAGGCGTGCACAACACCACATCCGCAGCCATGTTGCAATCCAAAGCGGCCTCCAGGGCCGTACAATCCCAATGTCGCCGATTTTCGAGTACGCCTGCAACAGCAGCCATCTCTCCCTACCGAAAACAATTGCCCCAGACCCAGCAAAAACCGGCACGACGAAATGTATCGGACACCGCGACACGATCAGCGCAAGCCGCTACGGCGCCGTCGCCACAAAGAGCCGTGCCCAGCCCTGCCTTCAACCGTGAAGACAGTTCGAAAGTGAGGGGCGTTTCACGTTTGGAGCCATTCAGACAACCCGAGATGGATCACAGCTTTGTCGGAATGAAGGGTGGAGAGATATTCCATGAGATGATGCTTAGGCAGGGCGTGAAACACATCTGTACGTTGCATGGCACCACTCGAGCACATGCCGAGGCCATGTCGAAAAGCTAATGCGAAAGACAGTTGGATATCCTGGAGGCGCCATTTTGCCCGTCTTCGATGCCATCTACAACAGCGAACATTTTGACTTCATCCTCCCCAGACATGAGCAGGGCGCGGGTCACATGGCCGAGGGTTACGCGCGTGCTTCTGGCAAGCCTGGTGTCGTCCTCGTGACATCTGGTCCCGGAGCCACCAACACCATCACTCCGATGCAAGACGCTCTGATGGATGGTACTCCGATGGTCGTGTTCTGCGGACAGGTCGTGACCTCAGCAATTGGCTCCGATGCCTTCCAGGAGGCGGACACTGTCGGTATTTCAAGAGCATGTACCAAGTGGAACGTCATGGTCAAGAACATTGCGGAGCTTCCAAGAAGGATAAACGAGGCATTCGAGATTGCAACCTCTGGACGACCCGGCCCAGTCTTGGTCGACTTACCAAAGGATGTCACTGCTGGAACTCTGCAAAGGCCAATTCCTATGACTTCGACCCTGCCAACACATCCATCGGCCGCTACCATCGCAGCACGTGAGCTTTCCTTGAAGCAGTTGGATGGCAGCATCAGACGCTCTGCCGATCTCATCAACATGGCGAAGAAGCCAGTTGTGTACGCTGGTCAGGGTGTCCTTGGCCATCCGGATGGACCTAAATTCTTGAAGGAGCTCTCCGAGAGGGCTCAGATTCCAGTCACCACAACTTTGCAAGGTCTTGGCGGATACGATGAGCTTGACCCCAAGTCTCTCCACATGCTTGGTATGCACGGCTCAGCATACGCCAACATGGCCATGCAAGAGGCAGACTTGATCATCGCTCTAGGCGGACGATTCGACGATCGCATCACTGGTAGCGTTGCTCGCTTTGCGCCTCAGGCACGTCTCGCAGCGTCGGAGGGCCGCGGAGGCATCATCCACTTTGACATCATGCCGAAGAACATCAACAAGGTCGTGCAAGCCACCGAAGCTGTGGAGGGTGACGTGACCGCCAACCTCGCCCTTCTATTGCCACACATTGAAGCCAGAACACAGGAACAACGAAAGGAATGGTTTGGCCAGATCAAAGCCTGGAAGGAGCGCTTCCCATGGGCATATGAGAAGGAAGACGGCCCAGACGGTGCCATCAAGCCCCAGACCGTCGTGTCAACTCTGTCCGACATGACCGCCGACAGGAAGATGGACACCATCATTGCGACTGGTGTCGGCCAACATCAAATGTGGGCAGCGCAGCACTTCCGCTGGAGAGCACCACGCTCGATGATCACTTCTGGAGGTCTTGGAACGATGGGTTACGGTTTGCCAGCAGCTATTGGAGCCAAGGTGGCACAACCGGAAAAGCTTGTGGTGGACATTGACGGTGACGCCTCGTTCCTCATGACGCAGACGGAGCTTGGCACGGCTTCTGAATTCCAGATCGGGGTCAAGGTGATTGTTTTGAACAACGAAGAACAGGGAATGGTCACACAATGGCAATCTCTCTTCTACAACGACCGCTTCGCGCATACGCACCAGAGGAATCCGGACTTCGTCAAGCTTGCAGAGGCTATGCACGTTCCGGCGAGGAGAACTACCAAGTTGGGCACTCTGAAGGATGACCTGCAATGGTTGATCGAGGGCTCTGGCGAAGGACCAGCGTTTCTGGAGGTCAAGGTCGACCAGAAGGTGCCCGTGCTGCCCATGGTGCCCGGCGGTAGCGCTCTGCACGAGTTCCTGGTGTACGACGAAACCAAGGAGAAGGAGCGGAGACAGAGGACCAGGGAGCGATCGGGAAGATGATGAAGACACGCGGAATCTTCTTGAGGTGTCTGCTTTCTGCTCTCGCTTTCTGCAAGGTGTTCTACGGCGCTGTGCATCGGTTGATGGTATGATCTAAGGGCATTGGGAGGAGCGTTTGGGTTCAAAAAATTGTCTGTATTAATGGGGAGGAGCTCTGGATTGGCGCGCGCGCGCGAGGGAAAAGTTGGCGAGGGAGGAAAAGTGCTGGAAAAAGCAATACCCCCTGCACATGCGCTGTAACTTATTCTCTTCACCGTTACCAGAAGCACCAATCATGGCACGCTTTCACAGCTACATCAGCTACATCTCAGCACCCCGTTGCAAAAAAGGTCGTTGGGGGACTCGCTCGGTACGAGATTGATTGGTGCGACGTGGACGGGGGAATGGGATCCATTGGTACACGTATGTAGGAGCTTTTGCCAGGAGGGTTCAGCTGATTATTGATGAGGTGATTGATGTAGCGATGTATGATGTGTGATGGGAGAGCTGTGGTGGATGGCTGCGTGCAGACTGTACGAGTTTCCACATTTGGTAGGAGGTACATGTACATGTAGCGTTCGTTGATCAGTGCTGAGTCGGGAAGGCTGCAAGGCAACCTGTAAGGAAACATGATTGCGAATTTTTGGCATGTGAAAATGGTCGTCGCTTGGATGCATCCGTCCATACAGCGTTCCCGAAGGAAATACTGGGAACCGCAACACATCATCATTCGATGCTTTGTTCTTATCGTCAATGATTCTGGAACACGTCGCCTGGTCGCCTGATTGTGAGACAAGGAAGAGAGAACAAGGTCCCAGTTTTGCGGGGGGAGAAGCTGGTTTGTTTCAGCTTTTTCCCCCGGAAACACAGAATCGAGCGATTGGATTTTTTTTTCTTTCTCAGATGATGATGACAGGTGAGAAAGTGATTGATGATTTGGTCCGTGCGTGGGGATCTATAGCATGCATCGTGGATGCTGACAAGATGGGGGTTCGTGGGTTCTGCGAGGCTTTGCTGTTGTTGTGCCGTCCTCGCTGCCTAGGATAGGACTTCGCACAGTGTTCGCACTAGAAGACAGACTGTGTGATCGTCCAACGCGAGCGCGGGGCGCGAACGCGGACGCGGACGGCACCCATGCGCCCGGCAGGCGGAAAGGATCTGATGAAAGTCGTATATTAGATGTCTTATATCAACAGCTGTCAGTTTTTGAATTCTCGGCAAGGCACGGTTCCTGATGAGGAGGGGCGAGCTCATCAGGCACGTGGGTGGGTGGCCTGAAGCGGTGCGTGCTGTCGCAGCACGTGTTTCTTGTTTTCTACACACGCAGTGCACGCGGCGTCTTTGGGCCCATGGGTGTCGCACGGGGTATGGGACAATCAAGTTCCAAGTGGAAGTGGTGCGAGCAGAGCTCAGCCACACGTTCCACTACCTTTATATAGGGGCGGATAGCGACCCAGCAACACGGATCAGCTGCCACGGGCCTAGACTAGACTAATGGCCGGCCGACTACAGTAATGCCACGGAGCGAATGCCACGGAGCGAAGGCGCGGCGCGGCGCGCGGGAGGCAGGCAAGGCGAGGCAGGCAGGCACGTTTGGCACGCAGGCAGCAGCAGCACGACAAGGCAAGGGCGACACGCCACTCAAGTGTTATGATCTCGGATTAATAATAACCATTCAACTATCTCATCTCTCCTTCCACCTCTCTGTGTCAGCTTCCCTTCCATTTCCAGCCCATCTCCTCCCAGCCTGCATCCGCGCACCGCACAACACAACATCGACCTCTCAGCCTGCCATCACCTCTGCCGACGAAGAAAGGCAAGGCTCGGCTCGGCCTGATCAGACTGCCACCTCTCCCGTCCTCTCTCCCTCACGCTACGCCTACCATGTGCCTCGCGTGCCTCAACGTCTCGACACAACCGTGTTCCCACCGCTGGTACCAACTCGTGCGCCCTTGCAATCCCGACAATGACCTCGCCAACTGCCCCGAACGACTCAAGCTGGAGGGCTGGGAGACTCGTCTGGAACATTGCCCCTTCTGCGACGGCGCGGAGCACAGCCGAAGCACTCACAGACTCTTCGGCACCACCTCGTCGCCCAGCTCTGTCGCATCCTCATCGCCCGTCTCGGATCTGCGCACCACCCCTCTCCTCCCTCCGGGAAACCGGAGGGGGAGCCTGGGAACCATCAACGAAGACATCATGGGTCCACTATCGCGAGAGAGTAGCCACGCCAGCATCGAGACCGATCGCTCCCAGCAAGCGCGCGACATGAATGACAGGATCTTCGTCTACCTCGCCTCCGAACCACACCACGTCCTGCCCTCGGCCAAGAAATACTACCCAACCTACACTGCAGCCATCGCGCGCGTGGAGAGCAATCTGTCATCCCCCGACACCTCATCACCAGTATCCGGCACGAGGAACCTTCGACGTCGCCATTCCTTCATACACGGCTGGAAACGCATGTCTGGAAGGCTCTCCATCTCCTCCAGCAGTCTCTTCAAACCCTCATGACAAGGCGAATGCATGTTGGTCAGATGCTAACGAGAAATGCACATCAGCTTCCTTCTGGACTGGACATTAACCGCAAGAGCATTCCTGCACCATCCCTGAAGGAAGGGTCTCTCTCGCCCCGCCAGCCACGTGTCCGGCGCGCCTTGAGCCTGACAAACGGTACCCGTGCAACTGCGTGGGATGCAGCGCGCGCGAAGGATCTTGGCGTTGGAAGCGGGCTGGAGTTGTTCGCTTGCTGCGAGACCGAGATACCCCCGACCGAATGTACTACTACCACTCTGCTACGACAGATACGGCCGTAAATAGGTCTCCTGAAATCCGCTGCACAGAGCACAGAGCACAGCATATCCTGGTGATGTGATGTGAGGTGGATTCTGAATCCACGACAGCTCCCCACTCCGCGCATGCGAGACATTGTGTGTATACTACTCGAATAAAATCCATGCTGTCCGTCCACACTGATTGGGCTGCGATGATGAGAGCGATGATTGTCCAATGCCTTTTCGCTATTACTGCTGTGTCAATGCCGTAGCTCGTCAGCTTCCATGTCCATCGACACTGCAAGGTGATGATGCGCATGCTTTTCAAACCGAAGGCATAGGATGGACTACGTACAGTGCTACGCTGGACCAACATGACCCGCATCAGTGGCCCAGACTCACTCACACTACCATCCGCCAACCGTCTGTCTTTCCAAGGTCTTCATCATGATGATCATTTGACAAAGAAGACCACCTACCAACGACAACAAACGGAGGGCTTCGCCGCCCACATCATCACGCTTGGCTCGCGTCACCTCCAAGCTAAAACACCCCCCCCCCCGGACCTCCGTCTAGTTCTACGCCAGAGGACTCCCATCAATCCAACCCGTATTCCCAAACAACCCCGTAAAAGGGTCCTGAAAAACCAGCCCGGGCCTCTCATACCCTTCCTCGAATTCCTCTCTCGTCAACTCACTCGTAACGTTCAAATTCCTAGCCGTGAGATTCCCGCCGGGGCCGTAGTTCCGGTACTCGGCCATGAGGGTGGTGTTGGGAACCACGCGCGGGTCGGACGCGCTCCAGGTGATGTATCCGGCGGGCAGGATGGACGGGTCCAGGTATGTGTTAGCGAAGAGGGCCGTCATCAGGGAGTTCCAGGGGCGGCCGAGGGCGCATTTGTCGTGGATGAAGGGGGAGAGGGAGGTGTTGGCCGCTTGGACGTGGGAGTTGTGGATGTAGATGCCGTAGCTGTTACGTGATGAGAGTCAGTCGGTGTGGTGTTGCGAATGAGAGTTCCGAGACTCGTTGTCTTGGTCTGCCAAGGAAGTCTCTTGGGAACAGGGATGGACAGGACAGGGAGGACGGTCCCCAGTGTCGCGCCAACAAGCAGGCCTCAGGGCGAAGATGATCGTCCTCTCGACAGTCTCGAGGGATCTGGTGCGGTAGAGGGCAGGGAGGGAGAGAGGTTCAGAATGCGGTGGAAGCTCGATGTGGTCCCACGTACGGCACAGCGCAGTCCATTGTCATTGTCGTGGATAGCTGCGACGCAAGAACGAGAACAGACGTACCGGTTGACGAAAGTGGTATTCGTTCCCTTCCAGGCCGTGATGCCGCCGCCGCAACCGCGGAGGAGGATTTGGGATTGCTCGACCCAGAGCGTTCCAAAGCCATCTACGCCAGTCAGATCGATCCTTCGGCATCATCTCCTGCCAGCAATGTAATGGGGTGTCCAGGGCACACTCACAGAAGAAGTCCGTCTGTCCGCCAATTATGCAGCCGTACATCCATGCATTGCCCAGCTTGCCCACGTAGACCTACATCAAAGTCAATCGAGTCGGCATCGATGGTGGTGTGGGAGAGGGCGATGAGGCACACAGCATGGCACGTACCGTGTCTTGGTAGCTCAAGAATTGGGAGTAGTAGAAGCCAGCATTCGCGTAACTGATGCTCAACGCAAGACTAGGACCAGCGGCATATGGCAGGTAGTCGTTGATGAAGTTGAGGTTGTACGCTCTGAAATTCTCATTTCCAAATGGCGTTCCTGCTGGTACAGGATTGCCTGTTGGGCCGGAGCCCGTCAAGCTGGAGTTGAGAGTTGGTGCAATGGACAGTGTGCTGGTATACGCATTATCGTAAGTCCCCGTGGTTGCAGTCCCGGTTGCGTTGTGCCAGATGATGTTGACAGTATTGTAGGATGCATTGTTCGGATGCGAAGTCTGGCCGAGGAGAGTCAGAGGGCCCGAACGCGACACGTTGACTTGCTCTGTATAGTTCCCAGGAAGGATCAAGATCGTATAAGGCGCTGTGTTGTCGGGGAGACTCAGCACTGCCGACTGGACATTCTTATATGTTGCGTCAGGCCCGACGAGGAGAGTGTCGTTCGGGCAGCCTTGGAGAGGATCATGCGTCAGCGATTGGCATTCTGCGCGGCTGTAAGAGAGGGCCGAGCCAACACATGCCAACAATGGGGCCAACAAGAGAGGCCGAAGCATCTTGTCGAGATCTGAGGCGTTCAACGACTTCCCCAGCACACGGAACAGCCAAGCGACAGTGTCGAGAGGCGGGGGGCTTCGTGCTTCATAGCACCATCAGACACTCTCATGTTGCTACACGTCGTACGAGGGTGCTCGTGGCGATACCAATCGAGAGTGTAGTCCGGCATCGCAGTCATGGTTGGGTGGCTGCGGAGGTCATGTAGGCGAGACGACCAACGCCTGGGACGACATTAGCCGGAGACCTGACGAATGACGTCCGCGATGCGATGCAGGTGGGAAGCTCCACCAATGCGTGTCCGATTGGACTTGAAGTGAAGTGTTCCATGTTGGGTGGTGGTCGAGAAGTCGTCCAGAAAGTTGATGCCTGGATGCCTGGATGCCTTGATGCCTCAACGTCTCAATGATCACCTCCTCCCATCTCTCCCCCACCATCCAACCTCGTCTTACGAACGCATAAGTCTGCTCGGCCTGGTAATCTGTCTACATTACTCTGTCTGTACATACGGCCTGCCGATGCCGAGCGCATCCCCTCTCAAGTCCATCCCAGACTCCTACGGCATCCCTTAAGCCGAGGATAGCATCTCCTCTGACTTGTGCTATCCGAATTCATCTTTATACTTCCCTATCCATCCTTTCATAAGCTTCACATCTCAGCGTCTTCACCTCGCCAGACCTCTTCGCACGCAATGGCTTCCGCGCCGTATTCTCTGACCGCCGAAACGGTCAATCCGCCACGCAACAGCACCATCCTAATCACCGGCGCAGCAAGGTATGTCCACATCTCGCTCGCCACTTGATGCCACTCTAAGCTCAATACCATCCACAGCGGCATCGGCCTCGCAACAGCCCTCTACCTCCACAACCCCGAATACAGAAACAACATCATAGCCCTCGACATCGCTCCTTCCCCACCCTCTCTGCCAGACCTGACTTCCTCCCCTCGCTACCTCTACCTGCAATCCGACATCCTCTCCTGGCCCTCCCAACGCGACGCTTTCCACCGCGGCGCCACCAACTTCCAAGCCATCGACCACGTCTTCATCAACGCCGGCCTCGCGGAGATCGGCGAGCAGATCTGGACGGACGCCTACGATGCACACGGCCAACTAGCCGAGCCCAACCGCAGCACCATCGACGTCGACCTCCGCGCCGTGGGCGATACCCTGAAACTAGCCATGCACCACCTCCGCAACGACGGCAAAGGCGGGTCCGGCGCTGGGAAGGGTGGCACGATCGTCCTGACGGCCAGTCTGGCGGGCTACCTCGCCTCCGCCGGGGCGCCGTTGTATTCCGCCGCGAAGCACGGAATTTTGGGCTTTATGCGTGCTTTGAAAGGGGATTGCCAGAAAGCTGGCATTGCCCTCTCCGTCATCGCGCCGGGCATCACGTTGACGAATATCATCCTCGGACGCCGCGAGGGACAGTCGCTGCAGGCTTGGGGCGAGGAAATGGCGGCGCGCGGGGTTCCTATTAACGATGCGCAGACTGTGGCTTTGGTCGTGGCGAATTTGATGGGTGAGGGCATGCGGAGTAATGGGAAGGGGGTTCTGATCCAGGCGAATCGGATTCAGGAAGTAGAGGGGGGCATTGCGAAGGCGAGGGAACGGTGGATGGGGAGGGAGATGTTGGGACTCTTCCGAGGGGGACGGAATGCCCCTTTGTTCCCGAATAAACTGTGAAGGACCAAGTGATGCCCGCCGAAAAAGGGTTGCATGCCATACTACTAGATTGCCTTCTCGTCTTTCATGTCCTCATTGCTACGTCTGGCCTCTTGAACGTTCCAGATCCCAACCACCAGTTCTTGTCGCCGAGAATGGTCGGTCGCAAAGCGCTTTCATTCAAACTCTGCAAGCAGATTCGATACAAAAAGTGACTCGCTCGCTGATTATGCTAGAGGGAAACAAACATGTTGAAACACACACACACAAGACAGAAATGACCGTAGTTGTCCCACCCCGTCCCGTCCCATTCCATTCCATCCCATCCTATCCCCATCCCCATCCCCATCCCATTGGTGCCTTCCGTACACCCGCATGATGACAACTTTTCGCAGACGCCTTGTTTCTCCTGGTCTGGGCACTTTATCCGTCCCAACATTGACGCCCGCTGTATCCATGCGACAGATGATCCTTCATTTACTTCCTCGCCCCCCGGGGGTGTGCCCATCGTATTGCTCGCGCCGCGTGTCTGTACTCCCCCCTCCCCCCTCCAGCCATCGCCTTTCCGGCCGGCCTTATAATATCACACAGCACCCGCTCCTCTCTTTCCGATCGCCAGACAACAGACTCTGCCTCGTCGCTGCCTCGAAAACATCATCTACACCCTCGCCCGTCAACGAAGAGCATTCGAGGTATTTCTTGGCGCCGATCCGTTTGCGCACCTCCTCGCCCTCGTCGGGCGTGAGGAATTTCTCGGACCGTTTGCGCATTTCTTCTTGGGCTACGGGGTCGTCGCGGAGATCCTTTTTCAGGCCGACGAGAATGATGGGAACGCCGGGACAGCGTTCTAGGACTTCGGGATGCCTGGGGACGAGGTCAGATGACAAGGCAGGCGGGTTCAGTGTAGAGGGAACTCACCACTTGGTTGTGATGTTATGTAAGGAATCGGGACTGGAAACGGAAAATGCGATGAGGATTACGTGAGCTTGTGAATATGCGAGCGGTCTCAGGCGTTCGTAATCTTCTTGGCCTGCGGTATCCCAGAGGGCCAGTTGGACTGATTTCCCGTCTACTCTGCAATCGGTGACGTAGTTCTCGAAGACTGTTGGTACATATCGCTGCGCAGGACGAGATTGTCAGAGCCATAGGTTGGGCGGATGGCGGTGGATGTGGCATGGACACTCACTGTTGGAAAATACCCAAGTGTGAAGACGCTGAGTAAACTGGTCTTTCCACAAGCACCGTCACCAATGATGACGAGCTTTCTGTGATTCGAGGTCAATGCCTGGTCATTGTGTGTTTGTACGTCCTCCTATCTTTACCTTCGCATGACTTGCTGGTCCTGTTGAGCCATTGTGAGGAATCAAGCCAGATTGGCCCAGCGCAGTCCGGTGAGTTGCCTCGATTGGCTATGAGCGATGCAAGTAGCAGTTCCGTGTGCGACAAAGGCCGTCGTCTTCCAAGTGAAATGTTATGCCTCTACGTCCAATGTCGAGTGCTCCACCTCTTGCTCGTAAGCTAAAGTTGGACCCGCTTGCTGCGCCTCAGGAAGCTGGTTATGCAGGGACGAAAACGTGCGATCGCGGGTGGGCTGAAGAATTCTGGAGGAGTGACGGATTGGGAGGCCAGTGTCGAGGAGAAGGTCGGGAAGGGAGTGGTATGGAGTCGTGCGTTGTGTATATGGTGAGGCTTGCGGCGTGGTACAATGGTGGGCGCTGTGCGTGTTTCGGGCTGCGGCTTGTCTGCTTCGGGCTTGCGCAAGCAGTGGCTGACTACGACGAGACGAGACGAGTTGTGCAATGAGCGGCGGTTGTATGCGCGAAGCTGGTGTCGACGTGGGCGAGTCGCATTAGCGGTGGCGTTTGCAAGCAGGACGCGACGGCGGAGCGAAGGTCACCGGTGGTGTTGGTGCTGGTGCTGGTGGTGTGCTGTCAATAATGCGATGCGAAGTCACAAAACAAGTTGGACACCCGGACGGGATGGATGGATGGATTCAGTGATGCCTCAGGTTGTCGGGATCTTATCATGTTTCTCGGCTGAAGCTGAGCCACTGGCGGCGGGAGTATCCGCACTCGAAGACGTCCGTTCATTTCGAGAGAGACTCACTACATCACCGCCCGGCAAACACCCACCAAACGCCCAAACGATCACAGCTACAATCGCCGCGCAATCAGCGGATGCTTCCCACCAACACCATATCCTCTCTCTGGTCCGACTGCCCTGCGACTGCTGCTCAACGAGAGCTGGACCGCAATCCAAGTCGGTGCTGTGCTGTGCTGCCAGGTACGAACCACATGTGATGCACCTTGCTGGAGGGGCACTTCCACCTCACCACCAAACGACATACCGCCCTTTCAACCTTCGCCAATAGTTCATATCCGCCCACCACATTCTTCGTCAGCTCGTGACTGACATCCGCGCCTTCAGGTGCCCTTCCCGCCGACTATTCATCCCACCAGCATCTCCACCATGTCGGCGAACTCCAAACTCCCGCCGCCGCCCCCGGCTCCCTCCAACGGCGTCATAACCGCTCCCGCGGGCAATCGCAAGAAGCAGAAGCGTCGAGCCAAGCAACAGGCCGCTCAGAAGGCCGCCTCACAGCTCGCACTGCCCCCTCCGCAGCCTTCGGACCAACCCGCGGATGTCGGATACAACGAGGATGCTCTAGGATATCAAGACGACGACGATGACTATTCCGATGCCGAGCCCGACCACTACGACGAGCACTACCCTCCCCATGCGACTTCAAACGGTGTGCATTCCCCGCCTCCGCCAGCACCAACCGGTAAGAAGAAGAACAAGAAGAGAGCTTCTGCCGTAGAAGACCCACATCACCATGGCTCATACAGTCTCCCCGTATCTGGAGCCCGCCGCAGCCACGTACCGCCCTTGGCCATGCCGGCTGCGCACCACGCGCATCAGAGCATCTGGAACACGAGCAATCAGCAAGAGCGGCAGAACATCAGGGAGTATTGGCTGAGTCTATCTGAAGAAGAGCGGAAGAACTTGCTCAAGATTGAAAAGGACACCGTCCTCAAGAAGATGAAGCAGCAGCAGAAGCACTCGTGTTCCTGCTCCGTGTGCGGGAGGAAGCGTACCGCTATCGAAGAAGAGCTGGAGGTGTTGTACGAGGGTTACTATGAGGAGCTCGAGCAATATGCCCACCACGATCAACCACCTCTCCCCTCGGCTGATGGCTTGATGCCCAAGCCACTCCAGCACAGTCAACAACCGCGACATCCACTGAGTCTACCGCCCCCCAACACTATGCCGCCTCAACATCACCAGATTAGTCGCATTCGCGAGGACCTCGACGACGAGGACGAGTTCAGCGAAGAAGAGGAAGACGAGGAGGAATTTAGCGAGGAAGATGAATATTCAGACGAGGAGCCCGAGATGGAGCAGTATCATGCGCCTACGGCGCCTCCCGGTGTGCCCAATTTCCTCGACTTTGGCTCCCATCTGACTGTCAAAGGTATCTTAACACCATGGGTTGAGAAGCTGAAAGCCGGGCTAAAGGGTAATGCAGACAACCTCTTGACGGTAGCTGACGACCTACTGAAGAATGACGGTCGCAAGTTCATCGAGATGATGGAGCAGTTGGCGGAGCGGCGTATGCAGCGCGAGAGCCGCTCCCAATATGAGGCAGAAGCCCACGCCGGCGGCTATCCTCCCGGCGACCCAGGCTACGATCACGGAGAATCTATGGCTGCGGATGACGAGTACGACGACGACGAGGCCTCATACGACAGCCAGGAAGAATTCGACGATGACATGGACGAGGAGGACGAGATGGTGGGTGATATTGAGCTGGCAAGTCTGACATACCGAATGAGCTGATCATTTGCAGGGAGGGCTAACCGAGGAACAACGCATGCAGGAAGGGAGACGAATGTTTCAAATCTTTGCGGCTCGCATGTTCGAGCAGAGAGTTCTCAATGCATACCGCGAGAAGGTCGCGACCGAAAAGGCGGCTGCACTCGTAGAGGAGCTTGACAACGATGCCAAGCGCGAAGAGCAGCAACGGCAGAAGAAGGCTCGGGATGCGGCAAAGAAGAAGGAGAAGAAGAAGCAGCAACAACAAGCTAAGTTGGAGGAGAAGGCCAAGCGAGAGGCTGAGAAAGCTGAAGAGGAGGCGAGGTTACGGGAAGCGGAGGAAAAGAAGCAGGAAGAGCAGCGACGGAAGAAGGAAGAGCAGAAGAAGAAGCGGGAAGAGGAGAAGAGAAAACACGAGGAGGAGAAGAGGCAGAAGGATGAGACGAAGCTGCGTAAGCAGCAGGAAGAGCAACAGCGGCGAGAGGAGGCCGAACGAAAGGCCAGAGAGGCGAAAGCTGCCGAGAAGGCGAAGAAGGAGGAGCAGCGAAAGCGAGAGCGCGACGAGCGGGACGCACGAGAGAAAGAAGCGAGAGAGCGTAAGGCTCAAGAAGAGAAAGACAAGAAGGAGCGCGAGGCGAGAGCAAAGGCCGAGAAGGAAGCCAAGGAGCGTGAGAAGACAGCACAACAAGCCGCTCATCCTCCGAATGCTCATCCTCATCCTCACATTACTAAGAGACCCTCGCAAGCCGGCATGGTGGCTATTCCAGGAGTCTATCCCAAGCAGACCCCCTCTGGAATCTCCTCGCCTCACCCTCAAATTGCGACCCCAGCGATACCCAAAGCCCCAACGCCAGCCAGACCGCGGCAAGCCTCGCAGCAAGGCTCGCACGCTTCGTCGCCGAAGCAAGCGCACTCACAGCTGTCCGGTGCTCCCAGCAAGTCCTCCTCACCGGGAAGTGCGGGACCCCAGCAAGCTTCAAACCAACCCAAGACTATTCTCCAGAAGCCCAGCAACCAACAGCCCATCGGTCAGCAGAATCATCAACCTGTTCCAGCGTCATCTCCTCTGCACCAGCAGTCGCATCATCCGCAGGGCTTCCCTCATGCCTATGGACATCCCGTTGGTTTAGGAGGAATGTCATCCTTAGGTATTCATCAAGGTCCTCCAGCTGGAAATCTTAATATGGGTGGGCGTGGTCATATGCCCATGTATCCTCATCAAGCACCACCCACGATGGGCATGCCAAACCGACCGCCTTTCCCAGGTATGGGCATGAATGGTATTCATCCTCCACCCGGAATGAATATGCTTCCTCCGCAGGGCAGAGGTTATCCATTTGACGGCCCAGGAGGGCCACCCCCTGGGTTTCACCCGCAGCCGCTACACCAGTATCCTCGCACATCTCCGACAGGGCACTCGCCGGTGGGCACTGGTAGCGAACAGCCGCGGCAACCCGGCCACTCCCGACAGCCGTCCGCGAGCGAGAGAGAGCGATTCGAATCCGCCGCAAATCAGCCTATCGCTCGTCCGGCGCCTATTCAGCGACCGGGTAGCGTTCGGCCCCAAGGATATGACGGCAACCCCGATGTGGAGGATCTGTCAAAGCATCTGGGTAGCTCTGCTTTGTTGGACGATGCCGACGATGTCCCACCCAGCGTCGCAGACGTCAGACGTCACTCCAGCATTCCTATCAATCCACGAAATATCAACATTCCAGCTAGCGGTCTCGGGCAGCTCGGGAACTTTGGCGCACCTACAGGTCCGTTTGGCACACCAGGCCCATCTTTCAGCACACCGTTCGGGCAGAGTCCGGTTCTGGGCCAGAATTGGGGAAGCCTTCCCAATGTTGGCATGGGCAATTGGATGAACAATCACAATGCGTTCGCAGCAAACGGATTCGGGCCCATGAGTACACAGCCTATGCGCGCTCCTGGTGCTCCTCTGAATCGCGCGCTGACACTTCGTCTTGCAATATGCAACGCCTGCAAGCAGCTCTCCAGCCGTGGCGATGGTGATGATTATCATGACGTGGATTTGCTTCTGCAGCATATGCAGCGTACCATGGACCAGCCTTTGCCGAGCCTCGCCGAGATCGAGACGATCTGCGAGACTGTAGGCGACGGCCAGAACGGCGGCGGAGAGTTGCGTGTCCGAAAGAACGAGAACGATGCCAACTTTGCGGTCAAGTGGGAAGCGGACGCCGGGACGCCAGATCAGGGACGAGGGCGAGGTGGTTTGAGCGTGATAGGATCGCCTCCACCTATTAGGGCGTCGCCTGCAGCGGGCTCCTTTGGCGCTCCTGGAATGAGTCGTCCGCAAACGGTGGGCTCCCAAGGTGGATAGAAAGTACCTGGAATCGGTGAGTTCGGCCATATTGGGAGACCTCCGTCACCGAACAGGTGATATGGACAGGTCAATGTCACCTCCAAGACATCACACAGGTGCATTTCACGGGGTTGATCGGTCCGTTTACGGGGCACAGCAATGGTTGTGGAGAAGCTATTTGTCGTTGGAGCCAGTACTGAGGTAGCACCATCATTGGGTCTCTGCGAGTATTCAAAGCTGGAAAAGCTCATGACCTTCCACTGTGGAAGTCGTGAGTCTTTTTAAATTCTTCTAAGACCAAGACCCTTTTCCTCCTTTTTTCCTTTTGTGTAAGGTTCTGTCTGGAGATTGTAGACCAAGCTGATACGATTTCAGGTTTCCACATATCAGACCAACTTTTGATCTTAGATGCCACGCGCCCCTTTTCCCGAGGGTTTCCAGGGTTTCCACGCGTCCTCCCCTGGAGCTAATTTTAAGGTTCGATACCTCTTGACCATCCTCCACAACATATCCTCCCTCTCAATAGTGGTTCCGGGGCCTCCCTCAATGGCTTCTTAGGCATGGCAGAACGGTACGCGGGGAAATCAGATGATGAAATGACATGCCAATCGAGGCTTCTACGAAATCCGTGCCTGGTGATGAGACAATTGTGGTCTGTCGATCGTGGCTGGGGCGTTGGAGATGTAGTTTGAAAGATGTATGTATGTAGTACGGGAGGGATAAGATGGGTGTGGTGTGGTGTGGTGGAGGTAGGTAGGTTGTGTTTGTTGCTACTGTTTGTTTATGGGCAATTTAAGAGGGCGTTAGAAGAAGAAGAAGAAGAAGAAGAAGAAGAAGAAGAAGAAGAAGAAGAAGAAGAAGAAGAAGAAGAAGAAGAAGAAGAAGAAGAAGAAGAAGAAGAAGAAGGGGATGTTATCGATCCAGCGGTTTGTCTCTAGTCCAGAGGATATGCAATCATGTACATCAATCGCACACAGAGTGTATGGAACTCGAAGCGCTTGGAAAGCTGTACAGCTTCTTCGAATGCCGAGCCGAGCACGGTGGCGATTCTGAGGGGTGACAGGGTGGGTGATGGCTTTTCTTTTTTTTTCCCTTTGGGGACGGTAAGATGAGGTTTAGAATTGGGGCTGCGAACTTTTCCGGCAAATTCTGCTTTTCGCTTTCGATGGTTGTGGTCCTCTCGCGAAGGTTAAGAGGTCTGCTGGGGAGCTGGGAAGCTGATGGCTATGAGGAGGACGACGATGGGGCTATATCCTCGTATCTTTCTGCTTTTTCTGGGTGAGAGAGAGAGAGAGAATGCAAATCTGGACGACAGCGTAGCAGATTTGGAGGGGACAAAGGGTAGTATTTTTGGTCATGTGGTTTGTAGACCGATGATAATGGGAGGGAGTGTATCGCCGGGAGAAATAGGGGACCAGGAGGAAGGTGTGGAGGATGCTTCGGACGATGTCGTTGGTGAGCGTGGTGCTGTCGAGGGCGCCGTGGCCGTATTCATGGGCTAGGATCTAAAATTCTGTCAGGAGGAGTCCTTGGGCGTGGGTGTTGAGGGCCCAGAGCTGACACGAGGCAAACGTGGCTGTCCAAGAGGAAGAGACCAAGACTCGAATCTGCTGCGAGATGTAGGTGGCAAGCACGCTGAAGAGTAGGACGCATGCGAGGTTGATGAGGATATAAGTCGTCGGTTTTCCGGGGCGAGGGGTGCGAACAGTGATGTGAATAGCTGCGCGGAGATGTTTGACATCGATGCCAGGTGTTGTCGTTGTTGTCATGGTCCATCTTGGTGTCATTACAGTAGCGTTCCTGTTTTTGAGGGTGGCCTCTGCCATGGCTACGAGGCGATGGCGCTCCTAGCGATTTTTAGGCCTAATTGAAGCAAATCACCGAATATTCGAGCCGGAGGTTCGACTTTGTGGCCATCTCCAGCGGTTATATTCTTGATGGGATTGCAAAGCTTTGTCGTCTCTCTACTCGGACTTGTTCACCTCGACTGAGGACGATGTTGCTGGGATTCTCAATTGCTGTATCAAACCTGTTCAGCAGCATCTGCCGTGCTTACACAAATACCCAGAAAGTTATCCCTACCGTCAATCGTCCTTCTTGGTCTTCCCCAATGCTCATGAGGTCGATACCGTTCCAGTGCGAAACAAAGTGTCTTCCCAAGACTCAGAGACGTAATCTAGTTCATACAGCGATGCGTGATTAATTCGCTCCGGATCCATCATTCCTGGATGTATCCAGGCATTCAACATGAGGACCCAGATTGGTAATCGTCAAAGTCGTGGCCGGGATCGAGAATTTTGCAGATGGCATGATCCGATGGACAGCGGCGCTCTTCGTCGAGGGGCGCTTCGTCCCCATACAGTAGAGTTGATGACGACACAGACGACCATGAAGACATGCATTCGGGGTGGAAATCCTTGCTCCCGAGTCTCGTTCCTAGCCGACACCGTTGTTGTCCGTGACTTACTGAGCAAAGCATAGGTAAAGTCACTCTTCGCCCTCGTTTTCGATGACAGAAACTTCCATCATACTTCGTAATGACCGCCGTCGCTGAAGCTTTCCGGAATGTGCGTTTGACCTCAAGTTTGAGTCATCAGTTCTTGTGACATCAGAAGCGAAGCGGCGATATCCTAGCAACGGGCCAGCCTCTGCCGTAGTAGACTGCGCTATTTTGGCCAAGACATGACCTTGTTTCACAGAACCGCGCAATCCAGGAAAAGCTCTCTCCGCAATCTCCGTAGTAGAGAAGATCGTGGAAGCGGAATGCAGCAACCCGTGCATCTAGTAAGCTCTTACTTCCGCCGAAGACATGACCAATCATTGGCGCTCAGCAAATCTTGATAGTTCGTGGGTTGATCGACTCTGGAAGTAATGTCTGTCGTGCTTCGAAACAGAAACACAGCGACCCAAACTACTGGAGTATGGCGGTCTATGACGTTTGATCAATGTCGTTAGTTCTTGCTCCAAACGTTGTTCTTGAGACCCTGAAAATTCCAACGAAGAGCTCCTACGATCGTATTTCGCCTGCTGTGTTTGACCATTACCTTGCAGTGAACAGCATAGCTCAAGCCGGGTAAGCTATAGAGTCCTATGAGCGAGACAGGCTTCGAGGTCGACTTCGAGAAAGGTGACAGATGTTCTCGAGAATCCTAGCAGTACCGTTGGGCCATAATGGCCGTCTTGATCAGCCTGTAATGTTCAAAGGCGCTGTAATTATCAGTATCGACCCTGGAGACCTGAGCGTAGGTACTACTACTCTTCACTGGATTGGTCCACGAGGATACAAGGAGACGAATCCGTCGTAGGTGGACCTGACGCCAGGCGAGGATTCCGAGATGAAGCGCTCCGTTGGCGGCGAGAGGCACGTTTGATATGCGGACGTGGAAGCGGTGCATCTGCGCCGCCAAAGAAGGGTCCATCCCCCATCCTAGCGGGATGAGGCTGAGAATCTCTCCAGTCAGGCCCTTGCATGAGAACACGTTCGACGTTTTAGACTTCGTTCGAGCGCCATTTGAAAGAGTGATGTGACGAGACGGAATATTGTCGATACCATCCTGGAATTTGCGAGGTGAGGTGACCCAACACCAGCCGTGATACGCTGGAAGTGGCAGCTGCGATGAAACTCTAATTTCCGAGTAGGACAGAAGCCAGGGAGCCAGGGAGCCAGGGAGCCAGCTAGCCCGCCATTTCTCTTCAAGCACCGGCATGATCGGTGAGTGTCGCGTAGCACATGTCTTTCTTTCACAGTGGATCGAAGCCTCTGAGCGCTGGAAAATTCAACGGTAGACGGCTCCAAATTTTTGGCTAGCGTGGGAGAAGGATCGCAGATGGTCGTATCCGATTCGGCTCCCAGCGCCGCCAGCCCCGGTACATACTGCCAGCGCGGCCATGCAGTGATATTACGATGCATATTGGTATGACTCCTCTCGCTCCTTTCCGCGGTGTATTCATCGCGCGAATCGCATCGCATCGAGCGCTCTCGCTGTGGTCGGCACGCGGAGCTGGTATCGTTATAACATGTGTAGCTTGCTGTCATTGGTGACTTGTACCAACGGAAGCTGGCGAATCTCGCACAGCGTTCCCGCCATGAGTAATCGTTATTGGCCTTCACATGCAAGAAGCCTTGAAGATGGCGCCGGGCGTCCTGGAGGCGACGTGTCACGCCGCTTCCCCTGAAGATGTGGACCGATGCGTGGGCAGAAGAACGACTGGCGGCATGCTGTGATGTATGCAGGACGTGCTCTGGACGTGGAGTGGCCGCAGTGCGCCTCAGCTTTCAGGGTCCCGAGATGTTACCATACACTTGCATTCACTGCGGGAGATGTGATTGGTCCGCGGATGAAGGCGAGTGGAGTTTTTGCCCGGAATTTTGGGAGCGGGAAAAGATTTTGAATGCGAGGACAGGACAGTCTTCTGCATCTGCCCGCGAGACGTGGTCTGATCGCGTCTGGACTCGTCTGTGCTCTGCTGTCCGGGGCATCCTCCATCTGGCTCTGGGGCGTCTGTCGCTGGCAGCGCAGGGGAGAGACTGGAGACGAGAGTCATAGATCTGAGTGCTGAGTCGGGGAGTTCTCGCCGGCGAGACAATCTCATCTTGCGGACCGGGAGGAGGACAGGGAGATGCATGCCGGCAGAAAATAAGTCGACACGCGACTTGGTACTGGAAAAAGTCTCACCGCCAATCGCCGGGGAAGGCGCTACTCAGATCCTGGCATGGTCGCTCGCGTTAGCGCGGAAGTCTAATTTCCTCCCAATCTGCCTCCGGTCGTTTTCCTCTCGTCTGTCTTCTCTCCCTCCCCTCAACACACACCACCACATCCACCATATCACAGCGACGAAGCGCCACTACTCCACACCCGGATCAATCAACCATACCATCATATCACTTCGTCGTCCAACATGCCGCAGGCTGTCGCTGGGCACTAACTCCACCGCTGGAGGCGCGGCCACGTGCTGCCTCTCCAGTCCGGTCACTGCTCATCGAGATTTTCAATCGACTACGACGAATCGAATTTGACTCCTTCAAGCATCGCTTGCTCGAAGCTAGTCATACCAGCCCGTGAGAGGATCTCGAGTACCCTCAGACACTCGACTTCTCAGCCTTCGGCATCATAGATTCAGTTTGCCCTGCAAACTACGACGAAGTCTTGGCTTGCTCCACCCAGAACAAGCCCAGTTCCACTTTACAACAATACAGCTCGTTGCCTGGAGGCGACATACGCGATACACGAAAGATCCCCTGGTGTGATTGTCCTGCCGATTCGACTCTGCCTCCCCTTGCCTCGTGCGCCTGGACCTAATCCGCCGTATACACTACCCACATCAGAATTTTCACGAGCAAAGCATCTCCGAGACGCACAATGGCCAACCGATCGCCATACGTAGCTCCGCAAGGGAGTTCCAGGTTTCTCCAACAGAAGAAACTTTCAAACGGGAGCCCAAAATTGGCTCCCCAATCCAAGAACGAGATGAACAACATGCATGAAGCCGCCAATGGGACACGCACAGGCGATGCGGTGTCTGACGACAGTGGAAACGAAACCGCACAGTCAGACGGCAATGCGAACGAGGAACAAGATTCGGATGAGGAGGATGGCTTTGCCCTGCCAGGCGCTCGGATTACTGGAAGCAGTGTTCCTTCGCGTCTGGCAGGGCTTGTCCCGAATGATGTTGACATGCTTGACGACGAGCAGGATGCGACAGCTGGTGCAGAAGATGAGGACGACGAGGACGATGAAGTCTATGGCGATGTCGAGGATATCAGCGACGGAGACTCGTCTGATGTAGAAGAAGACGGCCTTTTGCGTCTGGCCGCGGATGATCTGAGGAAGGAGTATGAGCGCCTCGAAGAGCCATCCAGAGCTATGACGAGTGAGATCAGCAACATGTCCCTAGCTGCAGACCAAGAAGATCGCACGCCGCGTGGAGATGACCTGGACTTTGGTCTGGACTTCTCCGCCGATCCATTCGGAGGCCTCCAGCAACATGATCAGTTGTACCAGGAGATGCTCGCAGACGCCACAAACGGCTTTTTCGCCGATGCAACAGATCCTTTTGGTGCCGACGATGCCCTCAGCTCATGGAGGGAGGCTGACACTGGAATCGGTGGTGATGAGGCTGCAGTCACTACCGTCACGCAAAAGAAGGTACGCTTCGAAGAAACTGCGTCCTCTCGAGCCTCCAGCGTGAGCAGCGACGACGATCCACGCGAAGAGTATCCGGACCTCTTCGCCGACTACGACGACCCAGCCTCGCGACAGCGAACCCACAGCAGCAGCATGAACTTCGATGTGATTCATGACGCCGATTCTGAGTACGAGCATTATGAGTTTGACGATGACGATGAGCGGGTGGCATTTGAGATTGACGCTCAGGACGACTCTGACACCGATATGAGCGATGATTGTATGCATGACAGCCCAAATGATGTTGATATCACTGCTAACATGCCTTAAAGCCGACGACGGTGAGACTACTGACGAGGAAAGCCCTGAAGACCAGATTGCCCGCGTAAACGCCATCAAAGCCCAGCGCGCCAAGATGATCATGCCACCGCCACCATCCAAGAGCGCGCCAACTACGCCAGTGGCCAGCAAGCGCTCGTCTCCAGCTCCGTCGCGCTCTCACACGACCACCAGCCGCGTTGGAACTGCTAAGGGAGGTCGCGGACCAAGGATGGGAACGTTTGCCCATGACCCGACTCGTGCCTTTGTAACCGCAGCGGTTGGAGGCAGCGGTATCAGAGTGACCTGTCCAACGAAGCCTCCAGAGAAGGATCGAGCCTACTGGGAGCGTGCACGACAGGCATTGAACAGTCGGGATGGAAGCCCGAGCGACTCGGTCTCTTGGACCCGTAGCACCCCGCAACTTCCCAACCAACCTAAGCGTCCATTCACGGCCAGGTCCACTCTGGGAACGATGTTTGATGGCAATCTCGACTTCCTCCGCAACAACGACGAGAACGGTATTGTTCCAAAAAGGTTCTTGGTGGCCGCACGCAACGACAGTATGCAGTCCTCAATGACCTCAACGACGATGACCGGAGAAGACGAAAGCGAGGACGAGAGCACCGTTAACATGACCGAGTTCCTTCAAATTGAGGAATCCTCTGACGACGACGAGGCCCCATCTGCTGGCATTCTTTCACCTTCGAAGGACTTCTTTGGCGACGCAATCTTTGAATCTTCCCCAATGGCCTCCCACGAACACGGCAACGGGCTTCTAAGCCACTTCGATCAGCAGCCAGGACTCATCTCGTCCTTCCGTAACAACCAGAATCATGCTCGCCACGTGAGCTCTCTGGCCGCGAACCCTGCTAAGCGAGCTCAGACATCTGAAGCCAATGCTTTGCAGAAAGGACGCCGCAGCGCTGCCAATACCCCGATTACGCCCGCGCGCAAGAAGCGCGTGAGCCAGGACCTCGATCTCACTGGCGCCGGCATCAAGAAGAACGCCAGCCCTCTTGTACAGAAGCAGCGTCGTCGCAGCAGAGGAAACTCGCTGTCTGGCATCCACCAAACCCTCACACGGGATCGCTTCGCCGGTAATACTAATTAGGAATGGATCTACCGCCGGCTCTGATCCAAACAAAGATTACGACTAGTGAGCGTTTGGCTGTACTCCTATTGTCCCGCAGAGACACGACACTGCTTTTGGGTGGACGGCATCGTGGAGAGAAAAAAGACGAGAAAGTAAGAAAAGCCTGATTTCCTTTACGTTTTTGCTTTTTGGCGTTGGTATCTTAGCGCAGGTGTTGGTGGCGTTCATCTGACCTTCCTCGTTTTGCTGGGATGAAGATGAGCTGCCGTCGCCCTGCTCGCATGCGCGGTGATACCCTTTTGGTGTTCTTTCTTGCTTTCGGCAGCAGTGGCAGTAGCAGCAGCAGCAGCAACAGTAGCAGCAGCAGCGGAATGCACGACGATAATGGCGTAGATCGGTCCGGATATGGTACAGAGGTGAATTTGGCTGGTGTGGCCTTTGCAGCTTGCTTGCACTACAAGAGAGATCAAACGACTTCAAAAACTACTCGCAGGTACCTGAAGCTTTCTTTCTCCTTGTCGAGAGTCACCATGTCAACAAACAACCATCGGCAAAGCCGCTGCAGAATTGCATCCCGGACATCACATCGTATAGAGCAGCACCCATGTTCCGCGCGGATCCTATTGATCAGGACAGCAGTCGTAAAGCAGATCTGGCTTACCGGAGCTTTTATGGATCCTGCTGCGCTTTGGTTTTGTAGGCCCGAACCCTTTCTACATTGGACTTTGACTGTGGCCGACTTCTGGGGAACTGACTGTGACAATTAATGCTGCCGCAGCCAAGACGGGTGTATTGTACCCATTCCTTGAGGGTGAAGGCCACAGGCCACGCAAACTGGCATCGAACACATCGCGGTCATTCCAGCAACACAGCATTGCTAGAATGACCGCGATCTCGCGAACAGCAACCAGAAATTCCAATGCTCTTCTCCTATCGGCGTTCGTAATCTAGTGATCCAGGATTCTGCGACATTTCTGGAACCCGGCTCGCATGGACGTCTGTCCAAACAAGGTAAGCGTTCTTGCTCCATCCTGGCATCATCCCGTCCCAAGCACGCAGCCCCAGGGGAGCTGCATTGGATACTTCTATGCAAGTTCTTGCCAACTGGCTTGCCAGTGGGCACACATCCCCTCCTCGATAACGCTTAATTGCTCACTGTGTATCTGTTGCTATAAGAAGCTTTCGACCCACCGCTCTGGTATGATGTCCCTGTACCTCGTTGCCGTCTCCGATCCCCAGCCGGTAGTCATGGCGGACAAAGAACGCGATCGCATCAGAAGGATCTACGCAGACAATATCGAATTGAAGAGCCGGGTGGAGAATTTGGAAGCTAAGGTACAGGAGCTTTCGGCCAAGATGGCGGAAGTGAGCTCGTCTGTTGCTGCGGGTCGTGCGCAGACGCCGCAGATTGTGGACGCTAGTACGAACGGCATCAAGCAGCAGAGACGGGGTTCCAATCCTTCAGGTGCGAGCACGCCGAAACCGCTGCATATTCCGAGGAGGGCTAGTGGATTCGAGGGTGCGAGGGCGAGTCCTTCGCCCGTGTCGGTTGGAGGAGCGGACCGGGCAGCGGCATCAGCTGGGAAACATCTCTCGACGAATACGCCGTCGATACCTAAGCCGATTGCGTTTCTGAGGGAATACCTCTTCGACCTCTCCCGCACGCAACTGTCCGAATCCGACGACCTCATCTCCTACTGCAGCATTTTCAAATCCACAGCAGATGCCGTCCCTATCTCGGCCCTCGACAACGTCTCGCGAAGTCGTCTCTTCCTCGACGGCCTCCCTTCACAAATCCAAAAAGACATACACCGAAAATGCGAACTACAGATGGACCCTCAAGGCTACTTGGCCTTTGACGGCATTTTCGTCGTCGCGGCCGTCATCGTCAAGAGCGTCGACGGCTTCAATCGCATCAGGGGCAAAGGCCGCTGGGAAAAGCGCGGCGGAGGAGCTCTCTGGACAGAAGGAGAGATGGGAGGATACCTGGAGTTGATCGACGAGATTTCCAAAGCGAGGGTGCGGCATCGGGAATGGGTGACGGAGACGGGGTTGAAGTGTAAGTCGCTGCCCTCTATTGACGAAGGCGTGGACATTGTCTTTCCGCCGAAAGCTTTCGGGTGGGATCTGGATGGGCTCTGGAGGGATAGTCTGCTGATTCGTTATTGATTTTCGTAGTGCCTGGTTTGGATTTTGTGTCGATGGCGTAGAATTTTGGGGTACGCCTGTGTATATGTATTGGGTTTTTATGCTAAGCGTACGTATGATATCCAACATTGATTACCCTTTCGGGAAGGTCAAAGACTGTTGTTCCTTCTTCGTGTTTCCCTTTGTAGCTGCCATTCATCGCTTGTGGCGCCCTCGAGCAGTTTAGCGCCGATGCAAGGTGACGAGGAAGTCCCCGTTTTCTGCCTCCCCTTCATTTCCGTTCACCAGCCGACATCGCCCACGAACATCAAGCAAACGACTGCATCGAAACACAACACAAGCTCACCAACCCCGACCCACAGCCCTCTTCACAAAATCCACCGGTAGCCAAAACACAACACCCCACGGCCCAAACAAACGTCATGTCCGCCAACAAATCCACGGCATTCGACCCCAACTCGGTGCCCAAGCCAAGCAACTACGAACTCGAAAAGCCATACGGCGGAACAAAGGGCTTCATGGAGTCATATGGACTGAAAGGTAAATAAAACCCCCGCTTCAGCTTTCCTAGAAGCCGCGCCGAGTACTGCTGCTGACCTTATGCTTGCTTGCTTGCTATATATAGTGTGGGAACTCGACGACCATGAGGAGAGAAAGGCTATCCTTGATGGCTTGCGTGAACACGAATGGCAGAGTCGTGTTGAGGCGGCTCGTGAGCGGCATGAGGGTCAGCTGCGAGGCGCTGGGCGTAAGTAATTGGGAACAAGGGCTCCGGATGCTTCAAAGGGGTGAGGATGTTTTGTGGCGTTTTCGGGAATTGGCGCCCCGTGGCAGGTGGAATTTTAGCGTAATCCCTACCTAACAATGAGCATGGAGTTCAGGTACAGTACGCGATAATTTTGGGGCTCTGTCGGTTTTCTTCAGAATGGTCGCTCTTGCTCCGCTGGCAAATGCTCCTGCGCACGAACGTTCACTGACAACAGGAACGACGAAGATTGATCAGCGGTTTCCGGCTTGATCTGACGTCCTTAGGAGCGTAGCTGCTTCCTCGCCTCAACCCATCTTCAACGCCGCAGTCTCCATCTTGCCTGCGCGGCGGCGCTGGACAATAGCAAGGGAAACGAAAGAACCTCGGGCAACTGATGGAAATCGCAACATTTTTTGGCTGCTAGGACCCGCAATTCTTCTTGTCATCATCCTTTGCCATCGAATTTCCCGGTATTCCGACAACTGGCTTTCCTTTTCCAGTGGAACCCGCGTCGAAAACAAACAAACAATCACTTGCTTGCTGCGCAGCCTGATGTCCGATTTCGCGGTGTTTCCAGAAGCTTGTAATGGGATCTCGCTGACTTCGAGAACCGTATTCCTAAGATCAACGAAGACTTGACTAGGTGGAGGCTGAGCAACTTGCATGCGCTGTCAAGAGCTGTCTGTCTGTGGGAAACTCCCTGAACGCGCGAGTGTCGAAGCGGAACGCACTTAGAAGTCCTATATTTGAATGTCTGACAGCAAGGAGAAGCGTGTTGATCGCGCAGTAGCGACCAGATGCTTGGTCGTCGTTATGCGCAGGTACACCGTGTCGGACCACGGCGTTCTCATCCGCCAGCGAGGTTTCGATCAGGTCGAGCTCGAGCAGTTCTTCCTGTGTTGCTCATATGTTCTCAATTAGCTCGCTCACCATGGGTGCGGCGGTTGCTGCTTCGAAGCACGCCATCATTATTGGTTGAAGATCGCAGTTCAGTTGAATGTTTGCGGGGTGCGGCGGAATGTGACCGAAATCACGGAAGTTTCGGCGAAACATCGGCTCTTTGCGCTTCACATGCGTGCTTCGGGTAAGATGATCACATGTCAGGCTTGGCATTCAGCTGATTGCTTGAAGTGAAGGATGAAAGATAGTACGAAATACGGAATGATCAGTCCGCGCTCACACATCACACTCCAGCATCAATCTGGTCCACAACATTGTGACCTGTGTAGGCCCACCACTCTCGGCAAGTCTGCGCCATGATCTCCGGGATCTCCATATCTCTCTTAATGAGGTCCGGACGCTCCTATCTAGAATCAGCATCACGTCATCACCCAAACAATGTTCGAAGATGAGACTTACCAAGATATTGACATACATGCCTCCACTCAAATGCCACGCATTATGGCAATGCATCGGCCAGACTCCCGGATTGTCCGCCAAGAACTCTATCACTAAATACGACTGGCCAGCTAGCCCTTGCTCCGGGTTTCCAGGTTGCATGATTTGTACGTCTCGTCGCTGAGGATTTTCCGGGCGAACGATCGTGCCGTCCCATTGACCAAAACCTTGCGCGAGCACCCACATGTTATGTCCGTGCAGATGCATCGGGTGAGGTAAGGGTGCGAGGGTGGTGAGGATGAGTCGGATGGAAGTCGCCTGGTGGTAGTCGTAGACATTCCACTCTGTGGGGAAGGATGTGTTGCCCTGATTGGCGAGGAGGAGTGTCGGTTGACTAGAAATGAAGTTTTCAGTAAAATCTCGACATTGATGAATCCGGTGGTCTTACTTGAAGTCGCCTCTGAAGGAGGAATTGTTCATCATCCAGACAAATGACCCAGTAGCGTTCGGTCCGAACGTCATATCGATGTGAGTAGTTATCGCTGGCTGAGGGGGTGGAGTCATAGGGTAGAAAGGCTCGGTCAGCGACAGAGCATCGTTCTGGCAAAGCGCGGTGTACTGCGTCGCCGTCGACTGAGGCGTGACTGAGGTATCGGCGTCCTCGTAGTAAATTGCTGCCAGCGCATGAGGCTGATTCGTCATGCCGCATACCCCTGGTACGAGATCGCTTCGCATCCACACCGCATCGGTAGGGCTGCCAGTCGCCTCGACGATGATTTCGGTTCTTTGTCCCACGCCCAGTGTTACCGAGTCGACCTCGTAGGGGACAACATCAACGAAATCATTCTGAATGATCGTCATTTTGTGCTGATCGATCGTGAAATGCTGCACTCCTGCGGCTCCAGAATTGATCAACCGTAGCAACATGCGCTTTCCGGACTGGAACCTGAATTTTGATACCCCGGCGTTGGGTGTACAGGGAGCACCTTGGGCTTTCGAGCAATCGAAGAACATCTTTCCGTTGATCAGATTGTTGTCTGATTGCGGCGAGGATGGTGTCCCAACAGTTTCGGCAACCAGGCTGAGGTATGGCGCGTGGTAATAGTCAGACTGAAGTGGGTTAGGAATTGAAGTCCTCGCACATCATTTTCGCGTACTCACCACCATGACGGGTCCCACATCAATGTCGTAGGGGACTTGAGAGGGACCATATATCACCATGGGCCCCTTTACGCCGGCTACGTACTGAGCAGAGTAATGTGCGTGGCTACAAGCCCCGTCAGCAAAGTATTTCTTTCCGCTTTCAGCAGGCTTGACTTACTACCAACTCGCTCCAGCCGAGTCAGCCCTGAAAGTATATGTGAAGGTCGATCCAGGAGCTATTGGGCACTGGGAGACCGAAGGGACGCCATCGAACCAAGGAGTCTCCCTCTGATTCAACCCATGCCAGTGCACCGTGGTTCCCTCCTCAGGTCCCGTAATATTATTGTGAACTGTGACCTCGAACCAATCACCCCAGTTCGCCTCAAGTGGAGGTCCAGGGTATTGCCCGTTGACAAAGATTCCTTCTTTCTGAACGCCATCAGGCGCAAGTACACCTCGCGAGATCTCCCAGTAGTACTTCCTGGTCACGCCAGTATCTGGCATCTGAGGAGGATTGTTTCGATCGGCGGAAGCTTGGATTGGGCTTGCTACGTTTGGGTATCCGCCTGAATTACCTGGCTGGAATGGTTGTACAGGTCGATCTGGCTGTGAAGGCTGGCTCGGTTGAAACGGTCGATTTCCCGGCCCACCAGAATTTCTTGGAGGGCCGAATTGAGGTGGACGATTGGATTGACCAGAGCCGCTTAGGGGTCCGTAATTTCCGCCTTGTTGTTGTCCGCCAAATGGTACCCCAGGACCATTCTGTCCAAATTGGCCTTGCTGCAGAATTGTTGGAAATCAAGCTTGACTGCAGCGAAAGAAACGACTCACATTGCCTTCACCAAATGGAGACCCATATCGATGATCCAACGTCCCCAATGTGCTCGCACCTACACCGAATCATTAGTACCCAGACCCGCTCAAATCTGTCCAGAACAAGTCCAGGCTCAAACCACTCACCATTGGTCATTCCTTGTGATAATCCATTGACCAGATTCGAAGCTGCCAATAGCAGCTCTAAAATACCCATTTTTGAACCGGAAATCAGCACACAAAAGAAGCTAGCTATGAGAAGAAGAGAAAACAAGTCGAAAACGCCGACAAAGGTTGTACACACACCAAGGCACGCGAGATCCCCCGCGAGGACGGATGCACAGCAGCATACATACTTATTCCCGCCTCTCGCCACAGAGGTTACCTCATCAAGGGTGCGCGTTCGCGGCAGATTAATGCCGTGTGCTCACAGCAATTATTGGAGGGCCAACTCAGGTCAAGTTTGCAAGTTGAAGCCAGATCACCAGTCATGGCTCCTGTGACACACGCCATTGTAAAGCCTCGTTGGTGAGCGATTCTGAAGGAGCGCCCCACGAGTAGAACTCTGTATATCTGCCTAGGATGTCCGACATCTCTCGTGTCGCTGGCGCGTGGCTTCTTGCATATACGGCTTGAGACCAGTATTGCATCTCCCAGATCCGGTATTTTGCAGCGAGACACCTCGGCAACCAGTCCTCTATATCGTTCCCAGCCTCCAGGTTGTCATCAACCCTGGTGTGCTTGTTGTGAGAAACCGTGTCAAGCTTTTGTCTGTTTGCTCTGAGATACTTGACTTCAGGTACCTGACTTGCGAAACTTCCAGGATGAAAAGCCCAGCAATGCCAGTTTGAACTCAGAATCCGGATCCTCCCCGGTGCCGACAGTGCCGTTGCAATCATCGCAACCACACACAGCATTTCGCTATAGGGTGAGGCAGACTGCAGTACATCTTTGTACCGAGATCCATCTTCTCGCATATCTTCGGAACCACAGCGGCAACTTGCAGAATAAGCAAGTGAGGTGGGAGCAAGAGGTCCGCTTACATAAGCCAAGAAGGCATCCACGGCCCCTGTTTCAGTCAATCTATTCCTCCCTGCAATGTTTGACGCATGACTCGAGTCGCACAAACGTAGCAAGTGACCAACGAAGCTGAGACTCGGTCCTCCATGCAGACGACTCTTTAAGAAGCACAGACTGGGCACGAGTGCCACAATCGCGATGTGATAAGGACTTTGTGTGGATGTTGCACAAGAGCCGCTTTTCAACCACATGTCTGGAGGCTCGTGTTGGTGTTTGTGGCTCTTTCAGGATATGTCAAGTCTGTCAGCTCCTTGTCCCTGTCGTTATTGTTTTCACATAAAGCTGCAAGCCTTCTGCATGGTTCAGTGCCTGTCGTGGCTTTCCAGGGATGTTGGTTTCCAGGGACCAAGCAGCCAACAAGGCGGTTGCGCGTACATTTTTTATCCCGTTCAACAACTCACCCATGTACCAACTATCAGTGTTACGCCGCACCGTCATAGCGTGTAAGTCATTCACAATCTGCTTCCAGTCTTGCGCATACGAATTTTCGTGGTGATCTTGGCCCAGCCGTGCTCACGCGTTCGCTGCATCCTTTCTGTGATCCAATTACAATGGAATTAGAGAATCGATGGTCCGTTGCCGCAAGCTGTAGGACTATGCGGCCCATATTTGTAGAGCCTGTTTGGAAACTCGATCCTCTGCTCAATGCGACGCCAAGGTTTCACTCATGCGGATGGAATCCTCACAGTGGCGACTGCCAGACCTAGGTAAGGAAGAGCACCTTGATCGGTGCTCTACTTCTTCTCCAAATCGTCTCCATTAATACCCTCCATTGTGGCCCGCGTAAAACCTTCAGTCAAGGAGTCAAAGCCCGTAGCGATCGCCAAGATATTCGTTTCGTGAAGTTGTCCATTTGTAGTGAACACGCCTAGGGGCACGATGTGCGATACCTGAGTTTCATTTCTCAGTTCCACAAGCTCAACATGCGGCTTGTCCAATTTCTTCGTAATGGTGCGGCTCCAAACTAGACTCTTTGCTGCGGAAGGATGAGGTGGCTCAAGAGCAGCAAGAATGTCTCGCTTTCTCGGGTCAGTAATCGTAGCTCGGACTTCCCGGACCCAGAAATCCTAGACGATCGTGCATGTCGACGCCTCCTTCGCACCAGAAAGGAAAATGGCAGATGTATGCCTCGAAACTGTCGAGGCCTGGCCAACGCCTACAGGGAGTAGGAACGACCGGTTAGCTCTGCAGGACAAATTGGTCCTTAGACTATGCTCAGCAGGTCCCACAAAGAAAGGTGCCAGCCTCGACGATCTTCGCATTGAATCCCTCCTGCCTCGCTCTTTGAAGTCGGTATACGCCTGCGAAGCCAGCTCCGATGATAGTTACGGCGTCGAGTTCTCATTCGCTCGATTCTGAAATCACTCGTAATTCTGAAGGGAATGACGAAGAAGAGTAGAGTATACACAAGAGAAATCGCCCAAGCGAAAGCTCAGGCATAGCGGTCAGTTTCGCTGTATCTTCCAATATATGCGAAGTCGTCCAACAAGGAATGAAATCCGGTACGAGTGTACGGTTTCGATCTGTCGTAAAAGCAAGACCAAATCGAGATGGAGCTGGAAGTAGGAGTGGAGGTAGGAGTGAAGTCGTGTGCATAACGAGTGCGAGCCAGAGTTATATTCATCCAAGACCCGAAGTGCGCCCCGGATGTCACTTCTACTCTGTCTGTGCTTTTCTATATCACACATTCATCGACACCAGGCAACAGCGTTTTGCTGCCGCGCCATTCGTCACGCATATGGCATACTCCGGGATAGCGGCTTGGAAGCCTGTTCGCTTGAACATGGACTATGCTGCCGGGGATATATACATCTTCTTGGGCGTGCAGCGGAAGGAAGACAAGTTGCGAAAAGATGACTATCTCTCATTCGGTCAAATCTTTCATTAATATGAGTTTCAGCAGCCGTTCCATATACAATGGACACATGGCCGTAAAGAATTTAATCTGTACAAAAACTTGAGCTCTTCATGCCGTCATCATAAACACAAAATTCCATCTATCTGGCTTAACCGGCCTGGTACAGACCAAGAGCAGCAACATGTGGGTTGATCATGCTCAGGTTGAATGGGGTGTACACCTGGTTGGTGTCGGTCAAGGCGATGAAGGTGCTCTCGTTAACAACACCCTGACCGCGCTGGTAGACCGATGAGTTGGGCTGGAAGGTGTACCCCTCATTTGGTCCGGTCTGGATGAGGTCGGTGTAGGTCATGTTGAGCTGAGCAACCCAAGCGACGTACTTGGGGGCACCGGCGGTAGTGGCGGTCACGTAGGAGTTGTTAGGGCCGACAGCCTGACCGGGCGAGTCCCAAAGGAGGCGAACCTGCTTGCCTGGGAAGGAGAGAGGCTCAGATCGGTTGCGAGAGATGGCGGGACCACAGCCGTAGCCAGTCTTGTTGAGGTTGATGCAGCTCTCATCCTCTGGAGGGATGGTGGCTGGGCTGGAAGTGCGGTTGTCGGTACGCTCCCAGTCGGCAGTGTCGTTGGGAGAGACCCTGTTGATGTTGGCCTGGTTGACCACGTGTAGAGCTGGGAAGTTCTGCCATGCGAGACGCGTAGTACCAGCGGGGCACCAGCTGATGTAGGGAGCGAGGAAGGTCCAAGCCCACGATTGTGGGATACCAGTTTCGAACCACACTGGCATGGGGTGCAATCCACTCATCTGTCTGAACGCCATCTGCTGACGAGCTTCAGTGGCGATGGACTGTGCCAAAAGCTGACCGACCTCACGAGAGTCAAGGTGGTTGATGAAACCCCAGACACCAGACTCGCCCCAGCGGGTGAGGATCTGGTTGAAGTCGACGAACTCGCGAACGTTCTTGAATGGGTAGTTGTACACACACTGAGGTGGTGCAGTCTCTCCGAGCATGTTCGACAGGAGTGTGGCATGACCCTGTTCCTGCTGTGCCATGAAGGCGATCAAGGCGCGGTCTTCAGCAGTAAGACCAGCGGCAAGGAAGTCTGCCTCAGAGAAGGTTGCCAATCCGTTGTTGAACAGATCCAGCTCGATCCATTCCTGGTACAATCCCAGGGTGATGGATTCATAGTCGAAATCGCTGTTGACCATGTACCTTGGCAAGGTACCATTGGTACCAAGACCGCCGGCCGGCTGGTATGGAATTGGCTCGGAGTTCTGCAGCTGGCCGTTGGTGTTGTAGTAGGTGGCAGTGGCTGCTGGACCCAGATTGGGGATAGTAGAGCCAAGAGGCGAGTTGCTCACGGCACCGGTGGTGGTGGGCGAACCACTGTACGGGCCATGGGTGGTCGTGCCCGTTGGCAGAGGGCTCCGCTGGGTGTCTGCAGCTCCCGATCCAGACGTAGGTGCCAGGGTGTGAATGGCCGAGATGATGGAGTCCATACCGAAGCTGGTTGGCACGGCAGTGAGGGGGGTTGGTGTCTGCTCGTATGGTCCATTTCCGTTGGCGTAACCGGGAACGTTGCCACCTTGGTTCGCAGCCGCAAAACCAGACTTCACGCCAGCTGCGGCAGAAGTGGATGAGGATGAGGCATAAGCGGAGGCTTGCGGTTGACCATCACTGTGCATTCATCAGCAATGACTCTCGTTGCAATGGATTCCAAGTACTGACCTGAGCTGTGAAACGACAGGCGCAGGCACAGCAGCTGCGAGGCCAGCAAGGGCCGCTGAAGCAGCGAAAGACTTGATAAACATCCTGGGCGAGAGTGGATGTATGGCGCTCACCGTGGGTTGAGATGAGGGTCGAGGTGGCTCAACGGGCAATGACCAGTATTAATACCTCGCGCTGCGTCTTGTCTGCGCGTGGAGCAGAGCAGACACAGTAAGGCATCTTGCCGCCAAACCGCCGCGCCGCACACAGACCATCGTCATGAATGGGATCATTGCACTGTGATTGCGTATGCCGAAAGTTGCTCGGTTGTGACCTCACCGCGAGCACAGTGAGTCAGTGACCACCATACCTTCGACAGGACAGGCATGTGGAGCCGCTACTGACCACGTTACGCGCTAGCCTGTGCTTGAGCCTCATCTGGCGGGAGCTGCCTCCTTCCACATTCTGCTAGCTCGCAGCGACGTAGTCGACGCCGCGGAGGCAAATCCGGTGCCGAGCACTTCGACGGCACCATACGATGCGTGATGTCGCTATTGGCCATACCTGATTGTTGGAAGCCGTAGGTCCGCGTTGTGGCCGTCAGCCTGCATCATCGTTGAGTAGGTATACCACCACTTCCCGCCGAGATCCCATGCTTGCCGGGGCATGTTGAATTGGACGATTCGCTTGTCGAATCCAGCAGGGGCAGTGCAGAACGCTGCATCGAATTCCGTGGGTTAGCATCATGCATGCGTCAAGAATCGAAGGATGCGTCCCGCGTGTCCGGGGTCGACGGCATTAGCGCGTATCTTCCGGCACACTCTCCGGAAGGCATCGCACCAATGGTCGAGTGTGTCAGACAGATCAATTCAAGTTGGAGCAGTCGGATAATGACAGGACTTTTCGTGGGATGCTCGCTGGCGACCTGCGCGACATCGGCCTACTACAAAATAGTCGAATAGGTGCCCGACGCGTTTACCGGGGTTAATCATTGTGGCTGCTAGCGGACAAGCAGCAACTTCGCATCATTCCTCCTCTGCAGCAACAGGAGCTTTGATTATCACGATGAAGCGTACGGATAGCGTCAAACACTTCGTCTCACGGCTTTGACGCAGTCCCCCGTCGCTTGTGCACGTGCGCTGTATGTGGTGTGCACAGTTAGAGTGACGTCGGAGAAGCGCTTGTTCTGACGCCGCTGTCGGCCGTTGCCCGGTGTGCTGGCCTTTTGGAATCATGATCATGCCGTGTCCGTGCTGGCGAGTAATGGTCGCCTCGCTCGCTATTATGCAACGAAACCATATGCATCTGCAAGACATGCAGGCTTCGGGGCGGCAAATGTTTGTATTTCGATGAATCGTACGACTTCTCGTCCAGCATCCCCTTCTCGCCAGATGCCCCAAGGTCTGGCTCTCAAGGGCACAAACTTGGGTGCGGTCCCGAGCACCGATCCTGTGTCTCGTAGACGCAACTCGGTATCTCACTGCGCGGGAGGGCGTGGGCTCGGTCTGAGCAGAGCAAATAGTAGGCAAGCAAGTTTGAAACGATGGAGATTTCGGAGAGCTGGCCGCGCTTTCCAGGCTTGGCTCTATACTTGTATGTCTACCTTCAGGACGTACCTTGGTACAGCTCCAAGGTCCACATGAACCCGGCTCGCAGCGACCCGCGTCTCTGAATTTACCGTCTAGCAGTCCCACGTAGGCTGGCCGCCAACGAGGGAGTGGCAAGAAGTTTGTCTAAAGCTGGCAGTTCCGTTCCAAGGCTTGTCGCGGGAATTGTGCAAGCCAGCTGTCTCCATGCTACTGCTTTCATTGCCTTGCCTCCTGGAAGACATGTCGCAGTGTTGGCAGTCTGCGCTTGACGGTGTACCAACGAGCCAGAAGATCAAGTTCCGCGCAAATGGAGACGGAGTGTGCAACAACGCTGACCAGCGTGCTGGGTTTTTCTCTGGGTCCCGTCCGATCGGATCGCCGAGCTGCACCTCCATCCGCCTTCGTTGAGATACGGAGGTATTGCCGAGCGACTCGTACAGCGGCATTGCGGCTGGGGTCCCGAGAATTCGTGATGGCGCTCTGTTCTCTGCTCTTGCGTATATAGTATTGTCCCTCTCTCAATACCCGTATTGACTCCTTGGCAGATGCATCAGCATCCCTCGATGGCTGGAAACATAGCTCACTCAGGCGTTGCGAGTCTGGCCTTCTTCGCTGCAACTCGTGGTGGATCCGTCTTCTATTCGCGCGGGGCTCTCTGCGTCAATCCAGGCTCATAGCCTTTCGCTATCGTCAGTTTCGCATAGGCCTTCATAAGTGGTAAGTGTAAGGTAGTCTGGCACGCGAAAGCCTGTGCTCGGTGGAGTAGCAGAAGGACGAAGACGCGTCGCGATGGAGATGGGCATGGCGTGGCCCGTGCTTCAATCAGCCGGCCGCTCCTTCCCTTTCCTCGTGTCCTGCTTGTCAACGACACTTCTGTCTTACTCCTTCACACAACGCATTACCGGCATACTGTTCGACACTTTCCAAGGTTGCTTATCATCAGTCAGTATACCGACGCCAAGGATTCGACGGCGTGAAAAGTAGTTGAAGTTATCGTGGCCAGAACGACGACGATGGCGCCCAAACAATGCATCAGACCATGCTACCCATTGAGCAGAGTGAGAGTGCCAACCTGAGCTCATCGTTAGAACTTCATAAAAGGGCAGACTATCTTGGTATCCCAATATCCTTCGAACCACCTGGATAGCCAACCAAAATACTGCTACAGACGTGGCACCTTTTGGCTCAGTACAACAGGCACTCCCTCGGTCTTCAGTCTCGAATCAAACGGACGAATTCCTCTTTCTGCGTATCTGGAAGCCGGTCAGGATATCCTCCCTCACTCCCATGAAGATGTCTCCCGACTCCGCCTGCTCGACCTCTCGCTCGGTCATCCATACAATGTCCTTGCACACATACCGGTCTGGCTTCAACTTCACCATCTCATCAATCTTCCACAGAAGGCTCGCTCTCAGCCACAGACTATCTGGCAAGCTCTGTGGGCTGACAGCGGTATGAAGGGCTGCAGCTGCCCTGCTGCCATGGAGCCGTCCGGGATCCAAGCCAATCTGCGTTCGGCACGCCACTCGGCCGTATTCGTCCACGGCAATATCTTGCTCCATGGTCCTGTCTATGCGAAGATTGAGAAGTGGCGCCACGTCCGCGTCGTCTGTTACTCTTGAAAGTCGATACATTGGTGTACCAAGCTTGCCGCTCCAGGCTTTGACATTGTCCGTCATTCGCATGAGAAGAATCCTGTCCTTGTGGAAGATCAGGTTGCAGACGATCAAGACGTCGAATTTTGCTTTGAACTGGGCCTCTTGTTTCCTCAAATACTGTTCCGGCGCATCCGAGCCGTCAACAGCGACGCCATTGATGAATTCCCCAGTTGGTATGGTCATCTTGAGTAGAGAATGCTTTGTTTTAATTTGGTCTGGTAATTGAGAAGTCAAGTCACTCCAGACGACGGCTTGTCAATACGTCCAGTATTGGAGGTTGGCTTCATGGTAGACGCTGACGCATGCCAAATCACGAGGGCGGATTGGCGAGCATGATTTCTGGTTTTCCTTTGGCGCGCCTGCCGCGCCAGTATACAGGAGGATCATCTCTTCTACGCACTTCACCATTGGCGTCATGGCAAGATAGAGTTGGGTCACGTGCTCATAGAACGGCGGTCAGGACCCTCTCATTCTCGAAAACAACCACCCTGAGGCAACAGGACAAGAACGCGACAGCATCATCAAGGATGTCACCCTCTTGCATATGACAATGCGTCATTACAGAATTTTGACCGTTGTGAACGGCTTCAGCTCTCTCCAGCTCAATGTGCACCAAGAAGCTGGTACGAAACGACCTTTGCGAATGATCAGACTCTAAAGGCCCCAATTCGAAACAGCGGTCGGGCACTTCACGTTCCTTGCCAGCAATACAAAAAGCTCTTCGATGTGGGCTAGCTGCTCCAAGTCCAGCACTTTGCTCTCAATCTCATCTCTTCTTGTCGTCGAGGACGTCCTTCACGAACATCCGCCATTTATGGACAAGACCGACATTGCTAGCAGGAGGCTCAATGCCTTTCGGCGCAAGGAACGGATTGCTTCGAAACCTGAGCATCTTTGAAATGGACAGTAACACATGTCATGAAGAGAGTATGAAGAGAGTATTGCCCTTCTTGTCGATGTCCTCATCATGTTGAGGGTGAACTTCAGCCATGTGAGCTCTTGAGCTTCTGATCTATTCAGTTTCTCTTCGCTGAACTGCTGCATCAGGACCTCTCCATCCAGCAACTATGCGGCTGCGCGGTATTGAATTGACATCTGCGCTGCTGTGCTCGTGAGAGGTTCATTCGGCTCCATTACCCAGCCTCCGTGCTCATAAGCAGCTTTGCCATGCTGTATGTCCATCTTGTCGATGTCGCCAAGCGTTCTCTGGGCCAAGCGGCCAGGCTGTCCCTTTTGCAGCAGCCCAATGCAGTCTAAGGCAGCCACAGCAGCATGCAGTTTGACTCGAATTCCGTTTTATCTCCCGGCGAGTACCTACTTCGCTAGAACGTTGCTCGGGCAGGGCGTTTGGTTCGAAGTTCGCTCCTTGGCTAAAACAGCTGAGATACCCTCCATAGGGCTCCTCAAGGACCTTCTGTATGTCGGTGTAGCTCTCCTCTGCCATCAGTGCGGCGAAGAGTGCATTGTGGGAGGCGAAGCCATGTTGCTTTCGCTTGGTCGTGGAGCCGACCGAACAGGGCAGACATGAGATGGCCTCCGGCTTGTGTGCACGCGGTCCCCAAGGCCCATTCGATCTGGTTGGGTTGTAGGCCAAGTAGTGAGGCAATTGCTGCTGCTGCAGCAGCTGCTGGAGGACCTTGTACGGCTCCGCTGTGCCAGCCACGGCAGAGGAGGTCGCCTCCATGCAAGGCCAGACCAGCCCGAGAACCGACCTCGCGGTCAACCACATGAGCCTTGAGGGAGTCCGGCCCTGGAAATGGAAATTCCGTGTTTGATTCAGCTGCTGCGAGAAGCGCTGGCAGAAGGAGTGGGTTCGAATGTAGTGGTGCTCTTGCATGATAGTCGTCTGGCTTAAAGCGTTGAGTGAAAGTGCTGTGATATCTCCTTGTCTTGCTAGCCTATAACAGTACATTGGTCCACGGGCTCCATCTTGAAGCTGGCATTGGCTGCTGTCTCAGACCATGGCAGATGTGACTCTACGAGTGCACAGACAATACCGTTTAAGGTGAGGTATCCTGCTCGTTCAATGACATCCGCTGAAAGGTCCGCATATTGCATTGCATGACTTTCCAGCGACACCGTCCGGATCGCTGGGCGCTATGGGAGCCACGATGGCCTGCTCAAAGTTGGACGTTATCTAATCCCGCGGTCTCTGGATAGCGAACTGCTCTACTAGGTATCCTCATATTCGGCAATTATCGTGGTATGCCTGGCAGATCGCCTATGGCGCACATCTGGTCGCGTCGGCCTTGAGCTCCCCGCCGACACGCAGTGCGATGATGAAGCGGATATGCTCGTTGTGTCTCCTAACTGCAGTCAGCAGCCATGTTGATGCGAGTCGTCGGTAGGCACTCAGCGATTTCATTTCGATTCTTCGTAAATCTGTTCAGGATCTGTAGCATGGGTTTAGTGTGCTCACTATTCGGATTGCTCCAAAGGCAGTGGACAGACTAGCCAAATGTCGATTCGTCGCATGGTCCCTCGCGGGGCTCACAAGGCTGGGAGCCTCAGACAGGGATTGGTCGAAGCGAAGAGGATCAAACCTACGGGAGTGCTGGCCTAGTCTTGACCTCTATCTCGAACCTCGTAGATGGGCTCGTAGTCAACTGGATGTCGTGGGAGAAAATGTGATCAAAGCAGAGCTCGCGAGATAAGGGGAAGGAACAAGCGGCGATGAGCTCGTCTATGTTGCAAAACGCACAAAATATCACTTCTTTTCGTCCTCAGGCAAAGCGTCTCGGAATCGAATTGGGGACCACGAAATGTTCTAGCATATTAGGGAGTGGGGTGGTGCGCGTGCGTGGTCTAGCCGCTACAATCCGCAAGTGTCTTGGGTGAAGTCTAGGTAAACCTCTGGCCCAGAGATCCGGGCCCTTGATCACAGTCCATGGGATAGTTGATGAGATGACTTCCTCTGGACGCGCCTTCCTCTTCGTACCATAGTAGAGCTCGGAGCCCAAGTTTCGCAGGCGAAAAGATCCCGCTAAAAACCGCTATGCGCAATTCACAGCCATGCAGAAACGGGAAGCTGGCCAGCTGAATGCCGGTCATGTTATCGCTCCGAATAGGGTCTGATCTATCCAGCTCCCTTTGCTTTGGTCATAGGCCCCCAATTCTCCCTTGGATTCTGCTGATAGCGAACCAGACGCTTGCCGCTATGATCCTTGTCCTTGCCCAAAGTCTCGTCGAAAACCACTTTGATACGTTTTGGCTGCTCGGCGCCGTTCACATCAGCACCATGAACTGTCGTTTCGATGGCCGTCGTCGGAGTTGCGCTTTCATGATTCGATGTCTCGTCACCTTTCGCCTCCGCCTCTACCTTTCGGGCGGTTGCCATGATCCGGAACCCAGCCGTAAACTTCTTCAGTGCACCATCTTTGATCGGAGATTTCTGCCGCACCCATTCACGCATGATCTCCCAAAGCACATGCCAGGGCGCACTGGTCTTGATGCTTCCTGGCTGGCAATGACTTCTCACAGCCCGATACCCCAGATGGCGAATGGCTCCTCTGACAGCCAAGTCTGGCGGTGCTACGCAATGAATGACCTTTGCCAGGGCAGATGGAATGAAGAAAAAAGGATAGCGATCGATGGCTTCGGGTGGAATTTTGGGGATGATCTCTGCGGTGTCAGGGCCGTGGTCTTTTGGCGGGCAGTAGGTCACTGTGTCCGATTCTATTCTCAACTCATCTCGGGCAGTACTTAGCATTCCCTCGATCCGCCGTGTCGTTTGGTAGACATCCGTGTCGGCTGACTGGACGTCGTCCAGTATCTTTTCGATAAAAGCGGCGTTGTGAATTGGACCACCCCACATGGGTCCTGCTACGTGGGTCTTACTCCCGCAATGCTCACAATGTCGATCTGCTCCAGGTGCCTGAGCGATGGTATGCTTGTACCACACGTTGCCGCCCTTGCTCTCTTGCTTGGTATTGCGTCCCAACATTTGCGTTGTCCATGCTCCGCAGCCGGAGTCACAGCCGTAGACCATCATTGTCTTCCCTGCAAGGAACTTGACATCCGCAGGACTTCTCCGCACGCGAACGAAGACACGAGCGTAGAAGTCAATGTTGAGAGACAGCAGTGGCTCAATAGCCATGCCATACTTTGAGGCTGCCGAGGCAATTGAGTGTAGAATCAGTCGCAACCCTCCTTCATGCATGTGCGGACCCTTTATTGGCATGCCGCCGTACAGTGAGTAGGTCTTTTCGCAATACCCCGTGGATGCAAACACACCGGAATCAGTGCATGTGACACAGAGGAGACCTTCATCGTTGAGAGCCTGAAGAGCCGCATCGAGGAAGGGTACGGCCGTACCGTACGGATCCAGATCGATAACATCGTATTTCTTGTTGACATGACGCGGGCCATGGGAACCCGTGGGAGGGTACGCAACGCTGTACATATGCCCTATGGCATCCCCAATATTCGCAGTGATCTGCAATGACAAGGCATTGTGTTCAATATTGAGTTTCATACTCTTGATGGCATCCTCGCTCATGTCGTTTGCCACGATGGACGTTGCATTTGGAATTTCCTTGGCATATCGCAGTGCACGGAGACCACTCGCAGATAAAGCATCCAATATGCGGAACGGTGGTGCCTTCGAAGCTGATGCCTGGCCTCCGTTTTGCCCTTCTACGTGGCCGTTTGTCTTTGCCTCGACGGGCCTGTCCTTTGCAGCGGGTTCCTCCGCTCTCGCGGTGTGTTCAAGCGAAACGCCACTTTGCGCTTCCTCTGCTGAAGCTACATTGCTCGCGGCCGGAACGCTACTGCCGTCTTCTGCTTTCTGTAGCTTTGGACTACTATCCTGCTTCGTATTCTCGCCATTTGCCTGCGATATCTTCCGCTTCTTGTTCTTCCTCTCAAGCTTCTCTTTGCTCCTCTCTCGTTTCAGAGTCTTTCTCTCTAGCCAATCTTCACTGAACGCTTTGATGGATAGAACGCTTAGATCTCGGTTGAATTGCTGGATAGGGTTGTAGAACACCTTCTGGTTCAGGGAACCATCGTCGGTCTTCGCTTTCGCGTTGGGATCGACAGACAATCTCGTGCCCGGCGGTATGAGGATGTACGCATGTCCTTCGCGGATCGTCTCGTATTTTTTGCCGTCATGCTCAATGATTTGGCCTGCCTTGGGGCTCGAAGATATTGGAAGCGGTGCCCGGGACGCCATTGCTCTCGTGAGACTTGCGCGCGCGGAAGAAAAGGTTGTACTTGGGGAGTAGACGGGAGATGCGCGACCGAGGCACTTAGCTGATGATCTGTACGACCATTTCAGATACGACGCGGTTTTCCAACACAGCCGCAAGGACATTTGCGCGAGCGAGTAGAGAAATTCGAACGAATTGAGATCAGTGAAATGCGCATTTGCTAGCGCCATCGGAAGTCGGAAGTCGGGAGCTCGGGTGCGCACGGTCCATATCGCCTTGGCCTTCCAGGTTCGACTTCACCTTCTTCAGGGCGTGTTCAACTAGACAAGAACTCTACCAACACGACAACGACGTCTGGTAGCTCAGTCCGCGTACATATCGTATGTGCTGCGTGTACTTACGGTGTGCAATCGCAACTGGCGCGCAAATAATGAATGTCAAGCCTGTACCGTGGGCCGACCAGGCTAATCTGGCATCAACCTGCTTCTGCAAAAGAACATTTACTTTCAAGCCGCTACTGGCAGAGGTGACGATTGCAATTGCTCGCACGCTCCAAAGTGCTGTACAGTTGGCATCATCCACCGATTGCACGCGTCTGCTTCATCTCTGGGTTTAATTCGGGAATATCTCAACACCCATGTCCACATGGACAGCTGGAGTGACGTCAATATACGATGTTGAACGGATCGAATGCGGCATCAACTACCTGGGTCACACCGGAATCTTAGTTACGTGAACAAACATCATGCTTCATCATAGTCTGTAAGACTTCCAAGCTACAACATGGCTTCGGAACTCTCCCACTCACCTGTCGCACGCAGACAACGCTCACGCCGCTCACTATGTCGAAATCCACGATAGCGATCATCGGTTCCGGCTGGGGAGGCTTCACACTCGCTCATGCTCTTTCAACAACGAAATACAACGTAGCTGTCATATCTCCCGTCAGGACAGTCCAATACACACCTCTTCTGGCAAGCGCAGCAGCAGGCCTGTTCAACTTTCGACTAGCGGAGGAGCCGGTCCGTCGGAGAAACCGTACCTCTGGCCTCACATATCACAAGGCAGTAGTTGAAAAGATCGACTTCGAAAAGCGGGAGCTCCAATGCAGACCTTCTGTATCCGACATAGCAGACGAGCATCTGAAGGATTCCAGTCCATTCAGTGTGAAGTACGAGAAAGTGGTCCTGGCCCCTGGATGCGATGTTCAGACTTTTGGAACCCCTGGAGCTTTGGAGCATTCGAATTTCCTGAGGACTACAGATGACGCTAGGAAGATCCAACAGAGGATATTGGAGATGTTGGATGCTGCTTCCATTCCCGGACTCACGGAGCAGCAACAGAGAGACATCCTGAGAGTGATTATCGTGGGTGGCGGAGCGATCGGTATTGAAGCCACCGCTGAACTATTCGATCTCTGGCAACACGACATGAGGCATGTATACCCACACCTGGACGGCAAATTCAGCATTGAGATCCATGACGTGGCACCGAAAATTCTCTCAACATTCGACGAAAGACTGGGGCAATATGCCTTGCAGAAGTTGCAGAACCGGGGCGTTGATATCAAGACGGAGAGCCATATTGAAAAGGTAGAAGAGGGGGCTCTCTGGACGAAGGAAGACGGGGAGGTCAAGTACGGAATGCTGATCTGGGCCACTGGGAATGGAGTGAATCCTCTTGTGGAGACGTTGGACGTCAAGAAACAAGGCAAACTGCAACGGATCGCTACTGATCAGAGGCTGAGGGTCCGCAATACCAAGGATGAGCTGATCGACGGTGTCTACGCTCTTGGGGATTCAGCAGATATCGAAGGCTACACTTTACCCACGCTGGCCGAGGTGGCTGTTCAAAAAGCAGAGTACTTAGCCCGCGAGCTCAATGCTGCTGACGAGTCAACGAAAGCCTTTGAATACAAGCAGAAGCCCAATCTCGCATACCTGGGAGCACACGACGGTGTCATAGGTGGTAAGGAGGAGTGGACCGGGCAATCAGCCTGGCTAGCCTGGAGAAGCGGCAGCATTTTCCACTGGCCGCGGAGCTGGAGACGCACCCTGATGATCGGTATCAGCTGGCTGTTCAACAAAGTTGGAGGAAGAGACATCGCAAGAAAGTGGTAGTACGAATCAATCTGATGGAAGAACTCGTGTAGCCTAATTACAACATCTCCAAAGCCCCATCCTTAATCACCTCAAATTCTTCCACCTCCTTCACAAGGCTCTTCCAGCCTCCCATGGCTTCGGAAGGCACCCAATTGCCGTGAATCTGCGACTTCACGGCGAAAGGCATCTGGACTATCGCTAACGGTCTTTCAAAGTCCCTGGTATCGAGCACCACTACTTCGCTTCTCTTATCTTTCACCCTTTCGACGAGTGCCATGACCCATCCATCTCCCTCCGGCGCATCCTTTCCTCGAGGAATAAAGATCGGCTCCTGCACAGAAGAATCATCACCAGCGTAGAACCATTTTGCCTTTTCGTTCCGACGATCATACATGGCGATACCGTTGAGCCCGTGATATACGTTCTTCCCATCTCCAGTATCCATGAGAACATTCATCCAGACTACATTGTAATACCTTCCCATGAGCCTCTCGTCAATCCTCGGAAATTCGGAGGGAACGTCGACGATGATCTCCGGGTCATCCATGTACGTGCCGCTCGGCTTGCTGATGTCGATTTTCCATTTTACGAAATCGGCTTTGGCATTCGGCTCGGGCAATCGTCCATCATCAGCCGGGAAGAAGGGGAACGCATTGTCAAGCACCCTCGAGCTCTCCGCGAAGAGCACATTGCCTTCTTCCCAGGCTCCTGCGGTGTGGATTGACATGCAGTTCTTCCACTCGTAATGTCTCACTTCCCCTTTCTTCCACCCGGAGCCAGGCGGCGGGTTCTCCGGATCTCGAGAGGAGACGATGATCGTAAACTTCCGGTCATAATCCCAAGCCCAATGATGTCCCCCCTTCTTCATCCTTTCCACATCCGTAGAGAAACACCAGACGAATAAGAGGAGCCAATGTTCCGTGATCGCACAGTCGTGTATCATCCCCGGCTTTCCTGCCTCAAACGGTTGTTTGTACCAAAACTTATCCTTCACCTTCCCGCTCTTGTCAATGGCGTAGCTCACCACATCATTCGTCGCAATGCCCTTGGCTTCGTACCCATACACCACCAATTCCTCTTTGAATGGGTCGATTTTCGGATGCGCTGTGAACGCCTTCGCTCGAATCTGCTCTCTGAACGGATCATACCCCTTCGTCTGCAGCGTTGTGGGATCCACGGCATAGGGCATCGCACTCTCTTTCAGAGCAAGTAAGTGTCCAGCCCAGTATACCAAATTCGTATTCCCGGTACTATCCACCGCAGCCCTGACGCATGGATGATGGGTCCACGGATTCCGGTACAATCCAAACAGGTTCTTGCCCGCTTTCTTCTCCAACAGGAAGCGTTGGGTTTCAACATATTTGGTCTTCATGTCCACTTTGCCGTCTTTGAATCTCAGGGCGTGGATGTTGCCATCTCCGTCCAGAGGGACGTTTCCCTCGCAAGGAGGTTGGAAAGGATCGACCATGATGCGATAAAACGTCCCATCGATCTGTTCCGGGATCTCACCAAGCACAACAAGGTCGGAGATTTCGCCTTCGAGACGGAAAGTCGAGCTTGTGGGAGGGCCGTAGAGGTGTTGGACGAGCGGCCATTTGGACTTGAGATCCTTTGTAGTCTCTTTGGCATCTTGCTTGTGGCTTGCAGGCTCGACGAGCGAGTCGATCCGTGAAACAGGGTGTTCGGCAACAGCGGCGGCAGCCATTTTCGTGGTCGTCACTTGGGAAGGAATGTCGTGTTCAACCCACAAATACAATGTAATAAGCAGCACCGCACAGTCCCGCGATAGTCAGAGCGCTGAAAATGGGTGAGGTAGTGAGACCAAGCCAGCTTATGTACTTGCTTGTCCACGAGGAGGGTCTCTTCTTCTTCTTTCGTCGGCCGCTCCTCTTTGATTCGGATCCCGCGGATGAAGATTCGGCGGCAGATGATGGTCGTGTCTCGCCCTGATCATGAGGCATGGAGAAGATTGCAATGAGTAAGGGGAGATTGTTCTGGCCTGTAACATCAGCCGGAGCGATTTTGCGGAGCCCCGCGATTGACCGGGGGAGCCCTCGAATAAAGTTCAAATGCCTGTTAGCATGCGTGGCATGGGTGTCAGCTGTGCACGGCAGTTGAGTGTCGGAGAGTCTTGGGAAAGGGGTTCCGTGTGCCAAGTCCGAACAGAAAAGCCGCTTGAAGGCATTGATACAGAACAGTGACATACGCCTAAGCAGGTATCGAAAACACGGATCCTAGGAAGAGCAGCACGCGCAGAGCACCGCGTCTTTGCCGCGAGCTTCTTCTATATACCCAGGGTGAACTCAACGCCCACATCAATATCACGAGCTGGGATGGCATGTTAGCAAGGAAGAGAGGCATGCGGATTGAAATCGAGTACTTACCAATCTTTACGACCTTGCTAAACTGCACGCTCTTCTCAGCGGCGGTCTGCAGGTCCTCAATGTTGAAAATCTTCAACCCACTCTCGTTGATCAATTTCTGCGCCTGCTCCATGTTTGTTCCCTGCAGTCTCGCAATGACTGGCGTGCGGAGGTTCATCTGCTCGACGACGTTGATCAGACCCTTGGCAATGGCGTCGCAGCGGACGATACCACCGAAGATGTTGACGAAGATGGCAGTGACCTTGGGATCGCTGGTGATGAGATCAAAGGCAGATCTAATAGCCTCTGGAGTGGCACCACCGCCGACGTCGAGGAAGTTGGCGGGCGAACCGCCATTGAGCTTGATGATGTCCATGGTAGCCATGGCGAGGCCGGCACCGTTGACAAGACAGCCGATGTCACCGTCCAGCTTGATGAAGTTGAGCCCGACCTCGCCAGCCTTCACCTCATCAGCGTCTTCTTGCGAAGTATCGCGCCAGCTGAAGATCTCCTTTTGCCTGAATTCGGCGTTGTCGTCGAAGTTGAGCTTGGCATCCATGCAGAGAACCTTGTGGTCCGAGGTCTCGGAGAGAGGGTTGATCTCAATCTGAGTCGCGTCCTTCTCCACGAAGATCTTGTAGAGCTTCTTGATGGTCTCCTTGGCGTCGTTCACGCATTGCTCGCTGAAACCGAGCTTGGAGGCAACATCGTGTGCGATCTCGTCTGTCACACCCTTGTTGATGTCGATTCTTGTGGTGATGATCGCATCCGGGCTCTCCTTTGCAACAGTCTCGATGTCCATACCACCCTGGCTCGAAGCAACAATGACCGGGCTTTGAGTAGTGCGGTCCATGAGAATGGCCAGATAAAACTCGCGGCGCGCGAACTTGCGCTCGACAATGTATACCGAGTTGCAAATCCTTCCGCGCTCGCCGGTCTGCTTGGTGATAAGCCTGTGGCCGATCATCTGGTCGGCGAGAATGGAGGCCTCGCGCGGGCTGTACACAATGCGGACACCGCCCTTGAAGCCATTGTCGAAGTGACCCTTTCCGCGCCCTCCTGCTAGCACTTGAGCCTTAATGACCATGTCCTCTCCGCCAATCTTCTGAGCGACGCTCTCGGCCTCTTTGGGGGAGTGGGCAACGCTGCCCTTGGGGACACCGATGCCATACGATTCGAGTAGCTGGGCGCCGCGGTATTCGTGGATGGACAGGTTGCGCACCTGCTGGCCGATAGGTGTCTGCAGTTATCAAGTCCATAATCAGCCGGGGGATTGCCTGTAAGTCCTGTGCATATTGAAGTTCCATACCCTCACGCCTTGGAAAGCAGAGGCGAGCTGCCTGCTGCTACGGGCGAGCTTGAACATCCTGGCGCTCGCTTGTCTGCAAGAGAAAGAAAGAAGGGATGAAGTGGTGGAAGAGGTGTGGTTCGGCTCTCACTGGGAGCTCAAAGCTCGAAGCGCAAGAAGGAAACATCTAATCCGGAAATAGCCGAGCACGTCTTCCTAGCCGATCTGCTCCGACATTTCCTCCCAGACACACAACAACGATCACATCATGGACGCTTCGAAGGACATAGACGAAGGCGACATCTTCGCCAATCGCTTCAATATCAAGCAGGCTTCGAATTTGAATCTTTTGGAGTCGTGGGGCGAACTAAACCTGCCGTCGGTCGAAGACGAAGTCGACGAAAACGAAGATGAGGCTGAACAGTTGGGTGAAGTCGGGGGACTTGGCACAAGACTCGACAGCGTGGACGACATATCAGATGCGATTCGGCTTCAGCGCGTGTCTGACAGCAAGCTACTGGAGAAATTCATGACCAAAAGGGAAGCCGAGGCGCATAAGAAGACCCAGACATCGAAGCATACCGCTTCTAAACCACTTCAAAAGCCGCAACCGAAATCCACTCAGAAGATCGAAGAGGACGACGATGAGGAAGAAGAAGGCCGAGCAGCTGCTTTCTCCTCGAGAAAGAGCAAGAAGAGGAAGATCAGAGATACCAAGACACCCGCATACACTGCAGCGGGGGCTGAAGCGGCCAGTAGTCTGGATGAAGATGCAGAACCTCCTGATCCGAGGACAGACATCTCGACTGTGACTGAAATTGTTGCACAAGATGAAAACGACGAGGAAGAGGAGCAGAAGCCGAAGAAGCGCAGAGTCGCAAGTTATCTGGATGAGATATTGGCGAAGAATGCGAAGAAGAAAAGCAAAAAGAAGAATGTAAAAGGCAAGGCAGGTTGATACATCAGGAGCAGTGTGATTTTTCAGTTATTCTGGAGCGACAACGATACCCGCTATGCTCGAAAGTCTAGCACGCTTTTGTTTGGCTATCTATTCTCTTACGATCAAGCTCGCCATTCCCATTCCTGTACCGATACACATGCTCACTACTCCCAGCTCTTGTCCTTGCCTCTCCAACTCCGGCAAGAGCGTTGCCAATTGTCTCGCTCCAGTCGCTCCGAGTGGGTGTCCCAAGGCGATAGCGCCTCCCTTGGGATTGACCTTGGCTTCGTCAATTCCTAACTTCCTCACGCAGTACACTGCCTGCGATGCGAATGCCTCGTTGATCTCCCATATTCCAATTTCGTCCTTGTCAACGCCAGTGTAGTTCAAGAGCTTGGGGATAGCGAGAGCAGGTCCAACTCCCATCTCATCAGGCTTGCATCCAATAACCTGTGTGCCAGCCCATTTTCCAATGATCGAAGAAGTCAGACCCAGCTCAGCAGCGCTACTCCTCCTCATCATCAAGGCAGCAGCAGCGCCATCAGAGACCTGGCTGCTATTGCCTGCTGTGGCAGCTCCGTCCTCTTTGAAAGCAGGCTTCATCTTCGCCAGACCTTCGGGCGTACTGTTCGCTCTGATCCCATCGTCCTTGCTCACGGTAATCTCCTCTTCCTGCTCCGGAACCTCCGGATTCGGCCTCCACCGCGTCGTCACAGGCACAATCTCCTTATCGAAAAGGCCTTCCTTTTGAGCTTTGGCCGCTTTGACATGCGAATGCGCCGCGAAAGCATCCTGATCTGCTCTAGAGACTCCATACCGTTCGGCCACATTCTCCGCTGTGAGGCCCATGCTCATGATACAGTCTTTTGCATCTTTGACTTCAGAGTTCTTGAGCGCACTCCAGAGCTGTGTAGGAATCGCTCTGGAGCCGTAATTCCGCGTCATACTCTCCATGCCACCTCCGATGCCTACATCTATCTCTCCCATGGCAATCGCATTCGCTACTCCCGTAATGGCACTCAGGCCACTACTACACGCTCTGTTCACAGTCTGGAAGGATGTTGTCTCGGGCATCCCGACGTGTATTGCCGCCATGCGTCCTGCTTTGCTTCCTCCCAGCTCCGAGAGAACAGTTCCAATCTGTACATCATTGATCTTCGAAGGATCGAGATTTGGATTTGCGGCAAGTGTGGCTTTCAGGACGTGGGCAAGGAGTTCGTGGTCATAGGCATCTTTGAACCCGCCCTTTTTCGCGCGTGTTATCGGTGTTCGGAGGGCGGAGAGGAAGACGATGTCGTTTGGCGCTTTCTGGAGGATATTTTTCGTGCCTTTTCGGAGGAAGCCGGCCATTCTCGAGTAAGATTGCTGGATCTCGAGGATCTAGTCAAGAGCAATGCTCAAGCTCGATCTGCCGGTAATGATGTACGTTGCAAGGATGAGGGAGGTGTAGGCCGTGCAGAGGAGGAGTAGAGATATAGACCGAACGGAAATGAGAGACCTACGGAGACAGAAGGGTAGTGAGATTGTATATAGACCAGGCCGATCTAGGAGGTGGCCATGGCGTATATCGGGTTGAGTAGGTTTGGCATTGGTGTTGTTTGGGGGAGCAGCTGATGAGCTCTCGGGAGTGTTGTTCGGCAAGAGGACCTGGTCCGGAGAAGGAGGATGAGTCTTTAGCCGGTGAGAAAGTGATGGGAATCGCATACTTCACGTTGTATTTCTACCAATCACTCACGATACCATTTGCTTGACATGCACGATAAACATTACATGCAGACTTTCAAATCGCTCATTCGGTAAACTATGGCTTACGTTTTATGCTCTTGCTTGTTGCATTCGTTTTGCTGCTCGGGCGCCCCTTCTCTGCAGCACCATAGACACAATCCCGTGTGACGTTCCCATGGCTGCGCTTCCATTCTAGGATCGTCGTCGAAGATACGACGGCAGTACTCGCAGCCAGGATGCCATTCTTCATATAGGGAGCATTTCAATACCTCAAATTCGTCAAGTATAGAACATCTTTCCAGGACGGACGGAATGGAACGACACATGGACTGCGACTCCCTGCAATCCTCACAAAACATGTCTCGCAAATCGCAGAGCATGCTTATGTACTGCAATTTGACCTCCCCACGCAGCTCTTCGAGAATTACTGTCCCAGCAAGCATCGTTAGCTCTAGCCCCGAACATCGCTTCAGACACTTACGAAGCACCTCGGCGGGGAGAAGATATTCGCCTTTCGCATCCCTCATGATGGATAATTTATCCCCGCACTGATACATCAGTTGTCTCGTCGCTATCTCAAAGCTTAACGGCTCTTGACAGAGATATGCGGCCTTCGAAATGGTTGCCAAGACACGGCCAGCATTGACACCACCATCAAAGTCGAGCTTAGTGACCAGGACATATAGGATCCAAGCAAGTTGTAGCTTAATAGCCTGGCTGCAGGTGTATTTATCCACAACGACAGAGAACGACAGCATTCGATCTGGAGAATCCTCCAGCTCAGCGATTCGTCTATGGTGAAGCAAATTGCAAAGGTCGGACATGGCGATCGGATCATCGTCGAGGAGCTCAATGATCACGGGCGCGATGGAGCTGCGGGCTGAAAACCATATGTAAGCTTGTTTGGCGAACGAGATATTCGTCTCACCTGTTGACCGTCCCGGAAGTGTGGACCGAACAGTGCTGCGAAGACCTTCGAGGCTGTGGACAGTATTACAGACGAGACGAGAAGCCTGCCCTTGTCCGTGCCCCCGACTTCGAAGATTACATCACCTTGTGGTGCAATCGCTTCAAGGGCCACCTCCATTGTGCTTGCGTGGAGGTTGGGATGGAGCGGTACAGGTGTGGAAGAGGAAGAAGAAGTGCACGAAGATGTCGACGCACTCAAGCACAGATCTGGCGTCAGCATAATCTAGTTATTCGCATAGCAAGGCTATCCTGTGACAGCCTGCACGCTCAGGCTGTCATCCCAATCCCTTCTGAAAGCTTCTCAAATGAATGCTCATGGATTGCAGGGCCTTGCAAAGGTTCTTGCCATATCCAGTTCTAGCTAGCTATCAGTCTGATCATGTCGGAGCGAAGTACCTGCAGTCCGACTCGTTTGATTCCCGGTCAAAGTTGCCTCATATTTGGCTGTCTGGTTCGGAGATGCATTTTGCTCTGACTGGTCGGCTTTTGAACGAAACGTTGAAGGCATTGTTCTCATAAGAGGCAGCTCAGAAGCAAGCTCCCATCATACGGCTCATTGTCCGAAAGCATGCTGTACATCTTGATGCTGGCACGTCTTGCTCTTGAAGGCTCCACCGCTCGTGACGCACGCAAAGCAAAGGCTCCTGATACTTTCTCTTACCGTTTTTGCATGGCGTGCAAAATGATTCGGCGGTGGTGCTTGCCAGGCCCCGGTCGTCCAGCAACGGGAACTGTGTTCGGGGAGTGGTTTTGGATCAACAATTGTTAGGCCTTCCAAGGACTTAAGCTTATCCTCGAGCCTGCAATTTGTCTCAGCCGTAACCAGTCCGGCCATTTTGCAGAGACGAAGGCAGTGACAACAGATGATGTCGTAGTATGAGCAACTTTTCTCCGGGCACCCATAGAATGGCCGATCTGAACCAGCATTTGCAATAATTGCCGTTACGCAGTCACTGATACGCAACAGTGCAGCCGCGCGCTCCCCTTCAAGGGCGTCTAGGTTCCGCTGTCGGCCAAAGCTTCTTCTGCAGCTCTCAAGTGGAAATATCACTCACCGAATATACAGCGGAAGTCGCCGCTGTCATGAGAAATGCTCGAGGCACTCTCTAGCACGAGCTTGAGCCCAATCTTTTCGAATAGCTCTGGTTGCCGCGCGCGGTAAGCCACCTCAAGAAGACGGCATAGTGAGTCAATTCGCTTGGTATTCATCATATCGTTGATCCAGTAGAATGTGAACGGCAACAGCGAAGCCGTACAGTCGTACTTATCAGCCAGAATCGACAGGCCTTCCAGATCGTCCAGAGTCATCTCGCGTGGCAGAGAGCTGGTACGTAGATGCATAGCGTTGAGCAGTATAGCAGTGGCAAATGGATTATCATCCGGCAATGGTATTTCGATCAAGGTACCTGCGGCCAAGATATTGCCTTCTCGAAAGTGAGGCCCTAGCATGGCTCTGAATACGGAGGAAGCATTGCTGATGATGACTGAAGAGACTCGAATGCGGACGCTGTCAATTTGTTAGCAATTGCACTGCTCCGGGAGCGACAAGCCTACGTGCTCCCATCCTTTCCCCCGCCGATAAATACAACATCGCCGCTTGAAACAATGTCGATGAGTTCGGGCTCCGCCATGATGAGAGAAGTCGATCGAGATGATGCTGCTGTGCTTCTCACTCCCTCGGTTGGATCGATCCTTTGGGAGCAGATAAGGTCCGACTTAGTGTTTCCAACGAGAACATGTTATCTTTCCCTCAACCTTTCATCAAGCCTGCTCCCTGTGAAGCCAATGTGCGAATGACGAGGATGTAGGCCTGGACCTTGGTGGAAACTCATTCCTGTCCCACGCAACGGACCCGGAATACTTGCCAAGACATATAGAGTATACAGCTAAGACTGGATTCGTCTTGAAAAAGCTCGACCGAGCGAATGCCGAACATTCTCAGGTATCGATATTCCTTCGAATACGCTGTATTGACGCAAGAGGTGAGGTGAGAGTAGCTCACTTACTAAGAGATTTCACCTTAATGCCTCAGGCAACAGCAGACGCTTCCTACTACCGTCGCTAACAACGTAGTTAGTTATACCTTAATACTAGCCTTTAGTTAGGGTAGGTTATAGTTACTACCTTTAGTAGAGCGATATATCTTTCCTTCTTAGAGAGAAGAGCTAGAAAAAGGACTTAAGATTAGAATAAGTAATTACTATTAAGAATAGGATATGTAACGCAGTTTGTAGCGGAAGTAAGGACTTAATAATCGAAGAAGAAGGACCTGATTTATATAGAGGTATCTAAGATAGTCTAGTATAAAGGTAGTAGGTAAGAGAGAGAGAAGCCCGCTCTCCCCCTTCTAGCTGCTATTACTAAGCTTAGCGTGTCACGTGACCTAGTCACGTGACCACTCAGCTTACTACTAGGCCTACTCCTACTTTCCTCCTAAGCTACTATTTCATAACACTCCTACTTAGGTCCGGAGGAAAGAATTGAAACCCTTTAACTAAAGCAATATAAGAACAAACTCTAGGTCTTCTATTACCTAATTAGTACACTTCTTAGTTCTAGCTAAATAGTTTAGGGGTTACGAAGCGTCCCCGCGCTCTTAGGCTCTGTCTAATAATTGGAGTGTACGATAGGGTTCTAAAGACCTAGGTTCAATTCCTAGTTTAGCTATTCCTTTTACTAGGCTAGCTAGAGTTGCTTTACAAAATTCTGGAACTATAGACTATTTAGGGGTTTAGTTAGTCTATTAGCTACTATCTCTTTTGTTAGGCAATACTCTACTATAACCTTCCTCTACTACTAAAGATTTCTAACAAAGTTGTATATAATATTAATATGTTTTGATCTCTTATAGATGTAAGCATCTTTAATAAGGGTTAGAGCTAACTAATTGTCCCCTTTAATAAGGACAGGTCTAAGTAATTAGGTAGTGTTATTATTAGCCTTAATCTTTAGCTAAAATAGGCACTCTCTAACAAGCTTAGGACAGCTTATCTTACGAAGCAATGTAGCTAGGAACTATAACTACTTTATATACGAGTTTATTGCTATATACTTAGCTTCTATAGTTAATATTATAACAGACTTTTGCTTTCTACTTATCTAGGAGACTAGTAAGCTATAAAGGAACTAGATATACCTAAGGACAGACACTCTGTCTACCTTGTCTATTATATAGTCTAAGTTAGAGTAGCCTTAAAGGCAACCTCCTCCTCTCCTATAGTAAAGGCCAAGATCTAGGTATAATCTTAGGTACCTTACAAGCTTCTTTAGTGCCTTTATATATTGCTTTAATAGGTCTATAATATATAAGCTTAGTCTCCTAAGTAGGAAAGCAATGTCTAGCCTTATTATTATTATTAGCTATATCTAGGTACTAGTGTAACTCTAGTACTCCTATTTGTTACACCTCTTATCCTAGAGGCCTAAAGGTTTTAGGCTCTTATAGCTGTCTAGAGGTAAGTATATAATATAGGCCTTATCTTTAGTTATGCTTATCTTAGTAAGGTTTGTTTAGATAAAATGTCCTTAGTTAAGTTTTAGAGTACTCTATACTCTGTCCCTTATAATTTTTATACTAAGGATCTTTTTAGGTTCCCTAAGGTCTTTGATTCTAAAGACCTTTCTAAACTCTCCCTTAAACTAGAGAATATCTAATAGCTTTAGAGCTATAATAGGGATGTTATCTATATAGGTAAGGACTATTATGTTCCTCCCCCTATAGATAAGAAGGCATAGGTCTACTTCTAACTATATGAACCTAATCTGCTCTAGCTTAGCAATATAGAGTTTGTTCCAATCTCTAGCTGCCTACTTTAGTCTATATAGGCTCCTTAGAATCTTTAGGACTATATTTAGAGGAATCTTAACACCTAGGGGTAGGATTATATAGATGTCTTCTAAGAGGGTGCTTTTAGTAAATGCATTGTTTATATTAATCTAGTGTAGTTCTAGATCCTTCTTATATATAGCTACTATAAACACTCTTAGTATATTATGCCTAACTGTAGGTGTAAAGGTGTCTATAAAGTCAATACTAAACTTCTATAAAAACCCTCTTATAACTAGTCTTGCTTTAAACTTTTTAATAGCTCTACTAATTATTCTTTTTATATTAAAGACCTACTTAGAAGTGACTAGGTTGGCACCCTATAGTAGCATAGCTGGCTCCTAAGTGTTGTTTATCTCTAAAGCCTAAAGCTCCTTTTAGATTGCTTCTCTCTATATATAACCCTAGGTAGGGTTAGATATAGCTTCCCTATATATTTTTGGGATTGGCACTTACTACTATATAGCAATAGTTAGGCCCACTATAGCAAATACATGCTCCTCTATATTATTTAAAAATTCCTTAGCCTAGCTTATACTTAGATCTAGATAGAACATTATAGAGATAAATGACCTATAGTACTTTATACTCTAGTCTCCTTTATTATCTAGATCCCTTCTCCTTTTCTAAGCTTAGCTCCTTAGGGTAGGTCCCTAATAGCTAGTATCTAGGTTAGCTAATCCTATAGATTCTCCCTAAGGTGGAATTTTAGATAACTCCTAAGGTATAGCCTTAGGTTCCTTCTCCAAATTTTCTTAAGTCCCCTCTAGATCTATCTTCTAGTACTCCCTACTATCTAATAGGGGTAGAGGGAGCTGCATAAACAATTTTCTAGGTGGTAGCTAATCTATTAGCCCTAATAACAAGGTAGGAGGTACTAGTTGTTTTAGTCTCCTAACTGGATTCCTCTAGGGGGCTTTACTAGATTAGTTTAAAGTTAAAATGCCTAAATCTATATCCTCTCCCTTTTCTTCTTTAAAGAAATCTACCTAGGAGTAAGCTTTAATAGCCTTTATATTAGGCTCCCAAAACAACTATTACTTTATAGTTCTATCTATATAACCTATAAAGACAACCTCTTTCCCCCTGTTTATTAATTTGTCTCTTCTTAGACCTTAAGGCTAGGACCTTAGATCTATATAGACTACTACTTTGCATCCCTAAACTCTAAAATAGTTAACTAATAGGATCTTACCTATAAATGCTTTATTAGGTGACACTTGAATTCTATTAATTAGAGGACTATTTAGGAGCTTGTTCCTTATCTCTACCTAAGTAAGCAGTACTTCTAGCTAGAACTCTATAGGCATGCCTAAATCCTAGAGTATTGTACGCACTGTCTACTTAGAGGTCTAGATTAACCTTTCTACTATACTATTTTGGAGAGAGTTATAGGCATTAGTTATATTAACCTAAATGCCAAAATTCTTCTCCTACTACTTAAAAATAGTAAGGAGTTCCCTTATACTATTACTCCTAATTAAATTTAGAAAGCAGCCTAATTGCCTCTCTACTTTCTTTTTCTATTCCTCTAGTACTGTTAGAGTATCTGTCCTAGCTTTTAGGGGGAGATCCACTTCTTCCTAGAGAAGTTGTCTACTACTTCTAGCTAGTACTTGAAACTAAGCCTTAAGACAGTACTATTAAAAGGCCTACAGATATTAATAGATATAAGGGCTAGTCTTTTACCTTTCCTTTTAGTAATAGGACCCTTATATTTTCGTTTGTTTGCAAGTAAGCACACCTTATATAGGTGCTTTTTACTTAGTACTAGAATAGGAGAATTTAATATAGTAACCTTATGCAAGCTTCTTAAGCTGCCACTTCTAAGGTATGCAAATCTCCTATGCTATAACTCCTACTAAGCCTATTCCTTAGCTAAAAGCAAGGCATATGTGTGTTCCTCTATTACATCTATTACTAATATAGCCTATAGGTTATCTAACAGAGATAAAATAAAGGGTACACCTCTATAAATTTTGGTCTAGACAACTAGTTTACTAGACATAGATCTAAGGGTGAAACTAGGTAGTTAGACAGCAAACTATTAGCTGAACTAGTTCTATGAAACAAGACTAATACTAAGACTAGGAATAAGAAGAACATCTCTTAGAACAATTTGTTTCCTAAGGTCCCCTCCTATCTCTACTTCTCCTATATAGGTAGCTTTTATAAAGCCACTACTAACCTTAATCTATCTAGGCCTCTAAAGAGGCTTTATAGTTCTAAAGAGAGAAGGTTAGTCAGTTATATAGGATAATACATAGGAGTTAAGCAACTATTTAGATAGGTACTTGCCCTTTACTTCTACTATAGAGTAGGCAACCTTATTAGTTTCCTTATTATTAGATAGGGATTCTGACTTAGCTATAGAGTCCTTAGTCTCTTAGGAGGCATAAGCTCTCTAAGGTTTCTTAGCTCTCTAACTAGACTTCTTCTAGGTTAGAGACTTCTCTACTAAGGATTTTAACGATCTTATCTCCTTTTAGAGATTAGATAGGCTTATCCTTAATAGTAATCTGTTCTTCCTTAGAGGGGACCTACCCCTCTCTTTTCCTTTAAGAGACTGCTTTGCCTACTAGAGGTAGGGACAGTCTTTAATTAAGTGCTACTTCTTATAGAGATAGTAAGTAAGTCCTCCCTTTTGCCTAGCAAATATTGTAGTTTCTTGTCTTTAGAGCCTAGCCTTATATAACTCTAAGAGGTAAAGCGCCTCTTTAGGTGTTATCCTAGTCTAGGCATAAATAGTGTCTACTATACTCTAGTATATAGGTAGCAGACTAGTAAGAAGATGTTTTATCCTCCTTTCTGTACTCTTATAGTAGGACTCCCTCTTATCTACTTTAGTAATCCTTCTCCTAAGATTGCTAAGGTGTACCTAGGCCTTTCTAATTATCTATTCTTCTAATATCCTAAATATAATATACTCCTTAACTAGGGACATCGCATATATAATGTATACTTTATAGTATTTGGCCTTTATTTTGTCCTAGACAGCTTTAGCCCTCTTCTTATTAATTACCTTATCCTAGTTATCTTCTAATAGGTAGATAACTAGTTTATATCTTGCTTTTGTATTAGCCTGAGACTACTCTAGTAAGTGAACTAAATATCTTAAACTAGGTAAAGGGATTTCCTCTAGTGTTAATACTAGGGTCTCTATTAAAGCTAAACTAATTAAAATAACCTAAAACATATTCTTCCCTTTAAGGTTGTCCTCCTAAAGACTAAACTATGTTCTCTAATTTTCTTTTAATAATAGAGGTACTGCCCTCCTCTTTCTAAAAGACCTAGAATCTAACTCTATGCTTTTCTTTAATAAGTAGATACTATAGCTTTATAGTAAAACAGTTGTTAGTGAAAAAGTATGTGTTAGATAATATATAAAGAAGTGCCGGATGTCGGCGGGAGGGGCGGATTCTTATAGGTGTATGCCTCCTAGACATATAGAGGGGTTCGAATTTGTAGTAGTCTAGATAGACTCTTCCTAAGACCGTTATAGGGTATTAAGAGTAGACCGGTTACTCTCTTACTAGGCTACTTTCACGACTTATATACACTTATAGTAAGAGCTATGTCTTCTAGGTGCACTACGGTAGCGAGCCTCTAGTCGGCCTTCCTTTTCTGCCTCCCGTAAGGTCTTATAAGGTAAGGAATAACTTGTACTTCTTACTTAATTTAAGACCTGTCTTACAAACCCGGGCTTATAACCTATTAAGAATAGGATATGTAACGTAGTTTGTAGCGGAAGTAAGGACTTAATAATCGAAGAAGAAGGACCTAATTTATATAGAGGTATCTAAGATAGTCTAGTATAAAGGTAGTAGGTGAGAGAGAGAGAAGCCCGCTCTCCCCCTTCTAGCTACTATCACTAAGCTTGGCGTGTCACGTGACCTAGTCACGTGACCACTTAGCTTACTACTAGGCCTACTCCTACTTTCCTCCTAAGCTACTATTTTATAACAATTACTATTAATAGAGACAAATAGTAGCTAGTTATAGGTATTACTAGTATATAAGCTACGATTACCTTTTTAAAGAGTACCGGTAGATTTACTACTTAGGTCTAGGTTTCGCTTAGTTAATAGTACTCTTATAGAGTAGCTATCCCGATTATACTTCGTATTAAAATAGATTAAGAGGACAGTTTAACTTAAGGTAGTAAACGAGAGTATAGATATGAGTTTAACGCTTAGGGACAGTTTATGCGGACATTAGATTTGTGTATAGCTGGATTGAACAACATAACATAACATAACATAACATCTTGTCTAGACAGATTTTATAGCGAGAGAAGTTTACTTTTCTCCACGATCCTCGCCGCGAAGTCCTCGATCGGCACTGCTGCTAGTATCTCTAAGAGAGCCATATTCGCTTTCAGATCGCGGGTAATCCAGTTCCGCACCTCTAGGGCAACGAGAGAATCGACGCCGTACCGATACAAAGGACGGGACGGGTCAATCTCAGACGATGGGACTTGCAAAATTTCAGCTGTCTTCTGCACCAATGCGTTTGTCGCGATTCCAACGGCTTCATCCCGGGATATGGCTTGTGCCAACCGCGACGCAAAGGAGCCTGTGGATGGGGAAGCGTCACTACTCAAGCTCGTGTTGACACTCTTGACAGCCAGAGGGGCGAACCGCGGATCGTGAAAGTACTCGGGTGGCGACAATTGATGAGTGGTCATGAGGTCCACGGTTCCAAGACCCGTACACACTTGGAATGGATAGTCAGCTCCTTCTTGCAGCTGTTGTGTGATCAAGCTCTTGATGAGCGCGTGGAAGGCTGGTTCGCGGATGCCGAGCACGTTTTCCCAGAGCTCGATGTTGCCTGTGGTTCCTTGCTCGGCCAACACCCCGACGTCGCGCATGATGCCGAGATTGACCGAGATGGCCTTGAGACCACGCGAGCGACGATAGCGAGCGACCGCATCCTGGTAGGTGTTGCCCGCAGCATATTGAGCCTGGCTCGGATACCCGTAAATGCCCGAACTCGAAGAGCAGATGACCATAAAGTCCAACGGCCGCTCGTCGTTGAAGTATTCATGGAGATTCCAAGTTCCTGCCACTTTGGGCTGCAATGGAACCACCCACTCGGCGTAGGACATCTTTTCGAAGACGACGTCGCGGAGGACCATGGCCATCTGTATCACGCCGCGAACTGGAGGCAGCTCCGTCTGGCATCGGTCCATTGCGGCCGCAAAGGACTTCTGGTCCGACACGTCGGCGCGGTACGCTTTTGCTTGCGCTCCCAGGGCATCGAGTTCGTCCAGAATCGCCCTGGCCTGGGGAGCACTGTCGCCCGAGCGGGAGATGAAAGCAATGTTGCGAGCACCGCATGCCACAAACTCTTTGGCAAGACTGCGGCCGAGACCACCCAGCCCGCCAACGAAGAGGTATGTTCCGCGGGGATCCAGCTCGAATCCGTCTCGGGCGCGACAGTAGACTGGTGCTGTCGATTCCTCCTGGAACGAAAGAACAATCTTGCCCCGATGCTTTCCCTGCTGCATCGTCCGAAATGCCGTGTCGATCTGCCCCTAACACAGGTGTTCTACCTCTCTTACATCGTGCGCCAGGCTATCCCTGAGGAACCCGTCTACGAGACCACGCTCAACTTCGTCGTCGATTACAGCGACCATGAACAGCTCGATGCGGCTCTCAACGGAGTTGATGTTGTGCTTTGCTTTATTACTAGCATGACGGACAACAACAATCAGGCTCAGAAGAATCTCATTGATGCCGCAGTGCGATCCAAAGTAAAACGATTTGCGCCTAGTGAATGGGTCTCGTATGTCCATCTCGTCCTACGAAATCTGCACGACATCTAATACTACCATAGATCTACTCTAGAACATCTGCCATTCTACGCCGGGAAAGCAGAGATCCGCCAGTGCCTGCGTCAAGTCAATTCTCAGCACAAGGTCTGTATAGCCCACGCACTTTCTTGACTATGAACTCGGATTCTGACGCCTTCCGCACCTGTCCAGGTCCTCGAATACTGTCTGTTCCAACCAGGGCTCTTCACCGACTACTTGGTTTTCCCAAACCACTCGGCCAAGCACTTCCGTGCCTTCCCAAACCCCTTTGATCTAGAGCACAGAAGAGTCCTGGTCCGCAAAGATGGGCTGGATGACCACCTCACCTTCACTACAGCCACGGATCTCGCGAAGGTCGTTGTCAAGGCTATTGACTACGAAGGAGAATGGCCTGAAGTTGGTGGCATCCGGGGTGCCGAAATGTCCATCCGCGAGATTTTGGCAATTGCTGAAGCGGTGCGAGGTAGGTCGGCGGCGGAGCACGAGTATGAAAGCTCTTGGCTGACCCATCGCATAGGCTCACCTCTTGCTGTGGAAGAAGTCAGCTTGGACGACCTAGAAGCTGGTCAAATCACCACTTCATGGTTTCCACGTGCTGACGGCCGGGACTTTTCAAGCAAAGAGGCCGACCAAATGGCGTGTTATTTCGTGCGAGGACTTTTGCAGGGCATCGCGGCGGGATCCTTTTCGGTCTCCGATGAGTGGAACCAGATTTTGCCAGATTTCGTGTTTACTTCTCCGCGTGACTGTTTCCTGGAGACATGGTCATGTAAAAGCGCGGCTTAGTGGAAGTTCCGACTGAAGCTGAAAAAAGCCCTAATACGAATTGAAGTTCGACGAAACTCGTACCTTTAAAGTTTAAACTCTAGTCTAACGTGAAAACATAGCTATTTCTCTTAAAGTACTTTAATAGTTTATTAGAGACACTCCTTCTATTATCTCGCTTTTTAGTACTATAGTATAGTATAATCCATATATCGACGGACTCTATACGGTATCTAGATTGGTCCACTTCTTATTTTCTACAGTCTGAAATTCACACCGCTTAGAGCGAAAGATGACAGACATTACTTCCCTGGTCGAAGGCGTCCAAAGTGCGGCTACTACTAGCAATGCTGGTATCACAGAAGATATCGAAGCTCGACGTAAGCTGCTCAAAGCGGCCCAGGATCTGGTAGCGGCCCTGAAGCTTCCAGACGAGATGGTTGCAGATATGGCTACTGCAAGCTATCATGACACGAGTGTGCGAATTGCTCTGGAGATGGGCATCTTCGAGAAGCTTGCTGAGGCCGGGAGGCCACTCCCAGTAACAGCACTGTTAGCGTCAAGCACAGCCGACCCGCAGCTTGTCCTTCGCATCGCGAGGTCGCTCGTTGGAACCGGCTTTCTGGCCGATGCGAGCACGGCTGACGGCCGCAGAGGATTCGCAATCACAGCAGTCGGTCGTCAGGCCATTGTGCCATGTGCCAGGGCCGGATTGAAGTACCAGTAAGTGCGTGCGCAGCAGCATCAGCGGTGCGACTCTAATTTGCATTGCAGCTTCGACCAGCAATTGGACGTGATTAGACATGCTCCAACGTTCTTCCGCAGAAACGGTTTCCAGACGCCCAAGACCCAGTCTGAAGGACTGGTCCAGTATGTGTACAGCACTGAAGACGATTGTTACACATACTGGTCGAGAGAGGCGGGTGTAATGGAAAACTTCAACACCTTCATGCAAGGCTATTTTGGCTCGCGCGAAGCCGTGATGCCGCTATCTTGGTTTCCGTATGACCAGGCTTTTCTGAATGGTTTCGACTCCAGCAAGAGTGGTTCTCAGTATGAATATGTCGATGTCGGAGGAGGTAAAGGCCACCATCTCCAAGAAGTGCTGGACAAGTACCCCAACGCGCAAGGCAAATTCTTGTTACTGGACGTGCCGCAGGTCATCGCAGACATTGACAACACCCCCGGAGTTGTACTATCACCTCGGATTGAGAGGTTGGGACATGATTTCTTCCAGGCTCAGCCAGTCAAAGGCGCCCGTGCTTATGGCTTGGGGAATATCCTGCACAACTGGAATGACGACCTCTGCCCCAAGATTCTAGAGAACTTGAAGGATGCCATGACGCCTGGATACAGCAAGCTTATCGTGTCGGGGGTTGTCATGCCAGACACGAATGTTTCATTGCAGGAGAGCGCCCTTGATTTGCTGATGCTATTCTCGCATAACGGCATTCAACGCAGCCGAGACCAGTGGCAGAAGTTGCTCGAAGGCGCTAGGCTGAGATTAATGAAGATCTGGACGCCCCCAGGTATTGGTAATGCTATAGTGGAAGCTGAAGTAGCAACGTAAAGCACTAGTAAGCTAGTTGTACTACTAAGGAGCTCCGGATGTGCCTTAAACGACAAACACTTAAGCAACGGAATATTAGCGTATCGGGGAATCGAAATTTTAGCTTAGTACGCGAATATCTTAGTACTCTTTAGGGTATTTATTATCACGCGGGTATACCCGTAGAATATTAGCGTCGGCGACGTCGAGGAGGACCTAGCCCGGCTACCTTACGTACGCGACCCGACTACGTATACGACCCGACTACGTATACGACCCGGCTACGTACGCGTACGTAGCCCGCGTAAATACTACTATAGTATCTTAAGGCCCTTAATATAGCCGTCCTTCTAGACCGAGATGTCTTTAAAGATAGCGTACTAGCGACCTACTAACGCGGATATCCCTATTCTAAAAGTATATCTTAGAAAGGCGCTCGTAATTCTCTAGATCCGGCCTAGTACTAGCTAGGTAGGAATAGTAAGCTCCGCCTTTACGTAGATTACTACGGATATATCCGCGTAATAGAATTTACTATATAGAGTACTAGGAGATTCGTATACTAAGTATTACTTTATAAAATCTAGATACCCCGATACGCCGATATTCCGGTACTTAAGTGTTTGTCGTTTAGGGCACATCCGGAGCTCCGTTACTACTAAGCTAGTAAAATTTCCTATCACGACCGAATTATCAATTAACGTAGTATGTATAAAATTAATTTATGACTAGCAAAGTCGGCCGTTGCAGACGCCAAGCAATTGCTACAACCTGAGGCAACATTGACCCCATGCAACAACTGGACGCTTACTAAGTTCGGAAGGACAGGTTGAGTCGTTAGTTACTTACATGGCCTCTACCTTATCCTTTCATATTTTCTGCCCACATACCATACCTTCCACCTTGCCTTTGTTGTCGTACGTTCATAATGGCGTTCAATTCTGATGACGCCGCGGACGCCTGGCTCCAACATTATTGATACAGTCACTCGATCCATCGTCCCTCACCCTCTACATCCCTCAAGAACATGGAATCCTTTGCAAGTCTCTTATCCATGGATGAATCGCGATGCAGCCTCAGGTCCTGCATCGTCCACAGTACCCACATCTTTCCGAACAGGCGGTAAAGTCTTCTTCGGACTCCTCACCAGAAACGACATCGACTCCTCCTTCTGCATCGGAGTGAGCATAGTCCTCGGAATCGACTCCCTCGCTGTTTGAATCATCCTCTCGACTGGCCCAAATATCATGCAAGTCGTCTGGCAACGCTGTGGCAAAATTTCCTTCCACCTCCCGAAACTCAAGAGTGCCAACACTTCGATAACAGACCTCGAATCTTTTCTCTGGGGCGGCTTTTGCATGTTCGATAATCATGGCCAGAACGCTTGCGAGCTCCCGAAGCTCGGGCTCGTGTTCTTGTTCCCAGGCTTGCAAGTCTTGCTCTATGCTCTGCACTCTGATGTCGGTAAAGACACCTCCCGCATGGTAGGCGAGAACAAAGTTGGGAATCTGTCGTGCCCAGAGTCTGTCCATCTCGCCTGCCAGGACGTCCTCTCGTTTTCCAATCCACCGCGTCTTCAAATCAAACATTGCCTTCTGAGGGATTACTCCGCCCGCTTCTTTGACGACGAGATCCGGCGACGGAGAGAAACGCAGACCTTTTCCATCGATAACTCGATCCACTCGATTGGGCAGGTATCCATCGCCTTCATAACGCACAACGACGTGGATTCCCGCAAATTCGTAGCGTATCATGCGCTGGTGCGAATCTGAGGCTTTGACGCTCTCGTCCCATGAAGTGTAGCTTGCCGGAAATGTGTGGCCATATCCCCTCACGCCCTGCATCTTCTCTGTGGGGCTGTTCTCCCGCCGCAAAAAGAATACCGTATCTCCAATGAGTTCTACCACGAATCTGAAGGGCTTATCGATATTGCGAACAAATCTCAAAAGGTTGCCGATTGTGCTCCCACACGCGAAGATATCGATGTTCTCATTGACGATGCTTGGACTCTGTGCCAGCAATGCTCTCATGGCTGGCTCAACTGGATGCTTTGCGTAATGTGCGGAATTGACGTCCCGGAAATATTCTCCAGCGTCTTCTTGGAGCTTTCTTGGCTCTGGTAAAGGTTGCCACTTCGCCGGCAAGCCTTTTCTGGCATTAGCATTCAGTACGTCGAGAATTTATTGCATGAAACACTACTGACCTGGCACGACGATGGTTGGGTCTGGGGTGTCTAACCAGTTGAACGAGGCCAGATATTCACAACCCGTGATTCTCGGAGGCTCTGTTTCAGATGTTATAGCTGCGAACAACGACTTCTTAGTCAAAGTCTCGAGAAGTGCAGCCAAAGTCGGAGAGGATGCCTTTCGTGCTTCGTCTTCGCGTTGGTAACGAGGTCTCGCACCCAGAGCAACGCCCCGCCGGTCATGGATTCCTCTGCCGCCGCGAGACTGGTTTCGATACATCTGAGCAAATGTTCACACCCGAACAGTCTGAAATGGTGGATTTGCAGTTGTCGAAGTCTTTCCTTGTCTCGGAATCGTCTTGTGAGAGCGCGAGACTACATTCCACGGGTTTGCACTCAGCGGCGATGTTTGCTGGTCTTATGCAGCGCATGCTGCAGCTGCATTGTCTCTCCCCCGCGCGCGCAGGTCGCGCAAACCAGGCAGCCTTGCTTGTCCCCTTGCGCGTTTGTTGAGACTCTCCCGCCGTACGGGAATTTAGCGCTTGTTGGGTTCAACTCTCCAGGAGCCTCGTCAAAAGCAAACAACTTGTCGCTCTTCATCTACAGCCGCGCCCCCAGACCATGGATAGTGCAGAGCCGGAGCAGCTGCTCTCGGCTGGTTACTCACACGCCGCCACGATGAGCCAAATCGCATCAAAAGGAAATTTGCTTGGCCGTGGAGATCGATTATACAGACTCCTAGAGTCTTTCATCAATGGCAAAAGAACCACGAGAAGCGCGGACGACTCCAAGCTGCTGTTGGAATCTATATGCAGTCAGGAGGACCATGCTGGCTGCATTGAGAGAATTGGCTGCAGCCCTCATGCACTTCAAGCCATTCGCCAAGGCGTCCGCTTCGACCATTCGGATGGCTTCATCAATGGACATCTCGCAGAATTCTTGGCTTACCTCGCTACTCCTGCTGTCAAACTGCTCTGCAATGGCGAATTCCTTCGGCGCGTTCTGGCTGAGATAGTTCGACCACCAACTCTTTGGAACGCCTTGGTTGCGGCGTACGAAGAAAAGCGACTGACACAAAGATCGCAGTCCAACTTTGCTTGGCTGCTGCTAGAGTTGCTACTGTGGATCGATGAGCCCCCAATCGACGTCGACGCACTTGCGAGTAAATACACCAACGGCAAGGACTTTCTCCAGTCCGAGGACCGACAAGTTCGTGCTTTGGGCTATCGTATCCAACACATTGTCCAGGCAAAACAAAACGATCACCATGTTCTTCGAGCTGGGCCAGGCGGTCGCCACGACAACGATTTCACGGATTTCCGAAAGATTGCCATCTATCCCACCGAAGACGAACTATCCAGCACTCATCGCCCATACTACAACTCGGCACAAGCACTTGCTGACCAGCCTTGGGATTCGCGGGCTGGATTCCATCTTGAAAACCAATTTCGTCTGCTTCGCGAAGATTTCTTGGCAGACATTCGCGATGACCTTGAGACCTCGTCGAAGAAGGGGAAGAGAGCTTCCAAGCGCGCAAGAACTAGTTTGCGCGATCTCGAGATTGCAGGTGCGTACTGCGGTCAGGACAAATTCAAAGTTCCATTTTCTCTTGCAGTCTCAGTTGGAAGTGGCTTGGAATGGCTCACTGGCCGAGATGTCAACGAGCGCCGGAAGTACCTAAAGAACTTTCCCGGTGTGTTGAAGCACAACTCTTTTGGCTACTTCATCTACGACGGTTGTGTTGTCGCATTTGCAAAGCTTGTACGAGTTGAAGAGCTTCTCGTGAAGAAAACTCCCGTTGTGGCCTTGCAAGTGCCAGGAAGTGCGGCTCTGAAGAAAGTGCTCGTGTCACTGAAAACCTCAAGGGCGGTCGAATTTGTGCTTCTCGAAACCGCAGCATTCGCTTATGAGCCTGTCTTGCGTTGCTTGCAGAGTAAGGTGGAGCTTCCGCTTTGGGAACAGCTGCTTGCAACGAAAGGGAATGGCTCCGAAGTATCTCTGCAGCATTCAACACTGCCTGTAAAAGATCTATCTGATGAGATTGAGCAGCACGGTGGCGGGGATTTGAGCTCCATCATGGGTCTTTCTAAGTCTGTTCGACTGGATGAGTCGCAGACATCGTCACTGCTGGCTGGTCTGCGCCAGTCTGTCAGCCTCATTCAAGGCCCTCCCGGAACCGGGAAATCATTCATTGGCGCATTGCTTGGCAAGGCGCTTCATGACCATACAAAAGAGAACATACTGGTACTCTGCTTCACGAATCACGCTCTCGATCAATTCCTCGAAGATTTGTTGGATATTGGTATTCCTTCTGAGAGTATGGTCCGTCTCGGCTCAAAATCGACGCTACGCACTAAACATCTCAGTCTGCGAGACCAAGGACCAGCAAGGTCACGAACACCGCAGAATTGGGACAACATAAATCGACTCAATGGCGAGACCCAGCGTCAAGAGGATACGCTCAAGGACACGATCACTCAATACTCTGATCTCGCAGACTCCAGTAATGAGATTATGAATTACTTGGAATTCTCAGACGATGACTATCAATTCTTCGAGGCCTTCTCAGTTCCCGAGAACGACGAGGGATTCACCATCGTGGGTGAAGCCGGGAGGCACGTGGATGAGTCTTACCTCCTCGACCGCTGGATCAGAGGCTTAGATCCCGGTGTCTTTGCCAACAGTGTATCTTCTCGGCACGTCGACATTTGGACAATGGATAGTAATGCACGCTCTGAAAAACTACAACGCTGGAAACGCGAGATCTTGCAGGAGGCTGCTGGGAAGGTAATAGATGGAGTGAACGGGTTCAATGCCAGTCAATCCACTCTTCACGAAGCTTTCTAGCAAAAGGACACCGAAGTAGTCCAGAATAAGCGAATTGTAGCGTGTACCACCACTTTCGCAGCAATGTACTCCAAGCAACTCCAAACGGCGGCGCCGGGTATCCTACTGGTTGAAGAAGCCGGCGAGATTCTCGAGAGTCACATCTTGACGGCAATGACCCCGAGCACGAAACAGCTTATCCTGATCGGTGACCACAAACAGCTTCGACCAAAGGTGACAAACTATAATCTCACCGTCGAGAAGGGCGATGGATATGATCTCAATCGTTCCATGTTTGAGCGACTTGCCTTGTCAGGCTTTCCTCACACAGTCTTACAAAGGCAACATCGAATGTGCCCCGAGATTTCCAGCTTTGTTCGGGCTCTAACATATCCTGACCTTCTTGATGCAGACTCTACTACTTCTCGTGAGCCTCTTCGCGGTATTCGAAATCGTGTGATTTTCATCAAGCATGAGAAACAAGAGCTTGCATCGATGATGGCGGATCGAAGGGATCAGGGCGCCACTGTCAGCAAACAGAACGAGTTCGAGGCTCATCTGACGTTGAGTGTGGTCAAGTATCTCGCACAACAGGGCTACGGCGCGTCCGATCAAGTGGTTCTTACGCCATATCTAGGACAATTGAATCTCCTGCGCGGGGAACTTGCCAAAGATAACGATCCTGTTCTGAACGACTTGGATGCCTTCGATCTCGTCAAAGCTGGCGTGATGTCTACCGCAAATGCTGCCCAGAACAAGCGGCAGATTCATTTGTCCACCATTGGTAAGAAGAGTCCTGATAGTGAACAGACGGGTGCTCATATGTTACAGACAATTATCAAGGCGAGGAGAGCGATATAGTCATTGTCAATCTCACTCGATCCAACCCCGACGGAGATATCGGCTTCATGGCATCCCCGGAGCGACTGAATGTCATGCTTTCTAGAGCCCGAAAAGCATTGATCATCATCGGTAACCCAGTGACATTCACTAGCAGCCGCAAGGGAGGAGAATTGTGGAACAGTTTCTTTGGCTTGCTCGCTGAATCAAACAGCATCTTCGACGGTCTACCCGTCCGTTGCGAGCGGCACCAAGACCGCGAAATGGTCTTGTCTCAGCCTTCTGACTTCGAACTGTATTGTCCCGATGGAGGTTGTTCTGCACCGTGGTAAGTTTCAGATTTCGTCTAAAAGCCACAGATACATTGCGGGACCTCACTCACTGTAAAATCTTCTCCGAGGGAAAGACAAAGCTGACTGGTGCTGATAGTGGAGCTCAATTAGCCTGTGGAGTTCATACATGTCCACAGAAATGTCATCGGCGCACAGATCACTCGAAAATGAAGTGCCCTGAGCTAGTTCGAGATAAGTGTCCCAAGGGGCATATACTTACGAGGAAATGCTCTGATGGACATCCTGCTTCTTGCCATATCTGCGATGCTGAAATCCGCGTCAAAGCCGAGCGTCAAGCAAGAGATCTCAAACTGGAGCAAGCTCGACAAGAGAAGCAGCGCATGTATAGCCAGCAATTGGCGGAACTGCAAGATGAGATTGATCACCACCGGGGTTTGGCAAGAGAGAAAAGAGAGCGAGAAGATCAGGAGCATCAAATCAATCAGCACCGCAAAGACTTGGAAGCCGCAAAGGTTCAGGCAGCCAAGCGTGAGGCTGCTAGCCGTGCTGCTGCGACTTCAAGACGAGACAGCGCACAGGCAGCCACAACGTCTCAGAACGACAACTTGCAAGCCAAGGCTGGTGTAACTCAGCAGACTGGTGATATGGAGGGGGAGCACTCGCCTCTGCCAGAATCCGATGCTCGTGATGACTGGGAGGCTCAGAAGGCCTCTGAGGGCTGTCAGAACGAAGCATTAGACAAGCTCATGGAGATGATTGGGCTCGAAGGCGTCAAAGAACAGTTTCTTGAAATCAAGTCGAAGATCGATCTTGCAATCCGTCAAGACCTGGATATTGGCACAGAGCGTTTCGGTGCCGCCTTGCTTGGGAATCCTGGAACAGGTAAGCTCTTCACTCCAAGGCCAGAGAGGCAAAAGTCAGCCCGCTGACCTAAGACAGGCAAGACAACGGTCGCAAGACTGTATGCCAAGTTCTTGACTTCTGTTGGTGCATTGCCTGGTGATCATTTTGCCGAGACTACAGGCGCCAAACTTGCCAACGACGGCGTCAAGGGCTGCGAAAAATTACTAGAAACCATCAAGAATGCGGGGGGAGGCGCGTTGTTCATCGACGAGGCCTATCAGCTAACGTCTGGTGCTCATTTTGGTGGACCCGCTGTTCTAGATTTCTTGCTTGCCGAAGTCGAAAACCTGACGGGAAAAGTTGTCTTCATCTTGGCTGGATATAACAAGCACATGGAGAAGCTCTTTGCGCAGTGAGTGACAGCGTCTTTGACTTGCTGTGAACACCGCTAATGACAATAGCAATCCTGGACTGCCAAGTCGATTCCCAAGAGAATTCCAGTTTGCTGACTATCAGGACCACGAGCTTCTAGAGATCCTGCAATTCAATATATCCAAAAGATATGAGGGTCGTATGAAGGTGGAAGATGGGCTACGAGGACTATACGCTCGTATCTTGGTAAAACGACTTGGCCGAGGACGCGGCAAAGAAGGCTTTGGGAACGCTCGAGCAGTGGAGAATGCGGTTGCAAAAGTGGCCTCTCGTCAGGCGAAACGTGTCCGAAAACAGCGCAAAGCTCGAAAGTCTCCAGACGATATGCTCTTTACGAAGGAGGACTTAATTGGACCTGAGCCCACTGATGTGCTCTCAAAGGACCCTTCCTGGATTAAACTCCAGAAGATGATTGGCTTGAGTTCTGTCAAGGAATCTGTGAAGGCGCTACTGGACAGCTTGCAATTCAACTATCAGCGCGAACTAAACGAGGAGCCGATCGTTGATTTCAGCCTCAACAAGGTCTTTCTTGGGTCTCCTGGAACGGGCAAGACGACAGTTGCAAAGCTTTATGGTCAGATCTTAGCCGACATTGGCATGCTCTCCAGTGGTGAAGGTAAGTTTCGTAGAATGTTGCAAACCATGGAATTGGCTGATGATGTCGTACAGTCGTCGTCAAGAAACCCGCGGACTTCGTTGGAGGTGTCCTTGGTGCATCGGAAGCGAATACCAAAGGCATCCTCGACGCGGCAATCGGTAAAGTACTAGTCCTCGATGAGGCCTACGGGCTATACGGAGGTGCCCAGAATACCGGTTCCGATCCATACCGAACCGCAGTCGTCGATACTATCGTCGCCGAGGTGCAGAATGTTCCCGGCGATGACCGATGCGTCCTACTCCTTGGCTACAAAGAGCAGATGGAAGAGATGATGCAGAACTCTAACCCTGGCTTGGCACGTCGGTTTCCAATCGACTCAGGCTTTCACTTCCAGGATTTCACGGACGACGAGATGGCCCTCATCCTGGATATGAAGCTCAAGGAACAACATTTCAGCGTCACAGATGCAGCAAGAACAGCGGCTTTGGAAGTGCTGCGCAGGGCTCGCAATCGTCCTCATTTTGGCAATGCAGGAGAGGTCGACATTCTCCTCAACGATGCAAAGATGCGGCAACAGAAGCGTATTTCTAAAGATACCTCGGCACCAAGAGCCATATTCGAGGCGCGAGACTTCGATCCTGATTTCGACAGGGGCGAACGCGCGGTGACCAACATTGGAATCCTGTTCCGTGACACAGTTGGCTGTGAAAGTGTCGTGGCCCAGCTCCAGAGCTATCAGACCACTGTCGCGAACATGAAGAAGATGGATATGGACCCTCGAGAGCAAATACCGTTTGCGTTCCTCTTCCGCGGTCCGCCTGGGACCGGCAAGACCACAACTGCGAAGCGCATGGGCAAAGTATACTACGACATGGGCTTCTTAGCCTCAGCAGAGGTTGTCAGCTGCTCGGCATCAGATCTAATCGGCGAGTACGTTGGTCAGACTGGGCCCAAGACGAGAAAACTTCTTGAGTCCGCTTTGGGCAAGGTGCTCTTTATAGATGAAGCGTATCGCTTAGGCGCCGGTCACTTTGCCCAGGAAGCCATGGACGAATTGGTGGACTGCATGACGAAAGACCAGTTTTTCCGCAGACTGATCATCATCTTGGCGGGCTACGACGCTGACATCAACCGTTTGATGTCAATGAATCCCGGTTTGACTTCACGGTTTCCCGAGGCCATGGTCTTCACTCCTCTGAAACCAAACGAGTGCTTCGATCTGCTGCAAAAGGAACTCCGCAAGAAGAAATGTCTCGATACCTCTATTCTGGACGAGCCGCAAGCCAGCTTCCGAACGCATATCATGGAAAAGTTCGAACTCCTCGCAAAACTTGACAATTTCGCCAATGCGAGAGATGTCCAGACTTTGGCAAAGGATATCTTCGGCTCTCTCGTAAAGAACTCTATGGCCAGCAAAGGTCAACAACTCTACGTCGGTGAAAAGCACGTCATGGAAGCAATGGAGCGCATGATCGATGAGAGATTGAAGCGTTCTTTAGACGCTGTCAATGCGGTTTCAAGGGACCAAGAAATGACCAACTGCGCAGACCCGCCGGCGCGGCACCGGAAACAGCAGAATCAGAGTACCTCGATATCACAAGGAACTGCAACCGCAACGGAGGCGAAAATAGAGCAAACGAGTTCCCAACAGGAAGATACAGAGGATGCTTCCGAAAGCCAGGGAGGCGACAGTGGTGGCTCTGACAAGCCCACTATGGAAGCCCAGCGAGACGCCGGTGTCAGCGATGCCATTTGGAATCAACTCCAACTCGACAAAGCGAGGGAAGAAGAAGCTGAGCGGGAGTTCCAGCGTTTGCAAGACGAAGAAAGAAAGCTGAAAGAGTGGTTAAAGGCTTGCGCGGATGCGAAGCGGCGGAAGGAATTGGAAGAACTGGAAAGAGAGAGGAAAGCTTTGGAGGAGGAGCAACGACGGCTTGAAGAACAGGGTAAGGAATTGGAAGAGGTGGAAAGAAAGAGAAAGGCTTTGGAGGAGCAACGACGACGAGAAGCAAAAGTGGAAAGAGAGAGAAAAGCTTTGGAGGAGCAACGAGGACTAGAAGCAAAGAGGAAGGAATTCGAAGAACTGGAAAGAAAGAGAGAAGCTTTGGAGGAGCAACGAGCACGAGAAGCAGAGGTGAAGGAACGGTTGATGAGGATGGGTCGTTGTCCTGTGGGGTATGGATGGATCAAGCAGCAGGAAGGATACAGGTGTGCGGGCGGATCACATTATTTGCCTGATGCACAAGTTAATGCTATGCTTCAATGACCAGTTTGAGACAAGGTCAATAGAATTGGTCTATCATGCAGTACCCAAAGTGGCTTTCACTACCGTAAATCTACGGCACGCGATCTTGTGGGTCCCGCAATGCCTGTCCATAGTCTCCAGCATTAGGCATCCTGACCAGAGTATGCGTGTGAAACTTCATCGGCTCTTTGTTTGTGAGGAACACACCTGAATGGTGGTCAAACTCAAACACAATAACGGGACTCTGTATCCTGTAGTAAAAGGCATCGTCGTCACCATAGCCTCCAATCCAGCTGAAGTAGGTCTCGTCAAAATGCTTCTGGATCAGCTCTTTCCGCGCCTGACGGGCCTGGTGAGGATGGTAAAGCAAGAATTCTTCGGCGATACCAAGAATCAGCTGTTGCTGCTCTAAGGTCATCGAAGAGACTTTGATGCCCTCGTAAGGCACGACCCGGTTGTCACGGAAAGCACCGCAGACATGGCGCTGATCGTCTTGGTTCCAACGGTCGATTTTGAGGTCTCCGCTCTGTAGCATCTTTGGATCTCGCATGAGCTTGTATATCTGTACCTGCTCTTGGGTCTCCTTCGGTAGGCTTTGCATTAGCTGCAAGCCAAGCTCGCCCTCCTTGTGGAGGATCTGCGTGCCGGCCCAAGGTCCCTGGTCGATTTGGTTTGGTTCGGCTCCGGTAAAAGTTGGCGTGACGTAGATATTGCCTGCTTTGAGAAAGACATTGAGACACAAGTGGTGCCCGTACATCGACCAACCCCAGGCTTTCTCCGAGGATGGCTCGCCGTACAGTAGGAAGTTGTAAGAGTACTTGTTCATGATGTTGACGACATCGCAGCATTCGCCCATGAAATGGTTGATCCGCATCGCTACGAGGGCTTTCTGATAGCCTTCCGGAGAGAAGGTGACCTCCAAAATGCCGAGAATGGATTGTGTCACATCTTCCGGCAGCTCCTCAAGACGAAGGCCAAGTGGTCGTAAGAGGAACTCTGGATTGGACCAGCATCTCCATTCTTTGGCCGCCATCGGGTACCGCACTTTCTTCGTCTGCTCATATGAGAGTTTGCCTAAGAATGTGTTGGTGGCTTCGATGATCTTGGCTGTAGATGCTCCAACGTCCTCATCTTGATACAAGCCTGTCCGGATGGTACCTACCAAGCGGTCAGTACAATCTGCCTGCATGGTTCCCACTCTACCTGCATTACCATCATTCGTTACGCCTTTGTAAGGCTCTTTAAGTAGCTCTTGCCAAGCTTGAGTTAGGTCGTATAACCACGGAGGCTGATGATTCTTCTGGAAGGCTTCCGTGTAGTCGTATGGAGTCTGCTTCTTGGCCGTTGTGAAGCGAGGCTGGCTCAAGTCTGGAAGATGCGTTCGGAAATCCGCTACCAGGCTCTCGTCTACATGTCTGCTCACTCCGTTCGTGCTGTCCATTATGTTTGATCAATCTTAAGGCCCTATTTTCCAATATGAAGAAGTTCAGGGCTTGTCAAGGTGGTGGAGGGAGAATCGAGTTTTTACCCCGCCCTCGCCCATTTGAAATGATATACCCGGATGAGGACCCGATTATCGGTGACTTTGTAGATGTATTCTATTCACTGCGGTTGCCATTCCGCAGTGGATGAGGTGAAGTGAGGTGGTGATGTCGGGTTCCCCACTCGGCATTTGCTGTGAGGAGTTCCGTCATCCGACGATCGGCCGAACTCTCGGTCTTTAAATTCAACTTCCCTCCCTCTTCCCGACTTCCTTGCTCCTCTCTTCTTTCTTCCTTTTCCTACGAGAGGCGAATCTTCTGGCATCAATCTGCTCCAGTATCTGTGGCTAGCAGAACTCGCTGACTCAGACGAGGCCCCCCTCGGAAACGACTGAAATGGATTCAGACAATGGCTCTGAAGGTCAATCCGAGGACCGCGACTTATGCTATTCCACAAGGACTTCATGTCCAGAAAGGCGCAGAAGTCATTGTTGAGCACCTGCAATATGTTGTTCTGCAAGCTCTGAAGCTACAGTATGGCAAGGCGGACGCTGAGGTAGTGTGGAAATCTCGTCATTACGGTTCTGGCAATCCATTACACCCTCATAGACGTGTGATCATTTCGAACCAGTCACCCACATACTCCAACCTTTACGCACTCGGTCAGGACTCCCAAATTGTGGCAATTCTTCTACATTCACAGTCTTCTCTACCTTTTTAAAACTGGAGGTTCCGTTCACAGTCAATGGAAAGCGAGCACGCCCGCGCACGCAAGCCCGGTGGAATCGACAACGCTCTGAGCCAAGATCGCAAAAACGACCGCCAGTGCCAAATTCCTGCTTTACACCAAATTTGCTGCAAAGAGGGTTGCCACGAGGGACAGAATGCTGCTCCAGAAGCTGTTGTCGCTTGACAAGCGCGGCGCATCGTTTAGCGTTACCGTCTGGGTTGGCATACCTCCAGAACCCGACGCTTGACTGCCACCGAAAGGAAACAGAGACGCTGTCGATGCCGGAGAAGTCGTCATAGCAGCCAGGCTAGAAGAAGCCTGCGCAGCGCTGACCGAACTCATCGGGGGAGATGTTGTAGCAGATGGCTGCACGATGACCGAGGATGACGAAACAGGACGACTCGAAGAGAGGCTGTCCGAAGGGTCTGAAGAGGTCGCTGACGCAGATCCGGAGCCGCTACTTCCCACTATTGCTCCTGCGGAGTTTACAGAAGCGTACACTTGGATTGGTGCTGTTCGGGTCGCTGAGCAGCCGTAGTTGGTGAAAGTGTGGCTACCCAGGTAAAGGCTGAACTGCACACAGTATGGTGCAGTCGAGCTGCCACTATCGAAAAGGTTAACGAATTGGTCTAAGATCAGCAACTTTTCTGCATGAACTGACCAGAAATACAATTGACTGTTGCTCGAGCACGCGGCATTACAACCAAAAGTCATGTCGTTGCAGGCCGTGTAGAAATTACTGAAGTCACCTTAGTCGATCAACTACAGTATGTCAGGCCGCACACGTCCCATACCATCCCGTAAGAGAAGCAGTATTCACCACCGAGGAACAGCATCCGAACGCGTCAGATACAGTATTGAACCCGCAATTACTACCGCTGCGGCAGGTGAGCGGATCGTCTGGGCTCCGGTCAGTAGTTTGCTCTCCTTTCCCTCTATAATTACTTACTGGTAGCTCCAGATACGTATCCGCAAAGCGAAGTAAAGTCTGCACGTTTGTTCAGCCATCCATGAGCCATATCCATAGGACCTGACGTCGGCATTGGAGTCCATCCGAGGGGATCTTCGTTGTCAGCCGCTTGCGTGGGTTTCGCGACCAGCTCCAATCCAGATACAATAGCCCACGTCGCCGCGAATATCAAAGAAATCGTTGTCGACATTGTCGCTTCTACAGTCACAGATGAGAAGAGCACTTGCGCGACATCAGGGCGAGTGTGGGACTCGTCAGGAAATATTCCACGGATGAGCTGGTCCAGGATTCTCTTTCGCAATTGGGGCCAGACCTCAGCTGTGTCTGCAGCCTCGCTGTCTGCACGCCTGATCAAGTACGTGCCCGATACGCCCGAAATGTCTCGGAAGCTGCAGCGATCCATTGGCCCCGTACTATCTCCTCACTCACCAGGCGGCCTCAAGGTCTCGTATTAGACCCAAAAGAGTCTAGACGAGGCTTCGGAGCGCGTGGCATGGGCGTAGATCGTGGCTATTCCCGTACAAGCGAGGCCTGAAAGCTGGATGCTGTATCGCCTTCATGTCCGGGCTTTAACCTCATCGGGTCATCTCTTTCGCTTGAGGATGCACAAGCTCCGAGCTTGGCTTGATTTGTATCCATTTACTGCTGCAAGCCATGTCTTGGCATTGAAGCTGAGGTTCTAGCCTCACCACGGCCATCGCTGCTAAGAGATAGGACCCCCGACGTATCATCACTTCGTCCAATGAATTCAATGCGTATAACAGCAACTCGGCTTCGCTGATTACAGTGGAGGACTCCAGTGGCTGAATGCATCCAGTCCAGCCCTAGCAGTGGCTTGGTGGTCTGACCACGCTTCCACAGGAGGGCGGCCTCTCATACATGCGGATGCGATCCACGGTGGCTTCTAATGAGTTCTATACTAGCTTGACGCCGCTTTCGCTGGAGTCCTGCTCGAACATCACCACCAAACATGTCGTATCCGAAATCGCCAGAGATCACCTATACTTCGATGCACAACAACTACAAACCATGGCAACCAGGAGCTTTTCGACGAATTCCATGGTCTGGTCTGGGATGCCTCGTTGGAGCTGTGCTGGGAATGATAGCCGCCATCGCCATTCTTCGTGCGAGCGATAAGGCTCCGATTACAAGTTGGAGATATCCTCCTACTGTGTACCTTTCGATTGCCTACACGATTAGCAACATACTGCTCGCGGGCGCTTTCGGCCAAGGAGTGACGGTACGTCAGCTTCGAGACCAAGTTACAGCGAAACCGTGTACTGATGTAACAAGATCAATTGGTGGAGAAAGGCCCTCCAAGACAACACGCAGTTGGGCGATCTACATCGATACTGGTACATCTCTCGCCTCAGACATCCCATGTACTTTTCAGAGACTTACATGACGCCAGGGACTTCGGCCAAAGCGCGTTTTCAGCCTTACTCGCGGGTCGCAAGTTCAACTTCATCGCCTTCGCCGCTTTGTTCATCGCGATTACCCCAGTGAACGGACCACTTCTCCAGCGATCTTCTTCAGTAGAAGTAGCAAGCGCATACTCATCGGTGAGACTGACCGTACCAGCCGCCAGATCGATACAGTACGCAACCGCGCGTGTTTCTGGAAGAGCATATCAGGTGGCATACTTCAGTCAGGCCTTCAATCCGGTCGTACAGGTATGGAACAACGCAGAGGAGTCCGTGCAGGACTGAGAATTTATAGCAATACTATACCGGTCAGTCGATTTCTGTGAACAACAGCGGATGCTCCGCAAACGGCATGTGCTCCGGCAGACTCATGGCTGCCGGCCTCGCCGTGAATTGTTCCTCCTCGACGGCGCCCTTCGACCTCAGCGAAACAATCCAATTGGCGAATGGTACACAGGAGATCAACTATGCTACTGTCAATGGTACCGACGTTTTCCAATCGCTGTTCTATTGGTCAGCCGGGACTCCTAGCAACATCAGCCTTTCTGTGCAGTACAAACCGACGAAAGACTACTTGAACAGCAACCTCGTCGTTAGGAACTGTACCCTCCATCCCGCAACTGTGCAGTATCCAGTCGTTGTGGATGGCAATCGTTCAACCATCACACTGGACCCTCGATCGACCATCTTTGACGACGTCCAAATCGCTAGGATTGACTACACTATGGAGAACTCCCCCGGCAGTGACACCTACATGGGCGGCTATGCATACGCTCTGAAGACTCGATTTAACTCCGTTATAAATCTCCGCTGGGCAGGCGGTAAGTGCTGAAGAGCCTTTGAGAATTGCATCAATGATGCTAATGAATGATTTCACATAGCTGTGGGCTGGGATACCGGCTCTACCGGCCCCGTAGGAGCGCAATTCGCCGACCAGAGCGACATCGCAGATTACCTAGTCGATGGAGTCAACCTCAAGTTTTCCGACCCAACCAGTTACCTCCTACAACAAGCCCGCGAGCTGATGTTCCGTACCGCGCTAGCCGGAGGAAACACTCCTAACATACAAGTCATACAAAGTGCCACAGAAGTCCAGACCGTTGGGATATATCGAAGTCACTACCTCTTTCTAGGGCTGTCTCTTGCGATTACGTTCATTGCCATTCTCATCGTTCTGACCACCTACAATGGATACTGGTAAAGTCACAGCATACATGGCATTCTGTTACCCGCGAATTAATGAGCTGACTCAGAACACCACAGGCAACTCGGTAGAAAGGTCACCATGTCTCCCCTGGAGACGGCGAAAGCTTTCAATGCGCCTCTCTTGGCACAGGAAGATTCCAACGCGGAGGTCAAGGATCTCGTCAAAGGTTCTGGCGGCAAAGCTGTCCGTTACGGACACGTCTTGGATGCCGCTGGGCGTTTCGAAGCCAATGCGCGCCTGGAGATAGCCGATCCCACGTCTGTTCGATCCATGAACGGGTCTCGATGGTATTGAGCGTACGCTAGCAACCTGGTATTGTTCGAATTTGATGTATAATCACTGAGCATAGTTGTCACAAACATCGTCAGCCTGAACTACTCCGCCTTAGTAGTGCCCTCACCGCCCCGGAGATCGAACTCTTGATACAAGACATCACCTAACGAGCGGTCAACGGACTGCCACTTTCAGCAGCCACTAAATTCTAATTTAATAATGGTATGATACAAGTCCCTCCGCCGTCAAAGCTTTTTGATGCTCGTAGTTGGTTTGGCTGACGAAGAAGTAGACAGACAGGCTTCTGAGACTGCTTTACCAGATCAAAACTCGACCAATCTCGTCCTACGAATCCTCAATTCTCTACACTACCGACGCATCAAATTGCGTTTCCCCGCCTTTGTCCTCCTCGTCCACGGCCGCGATCTCAGCCTTCGGCTAGCTCGATGCAACGCTGGCCCTGGCGCTCTCACCGACGCTTTGCGAATTCGAAATCCGTGCCACAATTGCGCATGGCTTAATGCGTGATTGAGGACAGCAAAAAAGGGTTTGGAGTCTCCAGATTATTGGAGGATTCGCCGCAAGACTCAGCCCGGCATTGAGTTCAAGCGAGGGATGCCGCGCAGGGTTCTTCCTGGCAACGTCTGAAGCAGCGGCGGCTTGTCCAATCAGGCGGATATTGGACGAGGTCTGAGGGATATCCCAGGCCAAAGACACCACTCCTACCTACCTGGGCCTCGACTCTCAGAGATGGTATCTAGAAAAAGACAGACAGGGTGCAATCGAAGGGTCATAATAAATGTATCGTTTGCAAAGGCATCCGAAGATGTGATGGATGTCTCGACCAGAGTCAGCAAGTGATCGGCGTTTTGGTGATTCACCCTGACTCGGCGCGGGGTTCCCTTGCAGGCAAGATCGTCTGCAGAATGGGCAGCCATGCACTGCGTGCGCGGGTGAATCGTTCCCTTCGCCTGCAATATGCGAGATCCCAGTGGTCCAGTGCTTGTCACCTTGGCGAACTCTACTAGACGGCTTCGTTGCCTACGCAAATCTCTCCGCAGAGCTGAGTGAGTATTCTGTGTAACAAGTCTGGCATTCAAGGGCACTTTGATGTGTCGTACAGCAGCGCCGCACAAGAAACCTCGAGTCTATCCTCAGCGTTGACACGGCAGTGACTACCTCGGATCCTCTGGAAAGGCTATCGACACCCAAAAGAGTAATTGGGCTAGTCGTGTGGCCCAATGTGCTGTCAACTCAGTCCTTCCATCCCCCGCCAAGTCTTACGTGCAGTTATAACGACAAGGATACACCCTTTGTCTCAGGGCGTCCAGAATGTGTCCAAGCGGGCAGTGACATCACTCGGGATGTTCATGTCAGGGGAGAATTCGCGACCACCTCCACTCAAGAGCGAAGGCCTGCCCCGAACAGCGGCTCGAGCGTTTCGATCCCAAATACTCTTCAAGTTGCATCGACCAGCACGCGACAACAGATTTCGACGATGAGTGAAGAGCGCAGCCTGTTCAATCCGCCTCCCGAGACCAGTAAAATGAAGAGATCGAACAGTAGCACAAGGAGTGTCCATTCAGTAGCATCCGTTCCCGGCTCCAAGTCGTCCAGAAGGGCACGAGTGTGGAGTCTCCTCGGCAGACGACGGAACGATGCGCGAGCAGACTCACCGACGTTACGATTCCCGAGATTCTCGTCCATGGGATCGATAGCATCAGGCGATTCCACCTCGACCACTTCCTCCGACAAATCCACCACGTCGTCGATATCCACGGTCTCCAAACGCTCGATGAAGTCCTCCCGGAGCACGCTGCCAGACCTGACCGATCTGGACCTTTTCGGGGTCAAACTCCCACCAACGGAAGAGCAGCTGGCTCCCACAGCGCCGAATGGCGTAGAGCTTGCAGGGCGTGCATACCGGGTGCCTGAGCCGATCGACAAAGAGTTCTACCGCGATTTGACCATGTTGGAGGACGAGGAGCTGATCCGGAAGTACGGCCTTATACAAGTAACCGACACGGAAGAAGCCGCGAGTGAGCCAAAGCAGTCGAAGCCGGAGATTAGCAGATTCGCGTACTTGGATCCCTTCAGGTCGTGGTAGGGGCACGCGCACTGTTCGACCGGTCGCGCGGCAAAAAGTGTACAGCCTACAGCCAATCGCCTCACGCACTGAGCCTCATGTCGCGGCTCCTGGACCTTCACACGTGATTCGCGGATTTAGATCAGGGTACTGGGAATTCGGTGGTGGCAGCTGGCGTCGTGGAGACAGTCCTTACGAATGGGCGAATCGACACCTCATGGACGAGTTAATACCTCATGGGCGCGTAATGAACAGCTGCCGTCTGTACCTCGTCATCGCCAAGGAGCTTTTCAGTCGACAACGACATGTGACGATGGCGGTCCACGGGCAACGAAACCGCTGGTCAGATGAATTTGAGACAGTGGATGAGAGCGGAACGATGATGATGATGATGATAAAAGACGAGAAATGCGAATGCGGAGCGGAAATGCCAAACAGCACGATTGGCAAGCGGGATTCATTTAATATCCATCAAAATTTCGTAGATATTCCAGCACCAATCGGGGCCGCATCGAAGGAGGAGGACTTGGGCCGACTCGGGAGTTCTTCGGCCCAGAAGGCAGTCAAGATTCACATGCGCAGATAATTAGACTGAACCCGCCGAGCGGTTTCAGACCAGTAGAAAGATATCGACAGTATAATAACCAGCATCCCAATCAATCTTGACTATAACAACGTACGATACCTGCTGTGTTCTCAGAATATACATACCTTTCAACATATCGAACGAAAAGACAATGAGGTGCAACCCAAAAGAAGACGCCGTCTCCTAGAGGCTCGTTCTGATGTGCAATCAGCCAACAACCATGCAAGCAACACGGAGAATCTCGAATCCCTATCATTGGCGCCCATTTCCAACAAGCAAGTATCACAGAATAGCTTCACGCACTCAGCGAGGCACTGGCAGATCTCGCCGACGACGAAGATCATCACTGCACCAGTGTGCTACAGATACTATCGGTCAGATCATCGCTTCGTTTGTCTCCGACACAAAGACAGCAAAGGAAGACAAAACGGCCACGAAGAAGGAATTCAAGCTCCCGCTGAGAGGAATGGGAAAAGAAGCTTAAGGGAAAATGGCGCGAGCAGCAGTCATTGTCAGAAGAGGAAGAGGAAGAGAAGAAGATTCTTGGAAGATTTTGCAACCGGGGACGGTGTGATTTAATGAAAGACTAATTCGTTCCCGACAGACCATTCAGCTCACCCGCTCACTTCCCCTCCTCCTCCTCCTCCCTCCTCAGCATCTCATTCAGAACGACAAAAATCTCCCCTGCTCTCGCCTTGAAATCCACTCTCTTGTCAGCCGGACACGCCGAGAACTTGTCGGGATGGAATCGCACCCTTGTCAGCTTCGGGTTCAAGTTTGGGATCCGCCGGAGCAAGGCTTGGAGGGAGCTTTCGCAGTTTCCATTGCACGCCGTGCATGCTGGAGGGACTGGAAACTGTTGCATGTGCTCGTAGTCTTGGAAGCATTCGTTGGCGAATTCCCACCAGCCTGCGACCACGTCGTCACCGGGTCGAGGGCGATGGGCTGGTGAGCGAGTGGAAGGTCCAGTTGCTCTTGGTTGACGACGTTCTTCGGCTCGAGGACGGGCTTCTTGGCTGCTCCGTTGCTTGTCGTGGGGCGGATGGGAACGACGATGGTTGCGAGGTGTTCCTTTTTCAGGCTGACGGGTCTTTGGTGTCGACTTCTTGCGCTGGTCGTCTTCGCGAGGATGTTGCTCCCGCCGAGGAGGCTGCTGAGTGGAGTTGTACCCTTTCCCATCCCTACGAGGCTTCGAGTCCTGCTGAAGATGGTCGTTGGAAGACCGACGGTACTCTCCGTCGTGACTTGCGCTGGACTCGCGACCGTCGTAATAATAACTCCGACCCAACCGCCCTTCGCGTACCCGTTCGTCTTGGAAATAGCCACAAGGACGAAGATAGCCCTCTGCCTCGCGCTTCGTCTCTTGGACTCGATAAGGAGCTCGTCGCACGACCCCCAAACTTCCTTCTTCAACTCGCCGTTCGTTCTCCCGCAGCCTCGCTCGCTCGAGTCTCGCCTCAACAGCCCTCTCCTCAGCAAGCGCCTCGTCGAGTCGACCCTCTGCTCGACGCAACTCGCTCGTGAGTCCCCGACGCTCATCCTGCATCCGTCGATACATGCTCCGGAACCCCAGATAGTCTTCCTCCAACACGCGCCCGTCCCGGCGATGATAGCGCTCTGAGAGTATATCGTACTTCTCGCCCGTCTCGTCGAGATCCTGCTGTAGAGAATCGCGGTCTTGTTTGATCGCTTCGACGCGGTCTTCTGCGCGTTCGGCGCGCTCACGAGCTTCTGCGAGTTGCGCTCGTATTGCTTCCATGTTGTTGTGGAGTCGTAGAATGCCGATCATGCTTTTTTATTCGCTTGTGTTGATGGTAGGGAATGGGCGTGCGGATGCCAGATCGGAACTCGCATGGTGTCCAGAAATTTAAGAGAATCGGAGAAAAGAGAGAGCGACTTAGCCCTATTGAGGAAGAGGAGCAGTGAAGTCTCTTGCTGAACTAGTGAATAGGGCCATGATCTTCACGCGGTTTGTGAATATTCACAACGCAGTATCGATCGAGAATTGAGTTAGGGTATTCGCAAAGCATTTCCAATTCGCTCACAGGTATGTTAATGCTACTATTCTCCTAAGTCAGAAGCTACGAGGCTTCACTTGCCTTCTTCCACATCCTCCTCGCCCTCCGGAATCCTGGGGTCTATTTCGTAATCCCCCATTGCATCGTGCTCTGACTCGCAGATCGCCCACTTCCTCTCGCCTTTCCCAATATTCGCGTTGTGAGCGGCGACAAAGATAGAAGCCCAGCTTGGTCCCTCGACATCCTCAGCGCTCTGTGAACTGAGCGAGACCTGCGTGATGTTGAGATTGTGAAATCGGCTCTGGTCAACAACGTCTCCCGTGAAGGGTGCATTGGCGCCAAAGAGACTCCGTGGAATGACAAAATCAAGATTTCGAAGCATGCCGAATTTCTGTAGAATCGCGGCAGGCTCTCCGGTCAAGGGTTCCTCGAACCAACGTCTGGACAAGAAGGTGCCGGCATAGCTCAAGTAGTGGAAGCCGACGATGCTGGACCAGAAGTGCCTTTCGCCTGCAAGAGTCAAGGGCAAGACTGTGAACCCGGGATGGCAGACAGTAATATTGCGAAGCAGCTTGCAATTCTCCAGGCCGATCTGGTACATAAATGCATCGAGGCCAATCCAGCCCGAGGTACTGGTGAAGCGCCATTCGTTCTCGCCGTAGAAGACTGGCTTGGCCTCCCTGTAGATCTGCTTGCTCGCGCGTAGGACTCTCGCTGCCATCGAAAGCTGCTTGTGCTTCTCATAGTGGTGCTCGGAGATGGGATCCCAGTTCTCATCGAAGGCTTTGCGACCGATGTTGCCACCAGGTGCAGTTCCCTCGAATATCCACGGCGCTGGACAGAACTCTACACCACCGGGCATCGAGAGCATCTCCCCGTAGATCTGGAGCCGCAGTTCTGCTGGAAGGTCCAACAGCCTGAATGGTTGCTGGGAGTCCGTAGCAGACTTGGCTCGATCAGCCCGGCGCTCTTTCAGAAGCTCGGGGTACTCGGTGTAGTGGCAGAGACATGAACCTGGCGTCTCTCCGGGGAGAAGTCTACGCAATGGCCGAGGGGGCTTGAGTTTCTTGATTCCGGGCAGCCTCGGGACGCGCTTGTGCTGGCCACAGGCGAGGTACTCGCTATCCGGACAGGCTTCGAAATCGCCAGGGTACCAACCGATGGAGTTGGGCTGCAAATATGAATCCATCATAGAAGTCGATGGATGCCGTGTAAAATTATAAGACTGTCTTATTCCTTGTAGGTTGATCTGGTGGTGAAGTCAGGGTGACAGACGTTGTTTGGTCGCAGAGTGCGTTGTATCTGCTATAAACCGGGAGATGAAATGGTATTTATGAGGAAGCTGATGCTAGTGAATGGCACTAAGTCCTTCCGAGCAAGCTTCACCCGAGGGAGAAAGTCCTCGTGAATAAGGAAATTTGGATTGATAATCAGTCCTGGCGTGAATGGAGAGCCAGCTCGCCGGGTTCGAGGAAGTTCTGAGGACACACAGCCATATTGCGCTGTCCTCAGAAAATCGTTCAGAGATCTGCTTGGCAACCCCTTCTTCAGCGAACCAGCGTCTTGAGGATAGTAATCAGGTATATAGCTTGGCTTCCGGAGCCGCGAGCGGAGCTTTCAGGTATACCATGTCCGAGATACGGCGCAGCGAAGTCCTCCAATGAATGCTGATGGACTCGGTCAAGGACCTGAATGGGAGTCGTCTCCAGAATCGTGGCGCGAGCGATATTAAATTGAAAATGTGGCAAACATGTTCTGTTGTAGTCAGCATGTCAGGAAGCAACAAAGAACAAAGACAAAGATTCCTAGGCAAGACAAGACAGAAAAGAAGCGAAGTGCGTCGGCGCGAGATTCTCTTGCCGAAGATCAGATCGTGCTTGCTGCGACTGGTAGTAACATCAACAACACCACCTCAAAGCTTCGGCTGCAGCACCATCTCACTTCATCAATGAGCTGGTGGGGTAGAGTACGCCCACTTCTTGCCGGCTCTGATCAGCTGGCTATCAACACCATTCGGACCACCGCTGCACCACAGGAATTTGTTGTAGTTGACGGTGGAGCGGAAAGTGACATTGGTGCCGGCTGGGATGAAGAGCGAGTCGCCCGAGATCAATTCCACGTCCTCGCCGGCAATGCCAAATTTAACCCTCCCCTTCATGCCGAAGATGAACTGATGATCGATCGAAGACCATGAGGCCACGGTCGCATTAGCGTTGGTCTTGCGCATGCTGATCTGAGCAATGGTGAAGTTTCCGTTCGTCTGGACGCTGGTTGCCAGAGGGGAGATGACGGCACCACCAGCCTCGTACCAGTAGTGAGGGCCGGCACCGTTGGCGAGGAAGTAGGGAGTCTTGGAGTCGTTGGGCAGAGTGCCGTTGCCCTCGTGCCAGTCGGCCTCGCAAGCACCTTTTTCGGTCTGCGACATGTTCACGTGGTTGACGTCGAACGAAGTTGCAACCTTGGCAAAGGTCGCCGTTGGGAAAGCGAGAGCCTGGTCCGGCGGGAATGGGACGTTGTAGGCCGGGCTCCACGGGCTGCTGACGGCCTGGAAGAACTCGTCGAAGCCAGCAGGCTGAATGAGTCCAAGGAACTCGGTCTCCTGAGCGACGTGCTGTGAGAAGATGCGATTAGCCAAGTCCAAGGACGAACGGTCACTGATTCTTCTACCTGATAGGAGTGATTCGTCATGGCGGGCACCATGGCGAAATCTCCGGCACCGAGATCGCGAGGGCGACCGTTGGCCCAGACACGGATTTGACCGGCCATGGGAATGAAGGTCTCGTGCCAGTGGACATGCTGTTCGAAGCAAGTCAGCGGTGTCAGACTACATTGTAGAATATGAGCGCAAGCGTACGTAGTGGGGAGGAACTGCATCGTTCGGTTTTCCGGACGACAGGAGCTGTCGAATTTCCACAGGATTAGTTGAGTCGAAACATCTTCCAAGCTTTGGCATACCATGCTGAAGCCAGCCGCGACTGGGTTGGCGCTGGCATTTGCAGTCGTGTTGATGTTGGTCTGGATGAGAAGCATCCGATGTCAGCATCTGTTGGAGTTGATTCGGCCGATTCAACGTCTTTACTCACCAGCGTTCTGAAGACATCGTCCGCAAGCTGCACTTTTTGGCCCTCCAAATGTCTCACGACAAAGGGACGCGAGTGATCAGGCAACGTATCCGCGACCTCAGCAATCTTCGCCAGCGCCGGGACGGCCAGAAGGCCAGCAATGAACAGTCGTGCCATGAGAAAAGACGGTGATGAAGCGAGAGTCGAGGAGGATCGAAGTCTTCGGAAGGCCGGCTGCAGCCCTAAGTGTTTTCTTCAATCCCTGACATGTGACAGGTACATCGGATTGGAGGACGTGTAAGAAGGTTCTGATCGAGAAGAAAAAGTGGAATGTACGATGCAGGTACGGAGCACGCGTCAGCCTCATCAACGAATCCCTCACGATCATCAATTTAGTGATTTATGTGATTTATGGTCCCTCAGGTCCGATTCGTGCCTTTTCCAAACTAGGGTCACAAGCGTCGAGGCTTGGCGGCGGTAACACTTCGGCGTGGGGAACCACTTGCCCGATCAGACCCATGCACCGGATCAGAGGATGTTGTTTCCAAACGATTTTGCTCTCTATCTGAAATACCGTGAAACAGAAGTTCCGCTTCCGAGCCAGCGGTCTCGGTCGTTGCAATCACCACGCTCATCTCAAAGATTCAAAGACAAATTAGAAGAGCCTCTCGACCGGTCCCATACCAGGAACCTGGAAGTCCGAACTCTGAGGCCAATTGCCCAACGAGGCTGGATCGCCTCCTACTCTGATCCATTGAGCGTGGCTGGGGACTTTGTTGCTATCGAGCAAGAACACTTGGAACCAGCCTGGAGGACAGACGTTCGCGTTGGGTGGCGCAGTGATGGTGCAGGAAGATCCAGAACAAGTTGTTGCCAGGAAATATGTCCTCTGGCCCATGCTGTTCCCATGTGTGGAAGAGACGGCGCCCATCATCGTGGCTTGATAGCCGCCGCCTGCGCCACGTTGCAGGATAGACATGGTGGCCGTATCGCCGTAAGCGAGGTCGATCTTGGTCAGATTGAATTCCGGACGGGAGGAGCAATTGTATCCCTGCGAGCAGCTGAAGCTCAGCCCCATAAGATACGGTGGGATGAAAACTTCCGTGCGATATTCCTGCGGGTTGACGTTGTCCTCGGGATCCGAGCCAGAAATGAGGACACGGGCATCGTCGAGGAGGACCGCCTCAGAGTGATAGAGACGGGAGATGGTGGTGTTGGCCATCACCGTGATTCGCTGACCGACAGGTTTGGTAGGATCGTAGAGAAGGGCATTCAAGTTCGGGCTTGTAGCCAAACCAAAGCCAGCGTTACCCTGGTGCGCGCCATTGGCGATGAGGTACGTCCCGTCTGGTAGAGCTGCGATGTTGGGCATCACTCTCTTAGACGGCATACGCTCGAGAGTCCAGTTGGCTCCTTTGGTGTCCGGGGCGATTGTAATACAGTTGTCCAGAGCAACAGCGGCACCGGCGGTAGAGCCGCCACAGATCAGCACCTCAACTGGGTCAGTGTACGGTGCTCGCTGTGGAAGGACAACCGCAGTGCCCTGCATAGGATACGTTCGCCCAGCTCCCGGATTGTTGACCGCTCCAGGCATCTGAGGCAGATCCATGACTGGCTGCAAAGAGACGGGATCAAGCAGCTTGGCCTGGTTGTAGTAGCCGACAAAGATATTCCCGGATGGCATTTGGATGAGGAAGGGATAAAGATTATAGGGATCGGTCTGGTTCAGATAGTCGCAATACTGGGACTGAGCGTTGACAGCAGGTAACAGCTCCAGTGTCGGAGTTGGAGCACCATTGGAGCCTTCTTCACCGCCCATGACGAGAATGGATCCTATAAGTATGAACATCAGCTAGTGTCTTGCGTGCTGTCAGCAAGCTCAAGCGTACCGTTGGCCATCATCATCGCAGTAGGATACCATCTGCTATCAAGCAAATGAAGTTCATCAACGTTCTCTTGCCAGTCATTATTCCCCCACACACCTGGCAATAGATGGTAAGCAAGTGTCTCGGATATGAAGTAGTTTGCTTCTTACCAGGGGAACCATCAGGCCAATAAATACGAATTCCCTGTGTCGAAGGCCTGGACCATCCACCGACATTGATCTGTCGACCTGCTCTGTCCGGAAGTGTAAGACCAGCAGAGCAGAAAACATCAGTCTTGACGTGCATGGGCCTCCAAGCACCAGTGAAGTTGTTCAGCTGACCGAGGTCGAGTTCATAAGCTCCAGTGCTGCTGGCGTTTGTAGAAGTACCGAATTTCTCTAGGAAGGTGACCTTGCCGTTTCTTGCCGGAGTAGTGATGAGCGGAATGACTACGCCGCCGATAAGAAACTGGTAGGCTCCTGCAGCGTTGCCGCTGGCGTAGGTCCAGCTGTTCATCGCGGTGGTGCCGTTGTAGACGTAGAGAGAGAGCGTACCGCCTCCACCACAAATTTCGCCACCGTTGGATCCAGACGTGTCGTTCGAGCACCTCATGAAGCAGGCACTCTCGTCCATCTTTTGAGCTCCCGTGCTGACTACATCAGACCAGTCGCCGCAGAAGCCTATAAACAGAGGTCAGTCACAGCGGGTCCCTTCTTCTCCCGAGTACTCACATTGGTTGCTGTATTCTGTACCCGCCACAGGATACCCGAATGCCTGGCAGATGGATATGCAATTCACGTTCGAGTTGTTATTTGGAAAATTCAGCTGGTAAGGCAAGACACGTTGGTTCTGGTAGCCAAGTGGTCAGCATGTCTCGTGCAAACTTATAATCCGCCCAATCACTTACGTTCACGTTGTCCTGATAACATCCTGCGTAAGTCCAATTGTTCGGGATGGTGGCATTCGTGAGTGGGCCAGGGGCGGTATAGTTGGACAAAGTGCCATTCGCATAAATGGAGTTGCGTCCTCCGGCACCACACATCTCAGCCTGGTTTCCGGTACAAGGCATATTGCATTCAGAATCAGGCCTTAGAGACGGCGATGCGTGAAGGTAGTTGTCGCAGAAACACCTAGACAACGGGTCATAAGCAAACGGCGGATACAGGATCCATACAAATTACTTACTGCTGAGCGTATTGCAAGCCCGCGAGGGTGTAGCCACTGGCGGCACAAGCGCTGATGCAAGACTCAATCGTATTGTTCTGAGAGTCCGGAGGCGAGACCCCAGTCAGAGATCTGCCGTTTCCAGTATCGGTGTAACAGCCTTGGTACTTCCATGGCAAGATGGCTGTCGCATTCAGTCCAGAAGGAGTGGGTGATGCTGAGCTCGTGGTAGACGAAAGGGTGGGAGTGTTCGTGTTGCCACCGTCCACGGGGGTACCAGCGACCGTGGATGGGATGTTAGACGAAGACGTACCGCTGACTAGGTTGGTCGCAGTAGCAGTACTTGTTCCTGGGCCGCTAGCAGTAGTGGTACTTCCAGTGGCGATCGATGATGATACGCTGCTGCCAGTTGGAGTGACAGACATCGGCGTAGTGGAGGCAGTCGAGGTTACTGATGTAGCCACCGAAGAGGTGGAGGCTGTCGTAGGTATCTTCGTAGTGTTGAAAGCGTAGAGGTTGAGTCTGTTTGGACCTCCACACATTTCGTACTGAGCTCCATAGCACGGCATGTTACCTAGATGATCATGAGTTGGAGAAGAAGGTTCGTCTTTCGCGTCCACTCACATTGCGTTTCACCATCAGCAGCTGGTCCGCCGCCATTGCTAATTGAGTTGTCGCAGAAACTGGAAAGGTCAGCTGTGCTCTCGACAAATGTAAAGCGTTTGATATACCATTCGCCAGAGTACTCAACGCCCGCGAGATTGTAGCTTGCTTTGGAGCACGCATTGACGCAGTTTTCCACACTCATATTGTTCGCTCCTCCAGGGACAGGTTGACCAGACTTGAGAGTACGTCCCTGGACAGAATCGGTGTAACAGGCTTGGTAGTACCATCCGTTGAATTGGAAGACAGAAAGACCGTTTGGACCTCCGCATACATCGCCGCTATTTCCATTGCACGCCATACTGCATCTTCCATCAGTGACAGGCATTGCGTTGTTCTCGAACTCGTTCCCGCAGTAACACTCGCCCTATAAGAGGTAAGCAGACTTCTTGCACGCGAGAAGATATCATTCGGCTGTTCTGATGCTTACCGAGTATTCTGTCCCTGCAATGGTATATCCCGCAGCGAGACAAGAAGAAATGCAATTTGCATTCGTCATGTTCTTAGATCCACCAGGGACATTCTGGCCATTCGGTAGACTCCTCGTCTGAACGCTATCGCTGTAGCAACCCAAGCTCAACCAATTGATTGGAGTAGCAGGAGCTTTAGCCACTGGCTTGAGAGCAGGTACGGTTGTGCCGGAAGCGTAGAGATTCAAAAGGTTGCCAGCGCCGCAATACTCGCTCGAATTTCCGTTGCATGGCATATTGCAGTCGCTCAAAGTCGTGTTCATGCTGTTCTTTGACACATAGTTATCGCAGTAGCATTCACCAGCGTATTCCACTCCAGCTAAAGTGTATCCTTCTTGAGCACAGGTACTGGTACATAACGTCACCGTGAGATTGGAAGTATCTCCGGGTGTCTGCACCCTGTTCGCCAGAGTCCGTGGATTGCCGTCTGTCCAACAACCAAATGAAGTCCAGTTTGATGGTCCAGGATTGACCTGTGGTCCTTGAGGAGCCTGCTTGTTGGCGAAGTAAACAGAGATGTAGTTTGCGGCTCCACACGCTTCAGTCGAATTTGATGTGCAGGGCATGGAGCATGAAGTGTCATTTTGTAGAGAAGCAGGCGCTCCGATTATGTTCGAGCAATAGCATTCGTCTCCGTATTCAGTTCCCGCGTAGATGAAGTTGTTCTTGTTGCAGTATGCGGCACAGACACTACCATTCATGCTCTTGCTGTCGACGAGCTGCTTGCCATTCAAGGTGCGTGATTCCACGGTATCGTTGTAGCAGCCAATATACCTGAATCACGTCAGAAATGGTGAATTCTACAGTTCAGAACTGCACTTGCGTCCAATTGTAGGGCAGAGAAGTATTCAGGGCCGGAGCGAGAGACGGATCATCCCTCTTGACGACCAAGGCATTGGAGGTGAAAGCGGCGAATAGACAAGAGAACGCGAGGAAGAAAGAAGGCGTCGTCAATGACGGCGAGGCCATGATGATGGCGGACAGTGAAGGCTGCAGCGATGGCCTATCGGTGTACTGCCTCGCTGCCAGCAAAGAATCGATTCTGGGAACTCCTCAACGACTTGACAGAACCTACTTCCAGGACCAATAATGGCAGATCGACAACATCTTATATCCCTGTCCCATATCGCAGATGCCAGATCCATCGATATATCAAGCATGTGAAGCTTTCGTGAAGCTTTCGTGAACGGCACCGGGTTACCAACTTGGCCTCCAAGCCAGCGGCGCTCGATTCGCAAGAGGAATGCAAAAGTGGTCAGGCTAGCTGACCCCTCCGCATAGTTTGCAATCCTTGTCGAGTGGGAAGTCCGGCGGAGGCAAACAGATAATCTAGTTCTAGTGCTAGAAAGCACGAGAGCGGGGGGATCCGCGCCGAAGCGTGCAAGGTGCCGCGACGCTTGAGCAGCACTGTCTGAAATGCGAATGCTCGGAAAGCATGGAATACTGGGTCAAGGCCATGGCATTGGCTCCAGGTCAAGGTACGAGAAGCTCGTCGCAGGCCCAAATTCCATCTCATATTGTTGAGATACATATGCCCTCTCAGGGGGCAATACGTTTCTGCAAGGCTTCGCGTCGCATCGATTATGTGGAGGCCGCACACAGAAACCCAGCGTTTCGCCAATGGGGCCAAGTGGAAACGAGGTCTGTTGGACTGTTGTGGTAACATTTCTCTTAGCGGGTGCGCATACTTTGCGTCTGGCAGGAGCCAAACAGGAAGCATGGGTGCCACGCTACTGCACGACGCAAATACACAAGATCCGTATCTGGATTGTCGAGGATTCTCGGAGCTCGAAACGGCTTGCATCTGGTAGATGGGCCGCCTCTCCAAGCCTTGGGAGCCGGCGCCGCCGGCCGGGAGCATCCGATCCAAAGATTCAGGATATCTCCAGGCCGCTGGCTCGGATTAGAGCTCATTGTGGCTGCCAAGCTTCCCATCGCACTCTCCGTTAGCTCCAAACAGCAGCTTGGGATGATGACGAAGGTGTCACTGCTGCTTGCGCATGCCTCGTTCGTATTTCGTGCTCGGCAGCATCAAGATGTAGTAAGCGACCTTGACCAAGCTCATCGCAGATGGGGCACGGGAGCCTTGAGGTCCAGAACAGTCTGCGGAGGATTTTCCAAGCCGTCGGCATCAGTCATTATGTCGATTCGAGTGAATAAAGATCATGTTCAGCCTCTGGGCCGGAGATCATTCGCACCATGCGATATTTGATGATTCGCTGCTTCTCGAAAATTCTCTCCGAGCACGAAGCAAGAGCAGTAGCAGGAGAGCTCGCATGGTCTTCCAGCTGAATGCAACGCCGAATTGTATACGGAAGCTTATGCATCCACGGTGAAGCTTCTCGTGACTCGACCTCGCATATTCACGGCTTCGTTGGACAAGCGGAGAGGCCGACCGATCGAGCTCGCTTTTGACGCCGCGGGCAACACCAATTCGTACGCTTGGAAAGCAGAGCTGTCGCAAAGTGCGAACTAATCGCCAGAGTTGGGAGTGGTCGAGAGAAGGTCGTCCTACAACAGCGGGTTGGTTCCATGTTGATCAATACCAGAGACGGTTGGGTTGATGCCTTGCTGTGTTGGCACGTGGAGGTAACGCCTTACCGTTGAACTCTCTCGCTACCGACCATTTCGACCCGAATGATGGGAACGACCGGTGTCGATCGTCTGGCATGTGCAAGCAAGACTGCGCATTCTGAACAATCAGAAGACTGCAAAAATACACGTCTAGTTTGTTCTAGTAAGCACCAGCGGGGTGAGAGGCGTTTCGTGACAGCGTGGCATGACAAAGGCTCTGAACTCTAACGTTAGCAGCTTCCGGTCCCAGTTGCAAGTCTGCGCTTTCGGTATGTTATGACCACTTTTAGCTTCGCGGAAATCGTACTCTCTTGCTGATGGTGGAGTTGTATCATGTTGAGTTGGCATCGCTGGAGTCTGTTATCAAAAGTGGGTCAAACTCTCTCCACATTCTCGGAGGTAGGCGGCATGAAGTAGCTGTTTCGGGTGAAGCTGTGGACTACTTACTCGCAGCACTCCTGAAGACCACTTCGTCTGTGTCTGAGGCTTGCGTCTTCGTCGGGCCACTGCCATCAACCGAACTCGCAGGTCGCGTGAGATCATTCTGCTTCCGTTTCGGGCCAGTCCAGGAGCACAAGGCGGGCTGATACAATACGCTTTCAATTGCAGAGGGGTCTGGTGATCTTATGTGGCTTTTAGAAGTCCAATCTCCGCGGCCCTCCTAATTCACGGTCCTGCGAGGAGCGCATGCACCGCTTCGTGCATGCGGTCAGCCAATCTGCAGTGGGTCGAAGTCTCGCAAAGGGATTGTAGCCGCAAGAAAGTCATGTGGCCAGCGATGATGAAAGGCTGGTACTGAAGCCACCCGAGAGTCGAGTGCGTACCATCAAGGGCCACATGCTGGTACCGGTCTCGGCTCGATTCTTGAGGTGGCTTATTCCCCCTCCTTTGGCTGTGGGGTTGATTGACAGTCGACTTGCTTGTGAACGTTGGCCCCAAATCCCATGGTCTAGCGACGAAGTGACGAAGTCGGTTGATGACCGAAGACATGCACTCTTCGTTTTCCAGTGTCGGGCAGTGGAAAATCAGGAGGTGGCTTCTGGCACGCCGACAAGGAAGACCCGGGAGCGGTTTGTCGTAATGAAGAAGCCAGTATCTTCCTTGTCGGGGGGACAGTAGTTGGTTCAAGATTCCCGAGAGCGTCAATAGCATCGTGGGGCCGTATTGGAGACTGATTGATGAAAGATTGTCTTGGGAATTCGATGCTTGGACATTTCGGAGCAACCGATCTTTCATCGCAAAGCAGTGCTGCTGTTGGATAGCCACTGCTCTCGTGTTGTAATTGGTACCCAAAGCGGTATTGCTTTTGTAGCAGTGCCGCACACAGATAGTGGATTAATTCCCTTGGGCATCGCAACAGATCTTCATCGCCTGGCCAAGGGTCTACCAGCGAAGCGTAGCAGCCGTTCTCCCGACTTTTAATGATAGTGCGCGGCCAAACGATATATTCGTCAGTCTTGGACCAGCGCATGTGTCAGCAGCCAATGATTGTTCTTAGGACGAAACCGAAGTTCAGATCGTGGCCGTGGGGAATAGAAACTCATCCAAGGTCTGTGACAACATAGGAGCTTGGAGCGCCGGCAAGCGACGAGATGTAATCGAATTGGCGGTTGTCAAAGGGTGTAATCTGCTTGAATCGGTGGGATGAGAGTCGGCAGAAGACACGTCCGTAGTGCTTGCTGCCAAAGGAAGAAAGCATCGAATGAACCATGCTGTGGGTTGAGATGAGCACGTAGACTGGAGAGCCTTAAGTATCATGCTGCATATGCAACCTGTCAGACCGGGGGGCCTGTCGATCATCTGACCGAGCTGCAGCAAAGCGTGTGGCTTGTACTTGATGATACAATGATGGCGACGGCGGTTGTCGTAAGCCTCAGCGGCACCCAAAGATGCCGATAGTACCACAGCGTTAAGGAGATGCCGACTGACGGCGGCACTCCGATGCACCGCGGGACCTTCGGGGGTTGCCCCTCGCCTCCTTGCTCCCCATTACAGTTTTCAAACGGGGGATTAAAGCAGCATGGCGCCTTGAACGATCTTGCGCATGTACTGCTGCCTGTTTCGGTCAATAATTGGTGGGATTGGGCCATCATATCCTTTGAATAGCTGAGGCGACCAACAGGATTCCTCAAGACAGATGAAACGCTTGCTTGCAGAATGAACAACACTGCGCAGTAACCCTTGGCAAATGCGTATTGGCTTCCAAATTGGAAGTGCCCCTCGTCTGAGCTAGTGGGCGCATAAGAGCAGTTCCTATGCATCTCCCCAGCTTCCGACTACCAGCAGCAAATGGAGTCTTGGTACTCGAGCCGTACGTCCAGCTCTTCATCAGACAGAAGACTTGTTTGCGGGTCCTCTGAGATTCCTTTTCAGTGTTCCGCTGATATGGTATTTATAAGTTTATCGCGGCGCCAAATGATGCTATTCCGGACTACATTCGCCCCGAGGATGCAAGCTCTCCCAGTCCACGGGATGCTAGGTGAGTGCATCTGTGAGCGTATAAAATCTCTGCGTGAGACTGAGAGACGTCCCTTTGGCACTCGCGGCCCAGTTCATCTCATGGGGATCCATTGCTCGAAGCTCAAGAGGCCAATGCATATCGCAATGTTGTGACCGCGTCCCGCGTCTGGAGGGTAGCATCGGAGTGTGACTTCTTCATTCCGCTCCTTGCCGCGTATCTCGACTTTCATTGCGCCTCGACAAGCTGCATGTTGGGAGTGGTATGGTCGATACGTGAGGTCGTCGTTGATGTTTGCTATCCCCTTTCCGGCCCCCAAACATTCGCCGCGGAAGTGACGAGAGCTCAGACCACATCACGTGCACGCTAAGTTGTCACCTCGACAAGCTTCAAACTTCTCGGCATACTGGAGAATCCACAAACCTCGACCGCCCTCATCCATCGGAACGCAGACGACACAATGCCGCCAAAGCGTGGAACAGCTCTGACAAGCGGCCGGACAACTGGCCCGCGGAAAGGAGGATACGCCCGCGAAGTGTACGAAACCCTCACCAGCTCGGAGAACCGAAGCGTTGTCACGAGCATTGCTTTCTTTGCGGTGAGTTGAATCGTTGGAGCGCAGGAAAAGAGAAAAGTAGGCAAAAGAAGGGATGCCGGGAACATGCTATTGGAGGTCGAGGGTTGGGAAGAAACAGCGCTGATAGGCATTCTTGACAGGCCGGCGTAGCATTCCTGCACAGCAGCTGGGGCGAGATTCTATTGCCTCCGTAAGTTCCTTAATATTCAAAGCCACAATTTCGGTGGAGAGGCAGGGACTGATGAATTGGTATAGGATCTAAGCGACGCCTGAGACGATGGACGCAGAAGGAAGAAAGGCGTGTACACTATGCCTTTCCATCAGAGCAAAGGCTGTAAGATAAGGATAGAAAGGAGATGATAACGTACAGCTGCGAGCCAAGTGCAGTGCAAAGACGCTGCGATAACGACGCTGGCAGCATGGTCTCGTCAAAGGACACTTCGAGTTGTCGATGGAGCTCAGGGATTCAAAAGAAGCAGGATGCGCACCAGAAGCGGCCGCAGTCATAGCAAGCACGCAATATCACATCTCATCAGGATCGGAATCTTCGTCTACGCGTCTACACATCTGTCGCCTTCATCGTTACTTCACCTCGGCCCTTGCCGGAGCCCAGTTCTTGAGCCATTGCCTCGCACCGTCCAAATCCCCATTCTCAGCCTCGAGAGCGCCTGCGCACCACTCAAAAGCATAACCTCCTCGTCCAGCAGGCCCACCGTCTTCTGCAGCTAGCATCTCTGCAAGATTCCTACGCTTCTGGCTCTGTTCATCTACGCAGAAATGAAGTGGCGTATCTTTGGCTGCTGTATCTAAGAAAGGCTTTACCATGGGTATTGCATCTTTCGTGGTGATGTTGGTATTAAGATCGAGATTCGTTCGTCCAGTCTTGCAGTACTCGTTCTTGCACCACGCTTTTGCGCAGCCCGTCAAGAGCTGCTGTAGGTATCGGCGTTCAATTCGCCGCTTGAGAGCTTTGCCTTCGGGATCGTACATGCTCACGTAAAGCGGTCCGAAGCAGACGCTGCACAATCCAACATCGTTGCCAGGTCCTTGCCCCATTCGGGAACCAGCACGTGTATCACCATTCTTTGCGCACGTATCCAGTGTTCGTCCGCAATTAATATTGCGACACGGGTGTGGAGTCTGACGAGAGAAGCGGTCAAGATCGTGATTCTTCAGATGTGTCTCCATATCCCGCAGCCGGACGATCTTGTTACATAGATGGCATTCTGTAGTCCGCGCTCCATCGGCAAGCTCATGCGGCGTCATGCCTGATAGGAGAGCTTCAGCATTAGGCCCGTCCGGGTCGCCTTCTTGTGGGACAATCAGATGGCAGAAGCGGCAGAGAATGAGTTTGGCAGGGCACGTCGTTGTCCGATGCCGGGCGAGAGATGGTAGATTCGGAAACGTCTCAGATGTGCCGCATTCGGCACAACGTAAGACTTCAGGTGGATGGAATATCGTATCATGATGTTGACGAGACGCCTCGCCATTGCCGAAAGACGAATCATGTGGACAATGCCAATGATCTTCAAATTCTGACGAGCGCTTCTGGAACACTTGACCACAACCTTTAGGACAGATAACGTTGTTCCGTAGGCAGAAATTCTCGTGAAGCATCAGAGTTCGTCGGGGAACCCACTGGTTGCAGTTCTTGCAGCGCACATCGCCTTCATTGGGTGGTACTTCACTCGTGGTCAAAAGAGTATCTTCAACTTCGTCCTTGGGATCAGGGTGCCGCGCTCTCAGGGCATATCGCCTTTGCTGCGATATTGATTCACCATCTGTAGTCGCATCATTGCTGGTCTTTGGGCGAGCAAAAGCGTGGACTGACACGTAGAGAGATTCGGCGTTTTCAAGCTCAACGTTTGATGGATCAAGTCGGATTCGTTTGTGCGGCCGGTTGTCAAGATCTGAGAAAACGCACTCATCCATTCTCGGTTTTGCGCGCTGCGTCGCTGACAGCGGGCTGACAAGCAAGTCGATGTCTTCATCATCTCCCTCAACATCAAGTTGGATCTCGAGCGGTTGAGCACGATTCCAGGATGCCAAAGAATAATCGACATACTCTCCGCGTAGTACCTGTCCCTCCTGGGCTTTGAATAGGTCCAGCTCCCCGCCTGCCGAACTGCCTTGCTCAGTTTGTGGGGCTTTGGAAATCTTCGCTGCTATCCTCTTCAACGTCTCCCTGGCTTGCTCCTCGTTGAGCGCTTCAATATCGACTTCCAAGTCCGTGTCTACCACGCACACGCCGTCCGCCTTGGGCTTGAAGCCATCGATCAGAAATTTGAACTCCTCTTTCTTGCCATCGGTGCCTCTGCCTCCTAGAACTACTAGTACTTCGCCATTCGTGAGTGTCGTATAGTTTGTGCGTAAATGCTGTTCCAGGAGAGCTTTCCAGTCCTCTGGATCGTACCCTGCTTCGAGTGGTCGCAGCTTGACAAACGTGCCTTTCGGCAGTTGCTTCGCATGTACGGTGATCACGGGGCCAGATACCCCCGCGATAGCATTTTTATCCTCCTCATCGTCCCCATCGATTTCGACGACATATTTGTGCTCTGGCAGCTGGTCGGCACGTATTCCCAAAGTCTCCATGATGAAAGGGCTCAGTACGACTTGGCCCTCGCCAGCTGAGAACTCTCTGATACCCGCGTATACGACTCTTCCATTCTCGGGGTTGACCAACCTGAACATCAGCGGATATGGTAGCTGTTGCCTTTGGTCCTGATAGTGAGACTCGGCCTGGCGATAGGCGGAATATGTGGCGCTGTTGTATGGATCATATTGTGGGAGGTCTCTTCGAGCGTTCTCAGCAGCAAGATTAGACGATGCACTGAGCAATTGTTCGAGTGCCGATGGTGGTAAGAGGATCTTATCGCCGGGGAGAGTCTGCGTTCGCGACGGTGCGGCGACTGCATACTGAGCGGACCATTTCAGGGACGGCTGCGGTGACTCGACCATGGTGAGAATGGAGTTGTTGGAAGTCGAGCGTGATACGCATCTGTTGTATTGTTAGTATAACATAGACTCCAGGGCAGGCGGAGATACTGACCTATGGAAGAAGAGGCAAAGGTTCTCGAAGCAGCCATGGACATTTTGTAATAGCCCGGATGATGACATAGAGCTTGTTGTTGATGCCTGAGGCATCACACGCGTTCGAAGCGTCTGCGATCGACTTCACGAACCATATGTATCACAACGTCGACCTCCAGGCCACGCCGAACATGGCTGCAAATCGTTTAACGCCTAATGGATACTATTGGTGTCTCTACCAGGTCTCTGTCAATGTTGTCCAGCTTTCAAAGACATTGGTCAGAGAACTCGCACGTCTCTCGGCGTCTCTGGTACTCGAAGAGACTAATGCTGCTTTAATGGGAGATAGTAAAATACTTATAGCAAACACTTGGTTACGGCGATGCCATGACTAATGACCTACAGTCAAGGTATGATCAAGGTGGGGGGAACGGCTACCGTAAAGACCACCATTTACATCTACAGGAACGACATAGTCTGCTGGAGGCTTTGGAGTCACGGGCGAACGACCATGAATTGGTCTGCGACCTACTTCGAACGAACGCAGGACTCCAGTGCAAGATCGTGGACCTTGGAGAAGACCTCGCCGATGTGACTCGTCGTGTGGACTCTCTTGCTCCGAATCACACATTCTCGCGGGATTCTGGCCCCTATGATCCAAGGCCTACGCCGCCTCCCTCGGACCCTGTCGAAGTGACATCTGATACTGAAGATAAGCCTCCGATCGGACGGTACAATCTCTTCTTTGGACATTCACGGGCTGTGCAGAAGCCAAGACAGCCTCCAGACGAAGTGCCCGAAGCTGTCCATAACGTGCTCTCGAATGATCGCCCTTGGACATCGGCTTCGAAGCGAAAAGCTGATCATCTGATAGTATCATCGAGCGGCGCCGTCAATACAGACACTTGAAGTCCTCCTGACGTATCTTCGCGTCCACAGGAAACCCCATGTTCGACAGCGCTTGAGTCACCTCGACGATCCGAACGAACAGACGCATGGTACAGTGACAGTACGACCCGTCCAAAAAGGGAGAGAAGTCCAGCAGATGGAGGCAAGCGGCCAATGGAACGGGATCCAGCGGATGATTGATGTATCTCGAAACCACAGGCCATACAGCGCTTCCGCGCGTCCACTGTCATCGCAACCAGTATAGCGTCAGCCAAGTCATGGAATCAGGTTGAGAAAGACGCTCATGCAATAAGCTGCTGAAGATCCGGCTGTGGTGAGGAAAGACTGGTAGGCCCATGACTGGCGGTCCAGCTGGGGTAGCTTGATGCGGAATGGACTGTAGGGATCCAATCGTGCCATCTAATCTCAAATACTTGCAGTAGATGCTGGTGATCTCTTTCGAAACCATGTTCGATGTGTTGTGGAGTACTCCAAATGAAGGCCCATCGAGGTGGGATGCATGGTTGCCTCAGGCAAGGAAACAGCTGTTCCCGCTTCGTCCTCGCAGATGAACAGCAGTTAACACGACAACTTCACCTTATCTTCCCGCTCACCGCCGACGTACAATGCCAGCGAGCGCGCTGCGCATATGATCACAGTCCAGTAACTTCAGAGTCAACGAGTTGAGAGCGAAAATACCGGCATCGTGGCAGACCGAGACTCCATGTCGTCGCCGCCGCCGGTCGAGGACCAGGCCAGGCTGCTGGAGGATGCCTTGACCGTCGTGCGCCAGCAGACCATCCTTATGCGACGATGTCTCGAGACGCCTGGAAAGCTCATGGACGCTTTGAAATGCAGGTACTGTACCTTCAGTCCCCCATAACATGCGTTGGCGTACTGACCGCTTGTGGCATAGCTCTACCCTCGTTTCCGAATTGCGAACCAGCAGTCTAGGCCCCAAACAGTACTACGAGCTGTACATGTCCGTCTTCGATGCGCTGCGACACCTCTCCGTATACCTTCGCGACTCACATCCCGTCAATCACCTAGCCGATCTATATGAATTGGTTCAGTATGCAGGCAACATCGTGCCTAGGCTATATCTGATGATCACGGTTGGAACGGTATACATGGGCATCGAGGATGCGCCGGTCAAAGAGATCATGAAGGACATGATGGAGATGAGCAGAGGTGTCCAGCATCCCGTACGCGGCCTGTTCTTGCGCTACTATCTTAGCGGACAAGCGAGAGATTCGCTGCCCACAGGCAATGGAGATGGGCCCGAGGGCAACATTCAGGATAGCATATCGTTCATTCTGACCAATTTCGTCGAAATGAACAAGCTCTGGGTGAGATTGCAGCATCAAGGCCATTCAAGAGAGCGGGAACAGAGGACCAAGGAGCGACAGGAGCTACAGCTGCTAGTTGGCAGCAATCTGGTACGACTGAGCCAGCTCGTGGACTTGGAGAGCTACAAGAATGTCATTCTACAGCCACTCCTGGAACAAGTGGTGCAATGCCGGGATGTACTAGCGCAAGAGTACCTGCTGGAGGTTATTACTCAGGTGTTTCCAGACGAATTCCACCTACATACGCTGGATCAATTGCTCGCAGCAACCGCAAGACTCAATCCACATGTGAACATCAAGGCGATTGTGATTGGACTCATGGACCGTTTGTCGGCTTTCGCGACCAGAGAGGCAGAGCCGCAAACCCCGGAGCAAAGGCAGAAGAATGAGGAAGAATCAGTGACCGCGCTACTGGAGAAGCTCAGGGTGTCGAAGGCGACGGTGGGCGATGAGACTACTAAACCCGTGGAGAATGGAGAACCTGCCAACGGAGAGGCCACCATCACCGCAGAAGAACCCGCAAGATCTGGAGCCTCGGAAGAACAGACAACGAAAGGCGAAGATGACACTGCGCCTCAGCAAAATGGTGCCAAAAAGAAGGAGAAAGGAATACCTGAGGATGTCAAGCTCTTTGAAATATTCTACGAGCAGGTCGTCCATCTCGTTGGCATGCAGCGGCTACCAATCCAGGATGTCACAGCACTGCTGGTGTCGCTGGTCAATCTAGCCCTCAACATATACCCTGACCGCCTTGACTATGTCGACCAGGTGCTGAATTATGCCACCAAGGAGGTCTCGAGGTACACCAATTCCGCCGACCTTCACTCTCAACAATCGCAGTCAAGCTTACTGGCTCTACTGCACGCACCTGTTAAGGCTTACTTTTCGCTCTTCACAGCCTTGGCACTTCCCAGCTTTGTGCCTCTTTTCCAACAGCAGCCATATCCGACGAGACGGGCAGTGGCTGGCGAAGTGGCGCGCAACCTGTTACGCAACGAGACCAAGATCACGACAACAGCGAATCTGGAAGGGGTTCTATCCATTTTGTCAGTTCTGATCAAAGAAGGCATGCAGCCCCCTTCGGGCTATCCCGGTGGTCCAGTACGAAGAGGAGCAGTTGAGACCGATGAGACGGTGGAAGAGCAAGGTTGGCTTGCGCGGATAGTACACCTCATCAAGGGCGAGGACAATACAACACAGTTCAAGCTGCTGCAAACCGCGAAGAATGCATTTCAAGAAGGCAACGAGCGGACAAAATACACCACGCCGGCGATCATCACCCAATCGCTCAAGCTCGCCAGGTCCTTTAAACGACGAGAGCACTTTTCGACCGACGACTACAGTACCCAATCTTCCGCGCTGTACAAATTCATTCACACCACTATTTCCTCGTTATATACCAGGGTCTCTGCATCGGGAGTCCCGGATCTGGTTCTGCGGCTTTTTGTATCTTGCGGTCAGGTTGCCAGCCAATGCGAGAACGAAGATGTTGCATACGAATACTTCGCTCAAGCATTCACTGTCTATGAGGAGTCGATATCGGATTCAAGATCACAATTTCAGGCCATTTGCATCATCGCTGGTGCACTCTCGGGCTGTTCGGATCGCTTCAGCAGGGAAAACTATGACACGCTTATAACCAAGGCGGCACTGCATGGCAGCAAGCTGCTCAAGAAGCCAGATCAATGTCGCGCCGTCTATCTTGCCAGTCACTTGTGGTGGGCTCTTGAAAAGAGCGAAAGGCCGGAAGGCGCCAAAGAGGTGAGTTCTATCCATTTATAATAACTCTGGAATCATTTCTAATGCGTGGTAACAGATTTATCGCGACGGCAAGCGCGTTCTCGAATGCCTTCAGCGTGCGCTCCGTGTCGCTGATGCTTGCATGGACACCGCTGTCTCTGTTGAGCTCTTCGTTGAGATATTGAACCGATACGTGTACTACTTCGACCAAGAAAATGACGCCGTCACCACAAAATACCTCAACGGCCTCATCGAATTGATCCACTCAAATCTGAACACGACCGAGAACGCTTCTGGTTTGGAGAGCCCACGGAAGCACTTCCAGCGGACGCTTGAGTACATCCAATCGAGGGAATATGAAGGCGTAGAAACGAAGCCCAAGTCCTAGGAGCACCGTGCTTGCCGCTTCGATATACGCACGATGGGCATGGCTGAGCTTTGGTACCACAAGCTTAGCCCTATGGTCCGCCGATGAAGAGATGAAATACAGACTTGATCAGGCGCCGGGAAGCGAGGAAAAAATGCCCAGATCCGTCATGGCAGCGTCTCAGCATAAAAAGCATTCTTGTAACCCCAGTATTTGAAGCGTATACCACAAGTTCCATTTGCGACCGAAAGGCATTCGAATCATATGCGCTGTAAGAGCTGCAACGTTGAATAAAGATGCAAATTGTGAGTAAGTCTCTTGAATCAAAGAGGTAAAGCTGACTAACTGTTCTGTAGCGCACCGCTTCCGAAGTATACCTATATCGATGCAACATCTATCGCTCCAAGAAACGGCTTTCGACACGCAAAATTTCTGTCCTGCATTCTTCTGACGATCGGCACAAGCCCTGCAATCTTTTTCTCTCTAGGCGCTCGTAGTCGCTGTGGTCGGTGTGTCAACCCCAGCACTGATAAGGCCCTGGTAGCCGCGCATATCATTCACGTCCGCCGTCGGGGCGGCAGCCGCATCCGACAAGAATTTGAACGTCGGAGATGCTCCTCCAGCACCCAGCCTGACCGAGGGAGTGGCCTGAGCAGGTGCGGATCCACTGGGCAAGGAAAAGCTGGGCACAGCTGCTCCGGAGGCGCTTGGGATGGCAGGCACGGAAAAGCTGGGGAGTTGACGCTTGCCGAAACCAAAGGCCGTCATGCTCTCGGATGGGAAGGAGAAGCTAGGTACAGCTGGTCCGGAGGCGCTTGGGATGGCAGGAATGGAGAAGCTGGGGAATTGACGTTTGCCAAAACCGAAGGCCGTCATGCTCTCCGATGGGAAGGAGAAGCTAGGTACAGCTGGTCCGGAGGCGCTTGGGATGGCAGGCATGGAGAAGCTGGGGAATTGACGTTTGCCAAACCCGAAAGCTGTCGTGCTCTCAGATGGGAAGGAAAAGCTGGAGCCTCCGAAACCTGAGCCACCGGCGCCGAAACCGGAACCGGAGCCCGTGTCAAATCCGCCGGTCGTTTCTGGGGCGAAGGAGAAGCTGGGCCAGGCCATGGGGCCTGCGGCGCCGAAGTGGCGTTTGGCGAGAGGGGCTTCTGTTACAATGGACGAGGGAGGTGCGGTTCCTGGAGGAGGAGCGGAGCCTGGTCGAGACATGTCAATGCCACGTTCGTGCCTTTACTCCAAGGGTGGTGGTCTTACCTGATGCCGGGAAGGTCACGTTTCCGAAGGGGCCTGTCGGAAGACCTCCAGTAGGCGCGGGGAAAGGCAAGCCACTGCCTGTTGGGAATGGAGCAGTTGGAACGCCACTGCCTAATGGACATGGTGGTGCTCCGCCTGCAGTAGGGGCCGGAAAGCCAGCCGGGAATGGAGCGGCTGCTGCGAGGCCTGCGAGGCCTGCGACGGTAACAAAAGTCTTCATCTTGTCGGGTTGGATGCTGACGGCTGCAGATGAAGGGAGCAAGGAGCTGTTGTTTCGATCAAGAAACAAAGGTGAAGTGAATGAATGGATGAATGAATGGATGGATACGTGATCAGAATAAAGACAACAGGGAACGACGGGAAAAGTGCACAGCACTGCGAGAGATGGAGGGTTCGAGATGGGACTTGCAGCAAAAAGGAAAGAGAGGAAGCATACTGACCTCGACGCTTCTGGGTATATGTACTGGACAATGCCCTCAATCATTGTGACGGGACCTACGCAGCTACAAGGTGCGATCATTTACTTGGCACGTCAACGAAGCTGGCTCGTTTCAGCCTTTGCCCCAGATTAACTTTCCAGACCCACACTTTATGCACTCTCTAGGAGCGTGCACACCACAAGGCCAGGCTATAGGGCGCTAGGCTTCTGTGACAGCTGCAGAGAACGTGTTCGTCTCGTTGCAGCGAAGTTTCCGGGCGGCCCTCCGTGACGACTCGCTTCAGATAGAATTTTCAGGAACCGGTTCATGGTCTCAATTTCCATTTGCATGAGGCCGCCATCGGCACGTGGTTGCCGTTCAATTGCAACCGAATCTTGCGCGTACCTTCGATATCGTCTGGTTATAATGGTACCGATGTGGTACCAATCGGACAAATATAGTGCGAAGTCCATCTGAAAGACCCGGAGAGCCCAGCCTCGACCTGAGCTCGCGGACGTGGCGGTCTCGCAATTGTCGAGTATCGACATCGCACTCTCGCAGTACTTACGAGGCCAAAAGCAAAACTTATGACGTTTTATCAAAACGCCTCCAGTCCAGATGGACGAAGTTGACCGGATATGCGGGCTGCTCGGTTGTTCGCACGCTTCGCTAAAAGCTCGGCCGATTCAGCAGCTGAGCTGCGCCTATGCCCTTTGCGTTCCAAGGAGCTACTTGTTGTCGGCCTTTGGAGCGGCTAGTCTAACAGCCTCCTTGTTGACTCCGCAAGGTAAAGAATAAGTGCGCATGTTTGCTGTCCTTGGCGTTTAGCTGCAGTCTTGCTGCAGTGGCTTCCTTTGTGCGTGGCCAGGGCAGCTACGTAGTGTGCAAGTCGCATATATAGCTTTCAGAGCCTCTCACGGTCTGAAAGCAGCAGACAAGGCATCGGGAAGGCTTTTGGACAGCTTTGAAATAGCCACTCGATAGTACTAATTCCCAGCTATCCGGATCTAGAGGACAACACCTTATATTATTCAAGTCTTTATCCGGAGATATGCACGATGCTATCTAGTAATTGCTAGCCAAAAGCAGCCACGATCACTTTGCTTGCCTTTACTACTTACTTGCTAGCGACGATGGTGATTATCTGGACAACTGTCTTGCCAAATTGGGCGATCGTGCTCCGTTCAGGCATTGCTCTTACTAAGCTGTGGTCTTGACCTGGTTTCTTTAGTCCAGGCTCCAGATTGGGCGTCGCTCCGCTACCAATCGTGACGATAGCTGATCAAGGTGTTACAAGTTTGCTCTAGGTCTCTAAAATCTTCAAAATCTTGGCGCCTTTATGCGGATGGAAGGGCGCCGTTAATGCTGCAAATTGGGAAACGCGGTTCGTGAGCGCTATCAGTTGTGTGCTAACTCTAGTGGTCTGCATAATCATCCTATATCTCAAATTCGATACTCAATAATATAACCTGAGCGTGGGAGATAGCAAGGACCTTTCCTTTAGACAATTCTTCACCAATCTTATGTTGCTGCCCCGCTCTGGTCGTTCGGAAAGTGACTCTTCCTTGAGTATATCGTATGCCATATTGGATCATGCAGTGTTGATGACATGCATTCTAGTGACTGAGGAGGAGGAGAAGACCCTGGTGCACGGGTATACTGACATGGGGCCATGCTACTGCCTCATCTGGCGTAGTAGTAAGAGCTTGATTACCGTCAGACTCACCTTTGTGCAGAGAAATATCAAAATCTCACCGACATACATTTGAATATGCACTTGAACGAATCACGAGGAATCTGCATACTCGCGATTTCATTCCCTCGACGACCACACCGGTCCTCTATACCTATAGAGAGCTTTTCGGCCGCGAGATACTCCCTCCGGCTAGCAATAACGATCACTGGAGAAGGCCGGCGACGAGATTCGGTACGCATATCATATCTTTCCATATGCTGGAAGTAACATAACGGTGAAGCAAACCAATACGTCTGTATGCACGCGTGACTGTGTGGAAGACTGAGTACCTTCCCGAAGAGAGTCTCCGTTCAGCGGTCTGAGAGTCCGATATGTAATGAGATGGTGTTACTTACTATAGCCTGTGATAGCGATGATCAGCGACCAAGCATGACACATTGTACAACGATTCAGACTGGAGCCACGTCTTCGGATAAACAGTACGTTCCAGAGACCTTACTAACGCGGAAGTTTCAGTGTTACGTCTCTCGGATCTCAATCATCGCCCGCCAGATCACGCTCTCTTACAGCAGAGCAATCAGAAGCGTTCTGCTGGAGTTTCGTCAATGCCATCGATACTCGCGACTTTCAATCTATCGCCCTGAGATCTGGTGTCCCTCCAGACTCTGGTTCGGGACCGGAGGACACTCTGCACACTGTGCCCTCAGAATCCTTCAGGCTTAAGCAGGATCAACACACGAACTGGGTGCGTCGTCCCCCTATCGCAGCCTGTCGAGCGGCACAGAAGTCTACCACCCATGGGTAGTTTCATTGGTTTCCAGAGCTTCCAGATCGCCTCGCATAGTCGTGCAACTGCGAAGTATACGAGGCCAGATCTCATCGACCTACGTCGTCGTGTAGAAAGCAAGCACGACTGTCTGTTTTGAATTGGCTGCGCGTGCAAGTTCCCAAGTTTCCTTCTCTAAATGTGTGGCAGCTCGCCAAGCTAGGCTGAACAGAGCTCTCTTTGCGTGTGGTGGCTCTTCAATACGCTCATCGAGCCTAGTAGGAAGCGCCACCGTCGTTTCACGACTCCTTCAGACGAGCTTCGGCCCAATGCAGTGCACCCACGTGCAATGTGGCTGTAGGAACTCCGTCGATGTATATCATGTGATCGCCACCCCGCATGAGTCTTTGCATCGGGTGACTGGTTGCAGTGAGTGGAATGTCTGGAGCTTGGAGCTCAGCCCCAAAGTAAAAGCTCTCTCGCTTCATAAGCTCCATCAAAGACAGCGTCATGTCATCTCTTTGAAAAGAGAAAGCATTTTCCAGAGAAGATAGACGTCCAGGACCGTTGCCAAGATCTCGTAGCTTGTATTTCGACATCAAGCGATCTTTGCGTCAGATAAGAAGGCGCCAGAGGATCTCCTGCAGAGACATACTAGACATCATGTCGTCGTTCATGCGTCGGCTGTCGCATCCCTTCGCGAACTGGGACACACAACGGGAGAACCTCCGATGGGGCTCCGACGAGCTCCATCCGAAGGTGAAAGACGAAGTCTTCCAGTGGAAAGTGGGAAGCCGCGACTTCGAATGCCTCGACGCAGAATCGCTCATTCGCGCCGATATCGTCGCCAACCACACTCGCGCCAAGACGGTCCTCAAAGCCGCGCACAAGATCGGGACCATCGATGCGGAGACGGGCCATCCGGTGACGACCAAGATCGATCGCAGCATGCTGAGTGAGATGCCCATCCTGAGTATCGTGAAGCAGCGAGATCTGATCAAGCTGCTGTTTTTCTGGGAGGAAGAATGTACGCGATGGAGATTGCTGGGAGAGGAGGAGAAAGAGCTTGGAGAGAAGCTGAGAGAGGAAGGATTGAGTCGGGAAGTTGAGGCGGAATTGAAGACGATGTTGATGTTTGTGAGGGAGAGGAAGAGGGTGTTGCCGAGTGTGAGGGATGAGAGTGGACACGTGAGGAGGCAGGAGGATGAGCAGTTGCCGACTTATGATGAGGCGAGGAGGCAGCGATAGACTGTGTCTATGTTGGATCACGCAGAATGAAGTGGAGGAGAGAGCTTGCCGGGCATCTCCCGAGTTGCTTGGCACCTGCGAGTACTGGAGGTCTGCCATCGGTATGAATAATAACGGCCGTACCGTAGAAGTGAGAGTGAAGTTGATGTCATTCCCTGTCCCGTGGACAAGGATA